TAATTTGTCGTAAATAATTTTTTTTTTATTTGATATCTCGTTTTTTCCAAAAACCCTCCGGCAGCATTTTCTGCTCGAAAAATATATTTTTTTCAGAGAAAGATCATGTCAAGATGCAGAGCACAACAGAGTCTATTTTTTGAATAAAATATTATCACTATATTAAATAAAAGAGGAAATCTATAATTGGAGTGATGTTTTTTGAAAGTTTCTCGAGGCATTGAACTTGTCATTCTTTTCCTCCGTTTAACAAGTAAGAATAGAAGAAAGTGCTCTGCCATTCTCTACATCCTATCATGCTCTTTCAAACAAAACAATTTACATGCATAGAATGAAGGCCTACAAAAGATTTTAGGTTGTAAAATGAGTTTTTTTTAATCCTTTTTAGTTGAATATCTTCGGAATATATCCATGATATAGGGCTGAAAATTTCATGTGATTCGAATGTATATGGGTCAAGATTGATTTATGAAGGTCGGAGAGGGGAGGGCAGGAGCTGAAATGTTATTGAACCAATATTCAAAATATAAGTCACATTTTATGATTTTACACGATGATCTGACTATCAGTTGAGCTGTCGTCAAACTGAATAATCTACTACATCCATACTATTTAATGTCATTCTGAAAGTCAATATATTTTCTATCTTCTCTGAAAAATTAGGAACTCACAATCAACATAGAAAAAGTAGCCGAGATAGTCTTTATGAAGTAATGCATGATGGAAAACAACATAAAACTAGTGCTTGCAGTAGAAGCAAAATGCTCGATGATTGAACATCGAAAGTAGCATCGCAATTAGCAACAAAAATGTTCTGTATGTTGAGATGTATTGCTCTACATATCTGGTAAAGCTATAGATGGAAAAAGAATCAATGAATCGATTTCTGACTGAATGTAACTCTGTTTAGCATTCTTTATTTGAAAACAAATTCCATTAAAAATAAATGTTAGATATGTAGAAAGTATATTGGAAAAAAGGATAATTTTTTGTCGGTCATTTCCTAAAATGAAATTTTTACAAGAAATGGCCAAATATTCATTTCGCATGATGTCAACTTGAAATTGAATAATGAAAATTAATGAAATTCAAAAAATTTCGCATTTTGAAAGAGATGAAAATATGTGAAATATTATTTTATTGTTTTCATTTTAATACAACTTCGTTTCATTAATTAGGAACAGTTGTCTAAAAATATGTTAGTTGTATTGATAGTTTTCATATTTGAACAAACTATATTCTTTATTAATTTATTTGTAAAACAAGAAATTAATAGAAAATTAGTCACAAAATAGATTCTTATTTCTTTTCTGTCAATTTTTATACATTTCTTGGCATCGGTTATGAGCACAAGCTTCACAAAAATTTCTTTGATGTGGTGTACCACCGAATCTGCCATTCGGAACATCACTAACAGGAATAATGTATTGTTCCACATCAACGTCGCAATCACGTCTTTTCTCATAACATCTTTGCAAGATATTTAGTAGAAGACATTGAACTGTATACCAAACTTGCTCTTTTCCACATCGTCCGACATGATACATGTTATCGTTTGTACATTTATTGCAACGTTGACCAAATCTTTTCATTCTAACTCTTCCAAAACCTTCAGACACATCAAGATGAAATCGAAATAAAATCATGCTCCACGAAGAATCCCATTTGTGCCCATGATTACATTGGAAGCTACGAAAAAAAGAGACAGTTTTATATGTTTTTTTTTTTATATTTGACAAAACAACCATGCACGAGTTCGATAAAGCACTTCGAACCAATTTCGATTATCTCGAAAACCAGCGTTCTCCAACGATTGTAGTTTCCAAATATGTCCATTAGGTAATGGATTTATAAACAGGATCTCATAAAAATTTGATTCGAATGTTTTAAATGACATTCGGCGTCGTACTCAACGTTTACTGTTTTCTACAGTGAAATAATCGTCTGGCCACCTTTTTGTCAAACTATATGAAATAAACAGAAAAATAAATAGTTGCATGTCACGTCCTTTATTAGTTGTATGAAATGAAACCACATTTATTTGTTATGATAAAGCAGTGAAAAAAGAACGAAAATGTGGCAAAAACAACTGTAACATGCCCGCTAATTTAATCATAATATTTATATAGACAAGTGATACGTAAAGTGTTTGACTAAAGAAAAATATTTTTTTCTAGGCATTATTGTAATTTTAGGTAAATTACATTTTTTTCTCCTGTTATTTACTTTTCTGACAATGTGAAATATAGTGTCAAAAGTTCTAGGCAGACTTGATATTAATGTCAATAAAATCTACATATTTTCATATCAAATATGCTAATCATATGCTATATCCAAAATCGATCAAATATGAAATGATGGATCTCAAAAAAGAAAAATGACATATTATCACTTTACTACCTGATATTAATCCAGTAGAGTTGATGTTTGGTCAACCGCAAGAATAGCTAATGCAGGTGCTGATAAGGATATTAATATAGTTAAATTTGGGCGAAGTCATTTCACTATGGAGACAAAGAATGAATCATAAATAATTCTTTCGTCTTGAATTATATAGAAATTGAATTTTTATGTCAATTTAATTCTTTTTACGTTTTTTTCGTAATTATGTTGTTATTTTATCTGTATAAAGCTGGAAATCTACTTATTGTGGATCATTTTTTGAGAAATGAGTCATTTCGGAGGATGATACATTGTTAGACATTTCTAAAGATAGCTGTCTTCAGAGTTAAAGCAAATCTTTCATTTTCAGGATCGGGTAGGTATCGTTCGTCTTCATTTTCCTTGTATAGCATGGAATCATTGATTTCGATTCCGATTCCGATTCTAGATCACTCATTCAGGGGTCTACGAAAATTGATCGATGTGAAAAATAGTCGAGAAATTTATGATAACAGAACGAAAGCTATCAGCTGTATGAAAAAAAGTGAGCATCAGCTTATAAATTATCCGTAGTCCTACTAATTTTTATGATAGAACCTTGTAAAAGTAAATTAAATGCCGACCATTTACTTTTAACCGGCAGGAAAATAAAAACGAAAGGTCGATGAGAACTTTCTCGTATTCCCTACATGCTTTTTGAAATAAATTTATCGACAATTTTCCGCTTAATCCTAGCCACAAATAGATAATTTCTATGAATGAGTCAAAAATGACTTGATGCCGAGTAAAAGGTTATACTTCTCAATGAAAAGAATTAGTGATGAGACTTTAGTTTCATTGACAGAAATCTTTCTAGAATTTAATTCTACTTATTCATTCGTTATCTTCTGAAAATAATTGATGTTTTACTTGTCTAGTGAAATTCATACGTATTGATACACTTTTTCTGATATGTGGTTGATTGAAAATAATAAGAAATTTGAGTAGAAACCGAAATTACTCTTTTTATCCAGAAGAATCTTCTTATCAAACACAATCAATCGCAAAATTGTTCAAAACTATGAAAACACTATGCGTGCATACTGCGAACACTATAACAAGATATTCGGTATATAGTATAAGCCATGGAAAAATTGCGTACAGAGACATACATGTTTTATAACTTCATGCATATAATTATCTATCGAACTTGTTACAGCTGCATCTTTACTTTACTGAAAGAAAAAAAAAACGAAATATGTTCCCCTCAAAATCTTAAATGTAAATTCTTATAATTTAAATTTAGTTTGGATTTAAATTTTTGCTACATGAATATTTACATTTATTCTAAAATGTAAACTCTGAAAACTTAAATTATGTCAAGTTAAATTTTGTTTTTAAATGTAAATTGGTTGTAAATTCGAATGTATTAAAATTGAATATAAATTCAATTCTTTTATTAGTTTCATAATACTTGATAAAATCTAAGTACTTCGTTATTAATAACATAGGTATTCATGAGGCTGGTGCTACATTTGGGACTAGCCAATTATGATGCAGGGTTGTCAATTTACATTTAAAATAAATGTAAATTTTCATCCAAAAAAGATTTAAATTTATTATTAATATAAATTTTTGTTGGATGAAAATTTATATTTATTTGAAATGTACATTTTCCAAAGGAAGTGTTGCATTTTCCATAGGCTATACTGCCCCCCCCCCCCGCTAGTTTTTTTTCTTTTAATTATTTTTTAGTAGGGACAGATGTGAGGACATGAGATCACTAAACCAAACCTTGGACATTTTTAATTTTAAGGAGAAAATCAATGCTTTAGGACACGAATCATTCTCAACAAATATTGACCCTTATGCTATATTATGATTTTATATCTCATCTATAGTTGCATGAACAATTGCGAAAATTGTACTGCATATACAACAGAGGGTACTCTAGAAAATAAAAATAAAATCATCTTAAATAATTTCTTTTTTAATGAGTACTGCCTATTATTAATGGGTATTCACTGATGCGGTTGTTTTGCACTGCATCAGAAAGATTGTGTAACTTATAACTTCACAACTACTCATTATTAAAAAGTGAAGTTTTTATCATGAATGCAGTTTTATATAGGTTACACAATCTTTCTGATGAACTGCACAACAACTGCATCAGTGAATACTCTTTAATAATAGACAGTACTCATAAAAAAGCAATTGTTTCAGATGATTTCATTTTTATTTTCTAGAGTACCCTCTGTTGTATATGCAGTACAACTTTCGTAATTGTTCATGCAACTATAGATGAGATATAAAATCATAATGTAGCGTNTAAAAATGAAGGAAAATCACTAGAAATCATCAAAAGTCAAGAGCAACCACATGAAATATTGGCAAACATTTAGAATTTAAAAAAATCAAAGAAATCACTAGAAATCAGGGTTCTATTTTTAACTTTACTAGTAGAAGGTTTCTATGATTAAAATTGATTTCTGGTGATTTCTCACGTTTTCTAATAGCTCTTGATGGTTTGCAACATTTTTTAACTACTTCTGCTCAGTATATCTATACTTAAGCTTTTAAAGTGATTTCTAGGCACAGAAATCAGTTTGTTCCCCCTTGGTTTAGTGCCTGTAAAAGAAATGTCAGCTCAACCTAACGTAACATCTTCTCCAACGAACGAGGACAAAAATTGGGGTCATTTTCCGCTATTGTGGCTCCAGTGTCTCATAGAAAATAGTATTCTGGAAATTTTAGTCTAACATAACTTTTTTTCTACTGATCAAAATTGACCTGCCCTGAAAATTTCAAATCTTTCTAATGAGTTATTCTGCAGAAACTACGAAAACAGAAGAATTTTTTCTGAAAGTACTTTTTTCATAGTAAAAAGCTGACATGTTGACATTCTCCATGAAAAAATGAGTCTGTAAGACTAGTTTAAAATTAGTCTTACAGACTCAACTTTTCATGACGAATGAAAACGTACTTTGAGAAAAAATGGATCATTGAGGGTCATCGAAAAAACATCGTTTTTTTTTTATCAAAAGACGTTGAAAAAAATATATTCTTACTCAACTCGTCAAGCTCAATCTAACCATGTATAAAGAATGAAAAACAAAATTGCTTAAATTTTGCATGGTTTTCTTGTGCAACATAATAAGTTTCATTTTTCCTTAGATCATTCTACAAATTCAAAATCTAATCCAATAATACCATCTCCAATTAGACTTCATATCCATAATCATACTGATTCATTAAATTCAACAAATAAAGTACATGTTTCTGTTACACCAACGAAAGATTCTGATTCAACATGTTCACCATCTGACAATCTATCGTTCCAAGCTCTTGAAAATTCTGTTATTAGTTTTTCATCTCCTTCAAATCTTGGAACAAGACGAAGAAATTCATCAACATCAACCAATTCATTTGTATTTGATACACCATGTTCATCATTTTCACGTAAGACAACAAATAATACAATATCAAATTCACAAATTATAATAAAAAATGAACGTGAAACTCAAACATTATTATTAACAAATATTGATATGATTCATCAATTAATATTACAAATGAATGAGAATGAATATAAAATAGATTATAATTCAATTGAAATTTCAAAAAACTTATTTCAACAATGTGCAGCATTTTTTTCCACTAATAAATATCAAACAATAAATTCATTTATTAAAAAACAACTTTTTAATTTTGGTCGATATGAAATTGAAATTCTTTTTCCAATAAATAGTAATAAAGTAAATAATAAAATATTATATTAATTTTTTTCTATTTTATCTTACGTGTTTATTTTTATTTTTTTTTTCAAGACTTCAACCATTTATGCATGTGACATCTGTTTAAAACATTTTCATGGTAGTTCAATAGCATTTCAACGTCATACTGCTAAATGTTTATCAATTCAACCACCAGGTAAACTTGTTTATAATGAAAATGATCTAGCAATTTTTCAAATTGGTGAAACAAAACTAAATATTGAACAACGTATTTATCTTAAATCATTATGTCGTATTGCTCGTTTATTTCTTGATTCAAATAAAAGCATTGATGATACAAAAATTGATCGATTTACTTATTATATTCTATGTCGTAGAGATCCAATTTTATCACAATGTCAGGTAAATGAAATTTACTAAACTCACAAAAGATTAGATTGATTTTTTTTTTATACAAAAATAATTTTACACCGATTCTGTTTGTATTACATTCTGCATTAGAAGTTTGTTAGATATTGTGTGTTTAGTAATTCTTTCTTAGAGAGTGGATTTATATTGCAGCATGATTGATATTCGTATTCTTTGCATATTTTTATTTAGAAGTTTGACCTCGAGTGCATATTGCATATGTCATAATAAATATTTATGAGGATAATATTATTATAGTCAATTTGGATGTATAACAGCTGTACAATCATTTTTCAAAAAAAAGTTGATAAGTTTCATACATGTAAGAAAACAAATATTTCAGAACATTGCGCTTTGTATATCATACTAATGAATGGGTCAAAATACTTGATATTGTCAACACTTTTTATTTACATAGAGATAGTTTATATACATTTTTCTTCTAAAAACAAACTCTCTATTGAGAACATTACTAAATCGTTCTTTATATCCATCTAATAAAGTTAGATTGATAATTCAACATTCATTTCAATTGATGAATTTCATTCTGATCGTGTATATGAAAGATGCGCACAAAATAACAACGTCTAATTTCCACTTAAAAAGATGATTACCAAATTACAGAACAGAAAAAGCATCCTGAACAGTTCAAATTACCCTTCATAAACACAATGTGAAGATAGATTATTAGCAGTCCTATGATTGTCTTATCTGCTAAATTACAAATTGTAATTACTGAAGACATACAATCCTTGCAATGTTTTAACCTTGTTAAGCTCAGCTCGTCTTGAGAACAGCAATATTGCAAAAAAAAAAACGAACTCAAGTATTTGATATCATTATATATTTTATTCTTGATAATACTCGAACACGTGTACTTCAATCGGATTTACTGCTATCGCAAAAGGTCGACCCATAATGATATTAGACGGTTAGTTATACATTCGAGATTATCAAACCGACGGAAAAAACTTACTAGCGTAGTGAAAATTATAAAAAATTGAATTTTCGTTTTCGCATACATACAAGTAATTTTACTACCAACGGCAGTGGTGTAGCCAGGAATTTTTTAAGGGAGGTGCCCGACTCATTATGGAGAGTGCACACCAGCAGCAAAATAAATTTTTGTTTCTCGGAAATATTTTTCACCTGTACCCCGCTCCAGATGTTTCTTGGCCAAGGGGTGTGCCCGGGCACCTTGTGCACACCCCCTGGCTACGCCCCTGACCAACGGTATGCATACTGTCATTATTAAACGTCATGGTGTGAATACAACAAATTGTAATCATGATCTAATCAAAATATTACTAAGAAAATTCTATGAAAATGTTGTTGATCGTGTAAATAATACATTAGAGTCAACTGATACTGTTTTATCATAGTTACTCAAACCAGCACGATCACATCTACTCTCACTAGATTAGAATATATTGATAAGAGATGAATACTTGTAATGTTGTATGCTTTAATACGATAATCAAAATAAGTTATTTCTCTTGAGCTTTAGTTGCATATCTGCATATTCTAGTTTATGTCTTACCGCAGTGAAAATTAAATTTTTATCTTTCGTACACAAATGTTGAGATATTATCCCGATCATATCGAGGAATATTTCCAATGCCTAGTCTAAAGAAGCTTCATTGTTAAAAACTTCTATAGTTATCAGGCATGTAAAAGAATAAAGATAGCGTTATTTGATAAGAAAAATAGAAGTATTGAGTAATGAATTTTCTTATGTTAATTAATGGAATCTGGTATTGTTTTCTTTTGTTTCCAGCCTTCTCTTTATCGTTTTATTGGTTACTTTTCTAAACAAACCAATCAACATGTTCAACATTCCATTAATAATTTATCTTGTTTATTCGTTTTACCTTCTTTTGCTCAACATCAAGAATACAATCAATTATTAATTGCATTTAGCTATTTTCTTACTCGTTCGAATGCGTCTTCAAATCTAATATATAGTTCACCTGCTCGTCCGCTTGATATTATATCGTTGTCTGCTTTACGAATATATTGGCGTGATATTGTATTGGCTTATATAATCAATCATAATCAATCTTCTACTAAAACTGTTACACTCGATGCTCTTGCACGTCAAACATTTATCCATCCACGAGATATTCTTTCAAGCTTATATTCTAATGGTTTTATTGTTCCACATCCTAAGGATAAATCATGTGTTTATATTCTTAATAATGCATATCAATCGATATCATCGAGAAATTTACATATTAGAAATAAACCATTATTTATGAATATGAAATTGATTAATATTAATGACAAGAATAATATTACGATTGATAAAAAAAGGTAAAAAAAAAAATAAAGTTAACAAGGAAACCTTACCAAATGATACATCATTTTTGAGATGAATCGTATTCAAGGAGAGAAAAGTGGAGATTTCGTACATTAATACACTCGGATAGTACATTAAAACTATTTTGAAGAGATTCTTAGCTTTTTCAAGTTTAATATACGAATGTATCAGTTTAAATTTATTCTATATGAATGTTTTTGATAAGAAAAAAAAAGACTCAACTATTTTGTCGTTTTTTTCTGACGAGAAAAATTCTTCAGTTGTTGGATCACTTTTTAGTCGAGACTATGCACATTATTTTTATATTCAAATAAACAATGAATATCCTGAAAAAGGTTAGCGTCTTTAACTTATTGCTACGAAAATACCCAACTTTTAGGGTATTTTTTAAATCAATGCCATTGTAACAGAAAAACTGATTTTCGAATTCAACTTAAAATTTTACATAGAGACAGGATTTAATGAGAATAGTTTCAGGTATCTTATTTTGCATCTATGTTGAAACAAGAATATTAAATTTATTGGTTTATATGAGTGATACAAAAGACGCACTATTAGCAAAGTTCTATCTTAGGATAGGAATAACGACAATATTTAAAATATTCACAAAAACCTATTCTCGTTAAGGATTGTCTCTATGAAAAGTTGCAAATCGAAAATTAATTTCTCTTTTATCATGGCATTCATATAAAAAATACTATAAAAATACAGTATTTTCAAAATCATAAGCTAAGAGTAGCAACTCTTTTCAACGTATTGATGGTTCATTTGAATCTACATAATGTACATAGTCTCGACTCAAAAGCGATTGAATAGTTCGAAGGCTTCTCTTGTAATTCTTACATTTCGAAGTACAATAAAGTATTTGAACTTGATTTACCAAACAGACTTATATGGAATGAATTGAAACTAATATGCTCGTGATACAGTTCGATCATATACTTGAAATAATTAAGTAGTTCTCCAGGATAGTTTTATTGTACTTTTGAAGTACGAAATTTTCGTTTTTCCACTCTGATTTTACTTCATCAGGTACACCTTATTAAGGCTAGAGAACCTCCTAGAAGAATTCGTGTCCATATAATCTTTATTCTTAACTTATGATCATTTTAGTAAGCTGTTCAAAAAACAAATGCCGCGTTCTGCCTCAGATTGCCTTGAAAATTGACTTTTAAGTCCACACTTTACACAAATAAACTTTTGAATGTGCATAGTTCATGGTGAATATGTTTTGCTTGTCAAATCTCATATACTGGCAAAGAAATTACCCCTAGGGAAACTTGCCATTGAAGTCCTATATTGAATTCACAGGTAGTTCTCAGTAACAATAGCTAAAGCTGAGAACGGTTCATCGTCATTGGCCTTTAGTGCCAAATTATGATTGGTTTACTGGATTTTTTATCCAAACTTCTGTCTATATACAGTTCTAATAACTCTTAGAATGTCTGAAAGTTTCACCCAAAGAGAATGTTCCTTCGTAGAGTTATTGAATTTTTAACGCATATATAAGCAGAATTTAGATCGAAATTCTGTCATTTCATTTTTTTTAGGAACTACTTACAAATAAATCAAAAATCCAGCAAACAGATCATACTTGGGTACAAAGGTTCATGAGGATTAGCACTTGTATATTCTAACTGAGACCAACCTGTGGTTCCAATATAAGTTTAAACAGTGAATGTCACTTGAGGTAGTTCGTGTGTAAGATATTAATTAAAGAGTAAACTTTCCTATTTTGTTCAACAGAATTTTCAATATTGGTGTTTGAAGACACAAAAAAGAATAGACATTTTCACAACAAACTAATCTAATTCAGAATTTTAATTGTGTTAATTTTGAACTCGAAGGCCAATTTTAAAGGTATCTTTAGGCGGAACAAGGTACTTTGTTGAAAAAACTCATCGAACGGATACGACTTCTTGTAGCCTTTATTAAGTCTTAATAGAACCTATTTGATGTAATAAGACTTATTTCAAAAATGATATATATGCATATAACTTGGCAAGGTTTCTGCGTAAGAAAAATTTGCAATTTATATTCATTTATTTATTTTTTTAGTAATGACAAAAAACATGATAGTGGTATAGAAGAAATTGTTCTTGATTGATATCTTCCTTTTTTTATGTGTTCAATGATTATTTCCTATTTGTTTTTATTTCTGGCTTATTGTTTTACAAGACTATAACTGCAAAACTAAAAGAATATTTTCATATGACGGGAGAGAACAAATTTCTTCCATCTAACAGATATCTTTTGTGTGATATCATTTAGCTTTTATGATTTATTGCTCATTTTATAAAGTGTATTTATATTCTATGTTGCTCTAAACGAACTTTGTAGGAAAAAAGAACAAATAATAAAAATTGTCAACAAAATTTTGTTTTTCTGTTTAGAAATGTTATACATACAAGTAAAGAATGTTTAAATCGATCGATTATTTAAGACTATTTTATTTGAATGAATTTTGTATAGAAACCTATTGAAAATAATTCTTACATGAGAAAAAATGTCATATCTTTTATGTACACAACATTTGTTCTGTTCTCTTTTTTTGATAAGACTGTTGCTTAACCTTGATGTCTGTTTCTGTAACGTGAATCGGATTAACCCAAACATACAGCAATATGTTTATCATTTTCTAATTATCGAATGAGAAGTGTTATTTCTATTACTCCCTACTGCTAATTCATTTAGTATCATAAAGAGAGAAAAGAGCGAGAAATAACATCGATATGCAAAGACTGAAGGTTACAAATATCTGTTATATGCAGTCGAGAGAGTAGTTGTTATAACCAAAATGACACTTGTTAAGCATAGACGACTACATTACTTATTTAGTTATGATTAATGTTTTTGTTTCTGTTTATGGTTGACAATTTTAGATTATTATTAGTATAGATAAAGAAGCGCGTGCAAGTGTAACTATGCCCGTGTTTCATACAAAAACAATTGAAAGTATTTTGGAACCCGTAGCACAACAGGTATATTAATACAAATCACATTATGATTACGAAATAAATAAACTAATTATTTAAAATCGTTGTTTTTTTTAGGTATCTCGTCTAGTTATTTTACATGAAGAATCATCAGATGATAATAATCTTATACCCGATCTTTCAAAACCCGTTCAAATAGTTAAATCAGCTGTTGATAATCTTGTTAAAGTTAGCCATGAAACATGTTTAACAAGTACAGATGATCTATTACGTACTGATATGCCACAAGCATTAGCACGTGTTAATAAAGCATCAACATTATTAATTGATGCTGCTCATATACTTAAATATGAACCATGTTCAATCAAAGGACGGCAAATGTTAATTGAAGGAGCACGATGTGAATATATTGAAAATTAATTTGATTTTTTAAAATAATTTAATGATATATTATAGGTATTTTACAAGGTATATCAGCTCTACTTTTGACATTTGATGAATCTGAAGTACGAAAGATAGTTATTATATGTCAACATGTTCTCAATCATTTATCATATATCGAAATGATCGAAACAATAGAACAACTTGTCGATTTTGTTAAGGTAAATTTTCTGTTGTATTTTTTGTTTTCATAAGAATTTGTAAATGAACACAACCAGAACCCTATGCTTTTGTTTTGAAGACTTAAAAAAAGTATAAGTAAGTGCTAATACAATTTGCTATTAATAATTAACTATGAATTGATGATAATCTGTTTGTTTGATTTCTATTGACAAGAATCATGTAATTTAGAATTTAACACCAATACTAACTCGAATGAGTAAAGAAGTTGATTTACGTATAAATGAATTAACTCATATTATTCATCGTCAATTATTAACTCGATCACTAGAACAAGTTAAAACTTTAACACCATTATTAATTTCAAGTATTAATGTTTATATAACATCAAAATATACGGGTAAAAATAATGATGATTTTTTTTTTTTTGTTTAGTTTAATTTTATATTGAAATAACTTTTAGGTGGTCATACAATTGTTGAATCAATAGAAAATCGTGATTATATTGTAAATAAAATGAGTGATGAACTCGGTGAAATAATTCGAATACTTCAATTAACAACAATTGATGATGTTTTATTAAATGAATTTGATGAAGATGAACAACATAATTTAAAAAAACTTCTTGTATGAATTTTCTTTTTTTTAAATTAACAAAAAAAAAATTCTTTATTTTCTTTTTCTTTTAATAATCTACAGAAAACTCTTGGTAATCGTTTATATCAAGCAAAAAATTGGTTATCAAATTCTCAAGCATTAGAAGGCACATTAGCTGAAAGATCATTACGTATGGTTCTTGATGATTTACGTATACATATAACTGAACATTGTCTCGATGAGAAACAAGCAGATGTGTTAATGCAAAAAGTTGATGCAATTTCACAAATGATGAATCGTTTATTACAATTACGAGTACAATCGAAAGTAAAGAATATTTTTTTTTTCTTTTTTTTTAACAAAAAGAAAAACGGTATATATTTGCTTTGTTGTTGAATTAGGGTGATACTAATGAAGCAACTAGTCTGTCACGTAATATATCTCAGCAACTTGATGATCTTTATCGATCATTAGAGTATGCAATTAATTTATTAAGATATACATCTGATTATCAACGACCAGCAACGACTGTTAATGGAAAAGTTGATCAAGCACAAAGATGGCTTTTACAACCAGATCTAGACCAATTTGGATTTGGTATGAGAAGTTTGCTTTGTTTTTATAGAAAAATTAGCGTATTTCGACTTTATAATAGGAATGATAGCGTCTACACAGTAGAATAAGATTATGATAAAGTTTAGTCTGCATATTCAATTGTCACGCGAGAACGTTTTCCAATTGTCCGATTGCTTTTCCCTCGAGACTATTATCATTCAATCAATCATAATGAATAGTAACAATGTCTGGTGTGCCTAAATTTTCCGGGTCTTTACTTCTTGAATTATAAGTTTCTTACCAGATTTTTGTCTAATGAGCATAGAATCGTTGATAATCTGTAGGATAGAATTTCGAGCTAAAATTTTGTTCATTCAGTCGCTTTTCTTTTTGGATATATCATAAGCTTTGAAAATGATCTTAATCCATTTTGAAAACAATATGCTTTATCAACTATAATATAATAGACAGATAGCTTAACTTCTTCTCTATCAATCCATACCAAGCCGAGTTTAACAAACGTTTACGTTTCAAATACAGAAAGATTTTACTGAAGACCACTAATAGAATTTTCCCAAAACCTGAGCAGCCAACAAGTATTTCTTTCTATAAGTTTGTAGTCAACTTCGAGTTCGTATCATGATTAATTAATCTTCGAAGATTATTTTTCCATTATAAACATCATTAAATACCATACATAGAATGTATTTTGATTATAATGCATCAATACTTTCAAAAAAAAAACAGTTCTCTTAAACTTTTATTTTATTGGTGCTTTCCATCAGAATAATTTCTGAATTCCAATCAGTCAATCGAAAAGAATTTTAAGATGTTTAGATAAATTCACAAGAAAAGTCGTTAATCATCAGCATTATCTTTACTATAAGTGCTATAATCGATATGCCTAATGATCATTTAGTTCTGATTCAATCTCTTCGATATCAATATTGGTGTTTTTAAATGTTGCTCACAATATTTGATATAATTCTTTTGTCAATTTTCTCATTTCATTCAAAGTAAAATTCGTGTTTCTATTATCTATATGTTTTCATATTGGTCCAGACTAACTCAATATCAGCCAAAGTACAGCATCTAATTGGTAAAGAGATGTGCGTGTGATGATGGCTAAAGAAAAAAATCAACATCTACACACTAATATCGAATTTATGGTTTCAGATGACGTTTTCAATAGTAAAATAGTTTTTGAAGGTTAATTATAATATCACGAAATCGAAGTCGACTAGAAGCTTATCGAAAGAAATATTTGATAGCTATTGAGATTTTGAAAAAATTCGATTAGTAGCTTTAAGCAAAATCTTTATATTTTTGGAACACAAACCATTGTCGATCTCAGCTTTGTGTAGATCGACAGAAAAGAAGTTAAACTATCTGTTCATTTATTAGAGTTGAGAAAGCATATTATGTTCAAATTGCATTAAGATTATTTTCAAAACTCATGATGTATCCAAGAAGAAAAGCAATCGGAGTTCTCATTGGATTTACTAATTCCAGATAGTGCCAAAGCTCGAGATGTTTCTCTCGTTTTATTTTAATGCTATCTAAAAAAGTCCACGATCAATTAGCTCAATAATGAACCATAATTAAGCATATATTTTTTTTCTTCTTAGTTAATAGTCTCATCATTTTTATTTGTATTCACGAGTGTCAATCGTGACCATGATCAAACTGCCGTGTCTGTGATCATGACCGTGATCAAACCGCATTGTCTGTGACCGTGATCATAATAAAATCACTGTGACCATGATCATGACCGTGACTATGATCAAACTGTTCTGTGCATGACCGTGACCGTGACCAAAAAACTTGGTCACACCGGATTCTTCATCAGGCCATCACTTCCTCTGAACCTGCTGCAAGCTTAGTCATCTAGCAGAGACATTGTCTGCTTATTTTTATTTCCCATTCTGTCAGTGAAAGACAAATGGTGCTTCAAAATCGTATTTGTGTTCAAAACTACCACGAAGCTGTAAAAAAATCGGCCGAAATCTTCCTAATCGAGAGCCCTAGTCAATATCTTAGCAAAGATATGTTTGTTCTGTAGCAAACCTTGAGTTGTTTTTATTAATTATAAGACTGATCTGTATATAAAATTTGAGCATGATTACTACCTATTATGACCGATCGAATGGTGATAGTCTCAAATGAAAAGTGATTGGACACTTGGGAATATTCTCATGTCAGAAATAATGTTAATTGAACATTAAGGACATTTTGAAAAGTTTTATTGAAATACATTCTTAGAGTGTTTTGGTGTTAACAATAAAAGAGACTTATCTTTGAAATCATCTTTCAATGATTGAACATTTTTTTTTTTAATAAATTGTTTTAATTTACATTTTAGGTGAATTTGCTATTCGAAGTCTTATTAAAATAGGCCGTCAGTTAGTTAGTATTTGTGAATTATCTTATCGTCGTGATCTTCTCGAATGTTGTCTTAATATCGAGAATTTATTATTAAAATATAAAGATTTATTACGAAGACGATTAGTAAGTTTTTATATTTTTTTGTTATTGCGAAAACAAACAAAGTTTTTTGTTGTTGTTTTAAGCCTACTAATGGACCAGAATGTGTTATGATAAGTCGTTCTTTATCTTCACATATTTATCAATTACAATGTCGTCTTCAAGAAGCTATTATTTATCAAGTGTCCGACGATTTTATGGATATAACATCAACAATAAGAACATTACGAGAAGTTGCTTTTCAATCATCAAGTATTTATAAAATGAAAACAAAAATTACAAAAAATTGAAATTCAATCAATTTTTTTTTCATCGTAGATGAACCAAATCGGCAAGAGCTATTTCAAACAGCTATGCAAGATTTTATAAATCACTCATCAACATTAACACAAACAGCACGCTTAGCTGCCAATGGAACATCATGTCGATCAAAATCGACGATTGAAACAATTAATATAACTTCATCACAAGTTTGTCAATGTTTAAATTCACTAAGAGAAAAGCAAAATATAAAAATGTTTTTTTTTTTTTATTAGATCAATGATCTAACACCTCAAGTTATTTATGCAGCTCGTATTGTTTTTGGCGATCCAACTAGTTCATTAGCAACTCAAGAGCATTTTGATCTTCTTCGTGATCAATGGCTAACACAAATGGAATATCTACGAAGACAAGTTGATGAAGCTATTCCATCTGATGAATTTGTTAAAGCTTGTGGTTGGTTCTTATTCTTTTGTTTTCAAATAAAAAAAACTAAATAAACATAACAATTATTTTTTAGAAGAAGCAATTATTCATGATACACAACAAACAGAAAAGGCTGTAGCTGATTTAAATTCTTCAATTATTATTGATAGTACATCGAATATAATTCGACGTGCTAATCGTATTTTACTTGTAACATATCAAGAAATTGAAAATTCGGAAGATTCAACATTTACAACACAACTTCAGAAAGTATCTAATACATTTAAAGAAAGTAAATACTCATAAATATTTTATTTTGGTAGAAGAGTGTGAGTGTAAGTTTAATTCAAAGTTTTTCGGCTTTCCCGGAACAGCATTAACGGCAAGACTTCGACTGTCTTAAAAAATTCTAAATAGAAGTGTAACCATACGATCATGAGTGGTACGACAGTGCCTACTGATCTTAGAAGAAATCCATAAAGTATAGTGTCAATGATGACAATTATTACGTTTTTCTTTCTTCTGATGATAGGACATCACCCAGTCTAGCCGATTCTTAATTACGCCACTAATTCTAAAGCTTTTGTTGCAGTTTGGATAGTTAAAATAGTGCACTTCTTGATTTTTGCATAGATTAAAAAATGTCAAGGATAATGGGTTGTAATGTATTCATTTGTCACAGCTGTTACATGATCAACATAAAAAGTGTGATTTGATGAAGTCATATCTTCGGAAAATAATAAATATCAGTGTTTGTGAGCTTATCGATATACGTAACGAATTTATTCAACAGGCTTATTTGTTAGTTCAATCCATTGTTAGGAATAATTATAATGTTAAATTAAGAATAAGAGACAGTTTTTCTAACTATCGACTATCCTTGGGAAACAGCTATCGTCTGCTCAAGAAATTTTACATGTTATGCATTTCTTTTTCGCATAATGAGACTAAAGAATATATATGAGTTTGACATGCCAGTCCCGAAGGAACTGCGATGGCTAATGTTTTATTAATTGAAATTATCATAATATTGTTTTATTTTTGTTTTTTAAGCTTTCCCACCAATGATTTCTGCAGCTAAACAATTAGCTTTAAGTCCAGATAATAAACTAATACATTCAAAATGGCAACAAACGAATAATGAAGTATAGAAATATTTATTTGACTATTTTAATCAGCTTTTTTTTTTGTTGATTATAGTTAATCGATGCTATCGGAAATATACGTGAAACACTTCAACCATTAACAACAAATCTTGCTAATGAAATAGCACAAATTTCATTTTATCATGATAGTCGTAGTGGTACGTTTCACATTGCACGAGTGTTTTTTTTTTTGGTAATGAAAAGTTTATAAATTTTAGCATCACGATCTCCACCTCCTCGGCCACCATTGCCATCTGATGAAGAATTGTCAGCATCTGCTGCTCCACCACGACCACCCTTACCAGTTTTCGAACCAAAAGATGAAGACATGTATGATAAAGATTTACCATTACCTCAATCAAATCAGCCAATGCTAGTTCGTATATAAATCAAATAAAAAGCAAATTAATTCATTAATTTGAATATTTTTAGATGGCTGCACATGATTTACATATGAATATAAAACAATATTCAAGTCATGATAATGAACTTATTGCATTAGCAAAAAAAATGACACATTTTGTTGCTCAATTGAGTCTACTTATTCGGTAAATTATTTATCGTATTGTATTTTATTTTATTTTATTTGTCTATATAATTATAGTGGTGAAACAGGAACAAAACGTGATTTAATTGCAACATCACGAGAACTTGCGGAAATATCTGAACATATCACATACTTTGCTAAGCAAATAGCAAAGGAATGTATGGATCGACGAATGCGTACAGTTCGTATTAATAACGATAAAAAATAAATTTCATTTTCTTTTCTTTTCTTTTTTTTTTTTGTTATTTTTATTTTAGCATTTACTTCAAGTTAGTGAACGTATACCAACAATTGGTACACAACTTAAAATATTATCAACAGTAAAAGCAACTATGTTTGGTATCTATGGTAAACAAATATTTAGTAAAATCTTCTTGTTGTAAATTTTACATGTATAGATTTTCTACCACGTAGTTTAAGTAAAAATGAACGAGCAATGATTAGTAAGAGAGAAAGAAAAAGAAAGAAAGACGCATGATACATTCACTTTATTGAACCTGCTTTACAGTGATCGATGATTGACTTACTTCGGCGTCATATGTTTCTAATAGAATTGTTTAGAATAGCACAAAAAATGCACATATTATCCTGCCTATTTTCCCTGAAGAGAAAAACAGATGGCAATAAATTTTTCATTTATTTCTAAAAATATTTTTTTTTTCTTCAAGGAGAAAAAAATAAGTGGGTGTTAACTTGCATGAATAGTCGAAGTGGAAAATAAAGTTATTTTTATTTAAAATGATTTTAAGCAATTAATAGTAGTCGATTTTCAAGTTGATTTACATAGCTCTTATTATGACCTTGTTTGACTACGTTATAATCAAAAAGAATATAATTCTTTAACAATAGATTCTTGATTATAAAATTTACCTCTTTCTTTTTTTATTATATTCAATGTGGAATTTCATTATTAGTATTATTTGAGAAGCTCTGAAACATCTATTAATTCATTCATTTTCTTTTTCTTGTTATAAATAGAAGTCTCACTATAAACTATTTCACGAACTATTAAATTAATGTTTCATAAAAGTATAATGGATTCAATCATGTTTTATTTCATTCATTTTGAGAAGGTCAATTTGTTATTTGAAGTAGAAAAAAAAAAATATTGTCTGTTGATAAGAATCGTGACAATAAATTAATTTGTATACCTGGTTTCACATGCATGAAAAGAGCTTAAATTTGACATTTTTATGAATACATTGAAACAAACAGTATTGAATTCTTCAATTTTTGAAGATAAAAAAAAGAAAACACAATTTTATTCTTTAGACTCAGAAGAAGATGCTGAAGCAACTGAAATGCTTATTAGTAATGCACAAAATTTAATGCAATCTATTAAAGAAACAGTAAAAGCAGCTGAAATTGCATCAGATAAAATTCGTCGTACGGACAACGGAATTCGTCTACGATGGACAAGACGAACTCGTTAGAAAAAAAATCTTTTTTTCTTTTTCTTTTATAAATGTTTGTATGAAATTTTTCTTTTTCTTTTTTTTTATTATGTAATAATAGTAGAAAAAAATATTTTATTGTTATTAATTTATTCAATTTTCCTTTTTATAAGTTTCTTTTCCTGGTTTTTTTTTTCTATATAAAGAAAAACAAAAAGCAAAATAGCAAATAATAATGTGGATTTGCCGTTTAATACATACAACATATTCATCAGCTAAATTAGCTGCTGTATCTATTGAAAAGGTAACTAATTGGTCATATGTCATAATGTTAAATTTTCATTTTAAATATTTTCTATAGACTAAATTACAATCGTTTGTTGTTAGTCTTATATCATCTGGGCAATTTTCACGTATATCGGATGTTATTCCTTATGAAGAATCATGTCTATTCGATTTTTCATCATATTTTAAACATTTTTCATCAATAACAACTGACATTATGCCATCTATGTCATTTGGACAAACATTACTAGTAGCTGATATGATACCATCAACCATGAAATTACTTAATGGGTGAGTATGTTGATTGATTAGACGCATGCAAATGTTGAAAATGTATTTGACATCTCTTTTCCGTTTCTGTAAGTTTTTTTTTTCTCGTCGTGTTTGTGATTTTTTTTGTAATAATGGTTAAAGTCGTCGAAGCCGGTGACAATTATGGTGACTTTGGCATGTGGGTTATATCAGATGAAAAAATTCTTTAAGTAGCAACGACTTTTCATCTCAAGAAGTAACATCGAACAAATAAGTATGTAAGTTTGAAATTAGATTTAGATGATAATCAGGCGTACAGTATTTTTTTTTCCTCTTATATTCTATTCTCTTCTCTAAGCTCCGTAGTTTAATTGCGTTACTTGTTATTCAGTCAATGTAAAGCAGAAACATGCCGGCTGTTTCATTGTAAAACATACAACTTTCTTTTTTTTTTCTGTTCTTTCGGTATTATTTACATTTCGTCTGCGCATTTTCACGTAGACATATTTAGTTAGAACACGTCCGAACATCGTTCTATCTTATAGTAAAAGCAACAACACATTATTAGAAAGATATGTTCTACTAAGCACATGTAGATAGTTTCTTCACTAATTAGTAAATTTATGCTTTCAAATGTAAAGAGCCGTATCTATATCATAAAGCATTGATAATTACTAACTATAAGTCGAATAGACTCATTTTCTTTTCAAGATGTATATATAAGTAGAAAAAAATAACTTTAATATAGTTTGTGACAACTTAATGGAGAAAAAATGAATGCTTTATTTTTCTTTTCTGCACACATTTGAATACTATTAATACACCGCCCAACATCTTCTTTTATGTGTGAAGTGACGTGTCGTTAAGAACGAGTTTCTTTTTGTCTCGTTCTTCTATTCGTTGACGACCTTCTTTGCCGTTGCTATCACGCTCTTTCACTATATCATACTATCGAACAAAAAAAAAAAAATCACAACTATTATCATTATTATTATCATCATCAGTATAAAGATTAGTGCTTCTGTTTGAGTTCTCTTCTGCATTCATTGTTACGACAAATTCTATAGTTAGATATTTGCCCTAACGAGCAAGAAAAAAAAAGGAATTGGCAGAATGGTTCCTTGATATGAGAAACGTTTTATTTCTTCGCTTTACACAAGTTTGTCTCCGTGCTTTTTCTTTTCTCGTTCTTTTCTGACTCGTTTCTTACAGAAGTGTTGTTGTTCGTCAAAGATTGACGAAGAATATCCAAAAAGAAAGAAAGAACGAGAAGAAAAAAAGAAAATAAGAGAGTAAAAATAGTTATGTAATAATAGGTTCGGCTTCTTTATTGTACAGTTGTTATTGTCCTTGTCATTAGTAAGACCATACGTATATTTTTCTCTCTCTTTTCTGTCTGATTATTATTCACATGAGAAAAAGAAAAGGACAACAACATTAACCGCAGGAATCTACATAGTTGTTGGCTCCTATCAATATAACTTTTCATTGAATACTAGAAGTAGATAAGGTTTTTTTGCCTTGTTTATTCGAACAATCTAAGATTTATATCTCTCTCGAGCCTACACATGCACACACCAATACAGTCTTTTCTTATCTATTCACACACATTGGTTATTGTTAATAATGACCGAAACTGATTTTTGATGGATTAGATGAATAGCTCGATGTATCGCGTGAAAAAAAAGAAGGAGAGAGAGAGAGAGAGAGACCGCAGAGTAATGTGTCGATGCACCCTGTAACCACAGTCCTCTTTTCTCTCCACTTATAATAGCGTAGAAACAGGGTTAAAATAGGCGAAAATGCGGTCGAGGCCATTTTTTTTCTCATTTCTCCTATCTTCTCATAGGTCATTGTTAGGATGTATCTGTTCGGAACATGCGGTCTCCTTTTTTTTTTCTTTACTTTCTTATTTTTCATTACTTTTTTTTGATAAGTTTTGGTAAAAAAATTTTATTGGTAATTTAAGAAGAAAAATAAAACCATAAAAATAGCACTTATATTTCTTTTTCTTTTCTAGTTAAAATAATTTCTAATGTCGTTTTCTTTTTTACTTTCTAGTTTAACTATTTGAGCTATTAGAATAATATTAAATGTCGACTGATCCAGCAATTAGTCGTCTTCAACCAGGTGATGGAACTGAAGATTCCACTCAACTTGGTTGTACATCATGGTTACTTATATCATGTGTTGTTCTTACATTAACAACATCATTTGTATTTGGCTGGGGTTTAGGGGCACCAAATATGTATAATCATTTTACGGAACCATTTCTTAAAGACAAGGATCCATGTAACGTTGAAAAATCAGATCATATGCATTCAAATGCAACAATATTACCTTCAGTAGTACCGGATACTAATGAAATGGTCGAAAAAACTGATGATCAAAATACTGAACTCAATAAAAATGAAAATGATGATGTGCAAGAAAGATCTCATCATCATCATCATGGAAAACCTAAAGAAGAATTTGATTTTGTATTTGAATTAATCAAAGGTATTCCACAAACGGTATTTCTTATTGGTGCCTTTATTGGTGCACTTACTGGTCCATTTTGGCCGAATTTTTTCGATCGTAAACGTACAGTTTTTGCTAATTATTTATTTTGCTTTGCTTCATCACTTTGTGTTTTACTCGCATATTATTTTGGTAAACCATGGCTATTTTTTTTAAGTCGTTTCTTACTTGGTTATCAAGGTAAATAATGAAAACAAAAACGATATTAAAATACAATTGAAATTAATTATGAATTTTTTTTTAGGGGGTATGGCTTGTGTCGTTGTGCCACCATTTATTGGTGAAATCTCCTCACAACGTGTTCGTGGTGCAGCTGGTGCTGCTTTTCAACTTTCATTAACAATCGGTATTCTTGTTGCACAAGTTGTTGGTTTACCATTTATTGCTGGAGCATGTGATCGTTGGGCTTGGGGTCTTGCTATTGTCTTTCTATTACCATTCGTTGGTCTTTTTCTTCTATTTCCTTTACCTAATTCACCAACACAAATGATTGGAAAATATAATAATGAAGAACAAGCTATAGAAGATTTAAAAAAATTACGTGGAACAAATAATATTCAAGCTGATCTTGAACTTATTCGACAACAAACAAGACAAGTTGGTGGAGGTAAAACAGAATCATTATCAATTCCTCAAGTAATTATAAAACAATGATTTACTATATATATATATATATAAATTTTATTTCTATTAGGTACTTACTTCAGCTCATTATCGTTGGCCAATGTTAACAACTGTCATTCTTCAAATGGCACAAGCATTATCTGGTATCAATGCTGTATTCTTTTATTCATCAAAAATGTTTGCAAAAGCTGGTATTCCACATGGTTATATTCCATATGCTAATATTGTCACTGGCCTTATTAATGTACTTGCAACAATTGTATCAATATCATTAATTGAAAAACTTGGTCGTCGTGCATTAATTATTTATCCAATGGCTGTTATGATTTTTGTATTTGGTATACTTACAGTACTTGTTCAATTAAATGAAAGTCGAAATAATTCAACATTGGGTATATTATCAGTTATATTCATTTTAGTATTTATTGTTTGTTTTGCTGTTGGTCTTGGTCCAATTCCATTTTTATATGGTAGTGAAGTTTGTCGACCAGAAGCTCGAGATAGTGTTCAATCATTGGGTTTAGTTGGTAATTATATGGGAAATATTCTTTTATCATTATTTTTTCCTGCACTTAATTCAATTCTTGGTGGTTACGTATTTTTAATTTTTCTGGTACTTGTTTTACTTAATCTCATATTTCTTTGGTATAAAATGCCTGAAACAAAAAATAAATCAATTGAAGATGCTGAACGATTTTGGAATATACCTGTCAAGCCAAAAGAAGCACTTTTACAAACAACTGCACCAGTTACTGCATAAGAAGATAAAAACAACAGATCATTTCTGATATTAAAAAAAAATATAAAAACAATGTTTCTTTCGTGAACCATAGTAGTTTGTAGCTTAATATTTTGTGTGCACTTTTCTTCTTTTTTTTTTCTTCATTCATCATATTAATTTTTATCCAAAGATAGAAAGGTATAAAAAAAAATTCATACAGTGACACTAATCATTAGTGCGTTTTTCTGTATATTGTTAGATCTTTCGTTTCACTTGGTCCTCATTTCATGGTCAATGTCGTCTGTATTTTCTTTTTCTTTTCTTTGCTCTTCTAATTTCTCCTGTCGAAGTATCATGTTTGCATAAAAACAATATACAACAACTATAATGACATTTGCTCAATTGTTCCTTTTCTTTCAATATATAGAAACAAAAGAATAATATATTATATTTAGCTGTAATCTATCATCCAACGGAGCTATTGTTATTGCACGAGAACAGTCAGAAGGACAAGGTAGATAAGGAAGATAATAAGAGAGAAGGTTGTTTATTTATCATTACTTGTTTATAGGACGTGGCAATAATCAATGGACATCACCCTTGGGTTGTGCTTTGTTCAATGTTTATTTTGACATTGATCTACAATCGTTATTAGGACAACGTTTATCTCTATTACAACTTTTAGCTAGTGTTGCTGTTTTACAAGCAATTGAAAGAACACCAGAGTATAAAGTACGATAGTCATAAAGTTTTATCAAAGAAGATTTGCAAATAATGAATAATAAATTTTTATTCTTTTTCTTTTTTGCTAGGCACTCAATGTTCAAATCAAATGGCCTAATGATATATTTATTGGAAATGATTTTACAAAATTAGGTGGTATTTTAGCAACATCATCAATTAGTGGAAATTGTGCATCGATTAGTCTTGGTTTATATATTAATTCTATTTATTCAAAAAAAAAAGTATTTCATCGATGTGTTTTTTACCCTAGGTATCGGTGTCAATATATTCAATACTCAACCATCTGTTTGTTTGAATGATGTCATTGATCAACAAAAATCAACTTTAAACTTATCTCATTTTACAATTGAAGAATTTATTGGTCGTACAGTTGGTTATTTTCAAAAATGGGTTTCACAATTATCTCAATCAAATATTTCTCAAGCAAGAATTGCTATAAATAATTTCTATCAATTTTATGAATCTCATTGGATGCATCAGTAAGACAAAATGATAGACATTAGTTATTGCTTTATATACATATTATTTTCTATTGTTTATAGAAACAAAGAAGTTTTTGTTGATAAATGGCAAGAGAAAGTAATCATCGTTGGCATTGATGAATATGGGTTTTTAAAAGTCCGAAAGTCATCTGATGGTAAAATTGTAACATTACATACAGATGCACATAGTTTTGATGTACATCAAAGTATTATTCGTGAAAAAGCTATATGAATTTTTCTTGTTATTTCTAACAAAAATTAACATAGATTCAATAAAGTTTTAAACATAAAACTTTATACGATGAAGTTACCATTAATAATAATAAAAGGTTTATGAACATCAAGATTGATATCTTTTTTTCCTACATCGAAGAAAATCTCTTATTACAAGTGTGTAAATAATTGAAAAGATATTGTTATATTACATTATCAAAGATACTAGTAGAATTTCAAGGTTAAGATGTTAAGAAATGATACAGTAAAAGTCTGTTTTAAAATATATAATAAAATGAAATTAATTCTAAAAGTTTCGGAAATAACTTTTCGGATATTTTCTTTTTCTGAGTAGTGAAAAGGATTTATGTTGTCGAATCAAATCAATTTTGTGCAGTTTGAGAATAATCAAGATTTGTTTGAGAAAAACAATTTAAATAACTTTTCAAGAACAAAAACGGAAGTGATGAACAGTCTTCAAATAAGCCTTTATCAGGGACGTTGATTTATTATTATTTTTCTTAAAAGGATGAATGAAAACAAGAAAAACATGCGTTATTAGAAAACAATGATATGTAATATTATATAGAAATCCTTTATTCAAATAATTAACAATTTATTCTTTTTTATTTCCTAACACTAAATGTTTTCTTTATTATATACTCAAAAAGTGAATACACTCTAGAATCGGTCAGTGTCCGTCCGTCCGGCAGTCCGTTTACACGATAACTTTTGAAAGGAGAGTCCGATCGCGATGAAATTTTCTACACAGTTCAGTCTTAACAATATCTCGGTCGAGTTCAAAGATGAGAAGAATTGGCCGAACTGTTCCTGAGTTATTGCAAAAATACTCATTTTTCCCTATGGCTTCCTATGCGAAAATCGATCCATCCCCGCTTTCGTAAAAACATTTTCCTATCATAGTCAAACGAAACCCCAACTATTATATACCATTCGATAGAGAATTTTACGAGCTAGAAAATGGTATATAAAACATAAAGAAACAGGAAGGCTAGCTCACCTATTGCAAAGATAAATAAACGGAAATCGGTNAATCTGAACTCAATTCCTGTGATTTCTAAAGATATTCTATAAGTCTGAGAGTAGAGTCAGTGGTCACCGGATAGGATCGCATACAGTATGATCCATGCTAACTTAGCACGTCTGTATTTTCTCCTTGCAATTTAGTGATAAAAAGCACAGTGAATGTACCTTTTCACTTTTTGAAGTACACATAACACTCGGATTTAAATCCGAGGTTTTCGCATTTATTTATATTAAATATTAATACTATAATAAGAAAAGAGCAGAAAATTTGTCTAGAATACGCGTGTGTATTGTTCATCATTAAAGGAATGGACATCTGTATTACAAGAAGCTCAACCTACAACCTCTACAATTCTTTACATTAAAACATTAGAAACAGGAATGATATTTCAAGATTTTTGTTTAATAAGGTTACTACTAAAATGTACCAATTTATATCTTGAAAAACAATTGAAATCTGAATAGTTGTACTTTTGTTGATAATGTCTTTCTACTGTGTATCTACAAGTTTTTTTTATAAATAATAAAAAAGATGTGAATACATCTACTTCCATTTCAGTTTATTTAGAGATGTGCAGTGTATTTTTTTTTCATGAGCTTACCCTATCCTATGGAATTTTTGTTCACCCTGTTCTTTTCCTACTCAGTCGATATCTTGTTCTGGCTCTATTCTACGCTACAAAACTTATAACCTGACTCTAGCCTACATTTTTCTCATCGTAACTCTACTCTCCGTTCCAGAATAGCTGAAGAGTATTTGTGTCTCATAAGCTCCACTGTATATTCTCGTTACTATGCCAAGTACTCTTGTACTCTGGCCCTACTGTATACTACGCCAATCTTAACTATCCTTGACCTTGTGCTACTCTTATTTCATTCATGTGGCCTTTGAATAACTTTTGTTGTATCATACGTAAAGGAACATTGTTGTTATCTAGTCATAAGATACGCAAAACATACCAACATATCGGCGAAACGAACAATTTTTTTTGTTGGTATATCTAGTATAGCTGACTTTCTATCTAATAAAGCAACACCCAATGAATTGAAACGTCTACCAATAATGTATGATGCTTTATATTTTTCATGATCATTGTTTTCGCTGTATACTGAGAAACGATCTGGTGAACATAATGTATATGTTGAATCATGTAATAATGATGCACGTTGTTGTTGTTGCTGCTGTTGTTTTATTTTATTATCTGTTATTGTATCATCATTATTAAATTCAATATTACCATTAAGAGTTGTTGAACTATAAGATTTACGAAGAAATCTTTCTAATTCATTATTGCGTGCATCTGAATTCGATTCGCCAAAATCTAGTGATGTTGCTGTATCTTAGAAGAAAAACAGTAGAAAATAGAGTTCTATTTGATTTTTTTTTGATTTACTACCATTATTCTTATTTGAGATTTGTTGATTATCTTCTTCATTTTGGCTATATTCATCGATTTCATCAAGATTAGCTATTTCAATATCATCATTGTCACTAATCTGATCAAAACCAAGGTTAAAATCAAGGTCTACTGATGATGTTGATGCCTCTTCTTCATGTCCAACATCAGAAAGTGTACTGCATATACCAAACGATGAAATGGTTGAATCAAACGTACTACAGTGTCGACCGGTACCGGGCAAATTAGAACCAAAGCTGCAATTAAATTGTGGTTGTGTATCAATAGTAGATGGTTCTGAACTATTTTTTGAACAAGAACGTATGCGATGTGGATATTGATGATGATTATAATTATTGTTCATAGATGTACCTTTTACATAAAATAAATCATGTGTTTGTGCAGATGTTTTATGTTGACCAAATAATAAATTATTATTGTTACAATTGTTAGAATTATTATTAGAATTTGTTGAACAACGTGCTGAATTTTGTAAATATTGCATTACTTTATGATTACTTGATAAAAATGAAGCATCAACACCATTATTACCATTGCTTGCTAGTGTTTTACGAGACATTGATATAGTATACAGAAACAGTTTTTTAAAATTTCCTATGTATCACAACGTAGAACATGGAGATATAACCGTTACCGTCAATCAACAAAACGTAATAAGTGATTCTTCTTGTTGTTGCTATGAAAGAGAGAAAAAGAATAAAAACTGTACATCTTATATCCACAACCCTGGGAGGGTTTTTGTACACACGTCACCTTCTTCCCCTCCGACAAATGAGTTGGGGGGAATAGTTAACCGATATTAGGAAGAAAGAAAAAAATCAAAAAGTGTCTTCATCCTATTTATTCATTCAAATAAATCTTGCGAAAAGGGAGAACAAAAAAAACCTATTCAATAGACATCTATGACTCATTGATTATTGCTTTTTATTTACACGTGGATTCTATTTTCGTCAACCGTCGTTTATGTCAGAAAGTAGTTTAATGTCAGATATTTACTTGGGTACATCTCATATATCTCTAACACAGCCATGTAGAATCAGTCATGAAAAGGGAGAATTTCTTCGAACGGGAAAATAACTTGAAGAATTCCCACAGACTCAATAGTTTTGAACAAATATCCCTGGGCAATAAATTTCAAAGAAGCTTCTGCAAACATAAATGTTTTCGAAAGTTTTTCCAGACTGAGAAAAATCTCCCGGAAGGTGCTTTTGCATACGGGAGTAGATTCTATACTTCTGTTCTAACATGTCAGATATTTGTTGGCTTAGTGTTCGAAATGAAATATATACGTTTTTATTGACAAATAGAGAATAATTATGATGAAAAACAAAGACATTCTATCGAAAATCGAAAGAAAGGAAAGTAAATACAAAAAAAAAGCACGCACGTAAACATGCAAGATTCATACAAAAATGTTTTATAATTCCCAATAGATGATGGAAAAAGAAAATCTGACTCTTAGATTGTTGCACTTTGCCTGTTTTTTACTGGCTTTTTATTTCTTTAAGGTTATCTACTGGCTAGGGTAGTATATGTCAATAGATAAGAATACATATATATTTATGGAGGGAGGTAATCATGGTTTTTCGTTCTTCATACAAAAAAAATTATCTCAAGGTAATGAAACATCAAGTACATCGCTTTCTGTGACCTAGACTAATTAGTATCTTATATTAATTCACATATTTTTGTTTTTATTTTTCAAAATATCAAAGAAAACTCATTATAAAAATGCATAATCTCAAATCATTTACTATTAAAAACTAATATATGAATTTTATCTGTATATTGATTCGTGACTAATAAAATAAGCATATGAAACATTCGATTTTATTATTATTAAATTATATTAAGATTATCTACCTTTATGAACACTAAATTCAATGGAACCATATCCCATTACTTTGATCGACATTATATACTTTACAAACGAAATGTTCTAAAAGTTTCTACATGGTTACGATGAAGAGATCAGACAAGTATCTTCGTCGTTCAAAATTTGTAAAGAATTCTCAACATGTATGAATGCGAAGTTCAGAACTTATACAAGAAAGTAAAAGCACGTCATGTATTCGACAGAATCTCACAAAAAAATAATATATTCATACATATACTAACTTAGTAAAATATATAAAAAGCAGATAACATCGTTGTTGATGTTAGGAAAATAAGTTTCGAGAGACACATTTAATCTTAAGTGATATATGCATAACATTGAATAGCTGAATTCATTGAAATTCCGAATAATCGGATTTCAATATTTTAGAAGTAAGGAAAAAACAATTAATTGTATCGAACAGAGTATTGGTTAGTTCATGAAACAAGAAATAGAAAAAATGAATCGGAAAAATAGTGATTTATGATATGAACAATACGATTCATTTAGTGATAAATGTAGATAGACATGAGACTACTGAAAAGAAAACATTGAGTCATACTTATAAGATAGTACTTTATGCTTTTTATAATTCCTGTGGAAGAGGGGCGGATGTATGCTTGTATATTATCGCTCTATTTTCACCTTGATGAAACCTTGTTTTTCATTTTGTTATTCTTATTAGAACGTAGTTGTCGTGAGTTAATAGCGACAAACTAATGATTTACATTGTAAATAGTTGATTAATTACTATGGATTCTTGTTTTCTTTTAAATAAACTAATATGTTACATCAAATCTTATTGAACTCGACATACATATATATATCTATAATGCAGTGACATTGTGTTGTTAACACAATTATTAATATTAGTCATGTTTTAATAGCAGTATTCTGAATGAGATGAGATGAACCAACAAAAAATGATTTCATTCTTTATAGAAACAGCATGATGCATCTTATTGAGGCAGTAGAGATCTGCGCAACTTTTGTAACGAAAGCATAGGCATCAATGTTTCTTTTTTCTTCTATGTACAACTCTTGTACTAGTACATTGTACAAGTTTTACTGAAATGATTAGTCAGAAACATCGCATATTGTCAGATTTTTCTGTTTCAAGATTCTCTAAAAATAAAAAATAAAAAGAATTTTGTATTAAAATACCTTCAGAATAAGTAAAACAAAGCTGTTTCTAGCGAAGAAATATATCCATCGAAAGCAATTAGTGTTTTATAACGTAGGTGAAATTATCTCCATATTCGAGTATTTCCAGCCCGGATTCGCCCATCAACTTGTTCCAAATCTTCTATTCTTGTTCCAAGTAGAACTCGACGAGTTCTATCCGTTGATATAATCAGCTTTTTCATAACTAAACCAATCGCCTAGAAAATCGATTTTTCAATTTTTCCTCTATGGGATGCAGGAACCCTACAAAGTATTTCCAACCCGGATTCGCTCAGGGGCTTGTTCCAACTCCCCCATTCTCGTTCCAAGTACAACTCGACGAGCTCTACCCAATGGTTTGCTTAGATTTTCCATAAACCCAGACCATAATTTTCAGGCTTTCTACAGCGCCATCTATGGTCCCAAAAATCATACTTTGGGCTGTGGAAAATCTGAGTATACCGTTCGATAGAGCTCGTCAAGTTGTACTTGGAACACGAATGGGAGATTTGGAACAAGTCCCTGAGCGAATCCGGGCTGGAGATATTTTTTAGGGTCTCTAGATCTCATACAGAAAAAATTGGAAAATCGATTCTGTAAGCGACTGGTATCAGTTATGAAAATTTTGATTACACCAATGGATAGAGCTCGTCAAGTTCTACTTGAAACAAGAATATGAACGTTGGAACAAGTTCCTGAGCGAATCCGGGCTGGAAATAGTTTTCATAGTGCCTGGATTTCGTGGGGAAAAAATGGAAAAATCGATTTTTCTAGGCGACTAGTTTTAGTTATGGCAAATCTGATTACACCAATGGATAGAGTTTGTCAAGTTCTATATGGAACAAGAATAGGAGTCTTGGAACAAGTTTCTGAGCGAATCCGGACTGGAAGGACTTTTCTGGGTGACTAGACTGCATGGGAAAAGAATGGAAAAGTCGATTTTGTACGCGGTTGGTTTAGTTATGGAAAAGCTGATTATATCAACGGATAGAACTCGTCGAGTTCTACTTGGGACAAGAATAGGAGACTTGGAACAAGTTTCTGAGCGAATTCGGGCTGAAAATACTCGAATCTGGTGATGACTTCACCTACGTTGTTTTATAAAATATTTCAAATTAACGACATGGAAAAGAATAATAGAATGATAATATTATCTTGTCTTATTCTATTCTGTATGATATTTACTATTATATCTTTCACTATGAGGTTGTTAAATCTACGTGTAAAACAATTCAATATAGAAACTTTACTCAAACTAATCATACCTTTCCTTTACCATTGATAAGAGACCATGCATCAAGAACACCCAGATGAACGAGTCAGAGAGGGAGTCCATCAAAAGTGGACAAAAGAGAGTAGAGTCGAGCATTTCGGACGTTCATAGACTTACTATGAATATTTTTCTTCTTCTCATACAAGCTTTTCCGTAATTTAGAAGCTTAGTTGGATTTGAACAGTGTTTTTAAATAGGAAATGAAGTAAATGAATCAAGTTAATTTAGATATGGTGTTGAAATAGTTAAAGATAAACAAACATGGGCAGCTAGTTATTTTCTCGAGCAGCAAAATAAACGTTGTTCGATTTTCGAGTGTCTTTGGTAGTAAACTTCCTTTGTTGTTTTTGACGATTTTCTGCTGATTAAAATATAATGTATTTAATAAATAATGCCTTTGCAATAGATTAGATTTTTGTTTGTTGTTTATGAAATATGTGTTAGTTCATTTTTATTTTTAATATATGTATTTAATGAACTATTATTTAATAAAAAAAAGAAGCAATATATTTGAACAAGCAGGCTTCTTCCAGAAAGTTTTTCTTAATATTTCACGTTCAAGATGGGAGAAGGTGTGTGTCCAAAGTTCGTTTTTGATTTGAATATCTTTTATGGATGACCCTTATTCAATCTACTAGACTTGACAACGAATGCCACTGAGACTTTGAGATTCTCATTTGAAAGCCCGATTATCGTCAAAAAAATCATTTTTGAGATAAACATATGAACATATCGCCTGATTTGTCTAACGTACGAATTCATAAAAATAGTTTTGATTCTCGAAGATTTGGAGAGGTTTTATGAATGACTTATGAAGCTCTCCGAACCAATCGGTGAAAATTTTTTGTAGAGGTAGATTTGCAAAATAAACAAAAATCTTTTGCGTCTTAGAAATTTCAATTTGAAATCTCTAATGGCTTAAGGATGCAGATGTGCATTTTTTCTTCAAGTACAGTCCAAACGCATACACCTATACCCTTTGAGGGAACTCATGTTTTCTTTTACTCATAAATTTATATGCAAATTCTTCAGATGAGAGAATAGAATTTCCTTATTAACTATCAATCCTAGATAAATTCTGAGTTTTCCACAAAACTATGTTTAAAGTTTTCAGACTTTTGAAGTTTCGACACTCCGAAAAATGAAACAGAATAAAAGTTAAAAACATGTTTTCCATCATTCGAAGTGGTAAGAAGTTCTCTTTCAAGTGAAAACAATCTGACCTCTGTAGCATGGAATGTATTGATAGAAAACTTGCTCTTGTAAAAGCATTGTATTGCAGCTTTGTCGATGTAAAAATTAGACTCTGAAGAAGGCTTCTTAAACATCTATATTAATTTATATATGGACCACTTCAGGTAAGTTGCGACATGTTCACGTTTCATTTAACTATTAATTAAAATGAATAAGCTGATTAATTGATTAGTTAAAAACTAATTAGAGAATATCTATCTAACCATTTGAGAAAAAAATTCGAAAAATTTATGATAGACTCTGTAGCATCAGTTACATATATGATAGTATTTTCAACAAGAGGGAGTCCCTAAAAACTGCCTCTTAAAAAACAATTTTATAGAGATTCTATTAAGTTACGAAACAAAACTTTTGCCTTATCATCATCTAGAGATTCGGAAAAGAGATTTGTATCATTTTGTATTGGTTGTAAACTTCTCTTTCGATTATAAGACTATTCTGTCGTTTGTAAGGTGTTGAAAGTACAAAATTAAATTACAAGTTTTTTTTCTTCTCATTATAGATAGTTAGATAGAGCGTGACGAGCTGATCAACATTAAGTGCGTTTTCAATTTACTAGAATGAAGTTTTAGGAGAAAAATTTCAGTTTTTTCAGATGATCCGCTTTATCTGAAAAACAAGTTAATTTTCACTAACTGACAAATTTTGAATTTTTTTCATGTTCTTTAACTTTGAAAACTGTTTGTTTCCAATTTAACGTGAAAAAATGAATCTAGGAAACTCATTTGCAAATCAGTTTTCTAGATTGAATTTTTTAAGCTAAATTGGAAATAAACAGTTTTGAAATTTAAAGAAAACGAAAAAATTCAAAATTTGTCAGTGATCTGAAATTGACCTGTTTTTCAAAAAAAGTAGGTCATCTGAAAAAACTGAAAATCTTCCTCTGAAAATTCATTCTAGAAAATTAAAAATGTACCTAGTATTGATCAGTGTGCTATGGTCTATCTAACTATATAAAGAGAAGAAAGAAACTTGTCTTTTAATTTTGCATTTTCGGCACTTTGTATTCGCACTTCATCACGTGGCCAGAGAAAGTGAAAGAAACTTTTTATAAAATCCTAAGCATGTTCAGAAAATACTTTGTGTAGAGATTTTGTAGTATCAGAAACTATCTAAAGAATGAAGTATTTAGTTTTCGAAGATGCTACCTTAATTTGAATCTTTTAAAACTGAAATGCACAAAATGAAAGCCGGTGTCCTTCATTGTGGCAGGTTGCTAACGCTAGTTTTTTTTACTTATAACTCTTCTCGAAAAATATCTCTAGTACTGTTTCTTTCAGGATATATAGAGTAACTCAGCATACTGCCGAACATTTGCCGCTACCGTCTAACAGAGTCCGGTTTTTCAAAATTTTCTTTATGAATTTTTGACATCAATTTTTTTTGTACAGCTCAAAAACCATGAGATATTCTTACGGAAAAAGATTCATTTTTTTCAAGAACGAAGTAAAAAAATAACAAATCTGGCCCCGTCAAGTTGATGAGCACAATTTGTTCTTCAATTTAAAATCTTTCTAAGCGTTCTAGCATGTAAAATGGCTAAGAAATTCGGGACGCACAAGTAAAAAATAAATAAAAAGCTCTTGTCGAGAAAAACGTCACACAATGTTTGCAAGCAAAAATTAATGTTTCTTTTTAGTAAAACGGTAAATGGAGCATGCCGATCGTAGTCTACTATATGTTACTGACCATGGCAGAGCAAACGAAAACTTGCGCGTACTTGTACACCATCTGAAAATGTCAATCTAGAAAAGATAAAAGTATAGGAGTTGTAGGTGTGAGTATTTTTGTCATTCATCGACGATCAGCCCTACTTATTCACACCCACACCAACAATATCAGCTGTTCAAATAGACGAAAGAAATAATTATAGAAATGAAAGAATGAAGCTGACGAAAGAAAAGAGAACGCATACCTATGTCAGAAGACGCCTCTTCCAACACAGCGCTGTCAAAATAGTTACATAATTCAATAAACACTTGCAGGAAAAGAAAAACAAGGCATGAGTCCACTTGTTCGAAGCTGGTAATACTTGTTATTTCACACATTTTTGTTAGATTCTTCACGATAGAAAAGCCTAGTAAAAGTTCAAAAGCGAATAATAACAAACATTTTCCAAGAACACAATTTTCTTTACCCCAGTATCATCAGTAAATCTTGTATTAAACCGTGAAAAAGCATCTGAATTCCGATAAATCATACCATTCTTGATAGTATACAACAAGGGTTATCCAACTACATAAAAATTTTAAGATCGGTTTTTTTTTGACAAATATCGGGATTTTTGACGGCGAGGCAGTCATGTATTCTTAAACTCTCTGAAGATCGTCTAAATAAATTGATGACACGAACAAAAATAGCCAAAACTTTGCGATCCTAGCAATTGTGTTTATATGACGCAAATAGCTTTAAAATTTGCATATGACAAATGAATACTGATTGGTAATTTTTAAAAAAACTGCCGAACAGTACAATTGTTTTCATGTTATCATAATATGACAAGTTGTTTTTTTCTACTCCGCTATATTGCTTCATTTAATTCCTATTCAATCTATCAACAATATGCAATGCGTAACAGATTCTATTAATCGACTAAAAAACAAATCATTCATCATTGTCATAAATATCACAGAACCAAATCTTTACAAACACGCAAACAATAGAGCACATCTCACATACATGCTAATCAATGTAACGAGAGACAATATCATGTATATGAAATATACAAGCAGATGTATAGAGAAAACTTCGTGAAGTTTAATTAACAAAGAAACAGAATTCAGGTGTGCATACTTAACAATGTTGTCAATGATTGTGGTATGCAAGTACATTACTAATTTTCTCCAAAACAAGGAGCATACCAAACCAGATTAATAGCAGACTGCATATGTATGTACAGTAGCAATTTTTCTTTCTTTGATAATGAACTTCACTCACCGGCGCATATATACTAGTAAATAGCGAAAAAAAACAGAAAATAGAAAAAAAATAAGAAAGACAAGTCGTATGTTCATAAGCCAAAGAAAACAAATATACAAGAGAAAAACAAGCAAAATAGAAAGAAAATGTATCACCATGCGAAAAAAAAAACAGAAAAGAAAAGAACAATATTCATAACAAAAAGTGATGCATGTTACACGTGTAACTCGGCTTTGAGCAGTGTTGACATAGGTTTTTATTTTAAATTGTCCCACATCTGTGTTTATCGTCTAGAAAAAAGAAAATAATTAATAATATAGTAAATATTTTGTTTAAATGTGTACATAAAAATGAGGGCGTGGCAAAATTCTAATTATTACCAATTTTGAGGACGTTTCTGATTTCTGCTCAATCTACACAAGACCGTCGGTCAATTTTCAAAATTTTTGAAGAATTGAAATTAAAAATAATTTTGACACGCAGATTTCAAAGTTTGTACCAATTTGAAATTTTCCACCCCATGTATTATTACTAGTAAGTGACGCCCGGTTAGTTTCTTTTTTTCTCTCTTGACCTTGATTTCGATTAGATATTGTAACAGGGAATCTACGCCTTAAAGTTAATGATAAAATCATCTTTCAGTTTTATATCAAATCGTCACCGCGCAGTGACTCTATTGTTCGACAAGTATTCGATAGATACTATGTTCAAATCTCGGTACTATCAGTCATGAATTGAACCTGGAGAAGTCACTAACGGTCGTTTGTCTCAGATCATTCATTCTTGAACACAAGAACCATGCGTTAGACTGGCCTTCTGTTCAGAACTGTAGCTAGTATTAGGTATGAGAGAGATATCAAGTAAATGAATCTGCTGCTAGGTAACACTTTATACTACAACGTAGTCGAAAGACAAGAGTATTTTTCTTCTTCAGTCTTACATCGATATTAAACTTCTTCAGGCGGTTAAAACTCAAAGAATTAGTGTAATTATAATAATAACAAAGGAACAAAATCTGGTATCTATTCTTATCGTTGAAAATAAGTCTCAAAAGCACATTAAAAGGATAAAACTTTATATTGAAGATTCTAATTACTACTTCGAATGGCTGATGTAGATGGATGAATGGAACACATTTTCTATGAATATATATATCTTTTGAATTCTCAGATCTTTTTGACTGGCAGAAGTAAATATAAACGAGCAATAGGAAGAAATATCTTATTATGAGCCTTTATATACGAAAATCAGTTTTGATAGAAACAAAAACTGTGTCATTCTTAGTTTTTTTGCTTTACCTTTCAAGTACATCTAATACATAATTCCATCCACGATTATTATCCCAAAATTCTTGATTATTGGTTTGTAAACATATAGCAAAATAAATTTTTTTCGGGACTTTTGTGTTATCATCATATTTTCCTAAACGTATTTCAAATGTAAATGTATCTGTATTATCATTTGGATAATTCAATGAATGCCATCCATAAATATCTTGAAATGTTTTCCAATCATTTTCACTTATACGAGCAAAAACACGCTTTTCATAAGCACGATTATGGACACGAACTGTTCCATATGCTATGGAATCTTTTGTATATAAACATTCAAGCATTACTTGTTGTTCGTATATTAGTGGAATAATGTTTGTTGGAGAAGTAAAATATTTTGAAACTAAATAATATTGATTCGTTGATTTTTTAGAAGCTGTGAAAGATGCAGATGAAGATGATCGATTAAAAACATTTGAAAGATCAAAAGGACATGGAGATGAAGAAAATAGATTTGATTGACTATTGGCTAGGCGTAATTGTTCAAGTTTAATACGAATACACTCTTGAATAAGCGAACTTGCTGATTGATCTGGTGGAGTCATATAACGAATAGATTCCAGATCAAGACCCTAAAAGTAACAAATAAATATAACGCCTAATATTTTACAAACGATATTTATTCTGGTTTGAAATAAATGTTAAATATTAGGAATGACTGTAGATTTAAAAAAACAATCAATTCTCAAGTTTTGAACAATTCTTTTTTTATCGAGTTTTAACAATTCCGAACATTTTTTAATATTCAATGGTTTGGAAACATCATCTATACACATTACTATGAATTCGACTTTCAATACATATTTCTCTCTTATTGAAATGAATATAGAACAAGCTTCAATGATAATCATCGGAAAAAGAATCACTAAATTAATTTATTCAATCAAGTTTTTTTTCTGAATTTTCTGAATAATTGAAAACTTAAGAATAAAAATATGGATTTCATTTACTTTAGTTTTAAATCAAAACTAAATCGAACAAAACGAACTATATAATGACATCCAAAGTAACTCAAACCGGACAAAAACCAACTGGTAAATTGTTGACAGACTGTTCAGAATCATCTGCAATAGATCGAATTGAATAATTCGGAGGTTCTTTTTTTTTCTTTCAATGAACTCTCATAAAAAGACTGCTTGACATCAAGCATAAGAACACTTGATACTTTTATATTCAATTTTGATTCTATAATAAGAAAAAAGCAGAAAAACATTTCTACAACATATATTTATATTTATTGTACATTTCTACTGTAATAGACTCGAATTACAGATTCTACAATTCTGTACATTACAATATTAGAAAAAGGAATGATATTTCAAGATTCATATTCCATAAAGTTACTAGAGGAATGTATCACTCTCTATCTTGAAAAATCAATGAAAACTAAATAATTGTACTTTCGTTGATGATGTCTCTATAGTTTGTGCTTCCATTCGAAACTTCGATATTTTCACTTTTATTATTATGAAGTATTATCTCATAGAAAATCAGATAAAAAAGTCGTCATTTTCTCACGATTGATCATGTTAGCAAACAAATATTTTACAATTCATAGGTCTCAAGCATAGAAATCTATTTCAAGATACTGATCTTTGATAAAATAATATATTTTCAAGGAGAACATTTTTTTTCATGAATAATAAAAAGAGATGCGAAGATGTCTATCTCAATTACATTTCATTTAGAGAAGTGTAGGGAAAGCATATTTAAAAAGCTTACTCTATCCTAAGGAATTTTTGTTCATTCTGGCCTAACTCGACATCTTTCTCATCTTAACTCTACTCGTACACCACAAGGTAGGGTAAGGGTATGGATGTCTTATAGACTCTACTGCATATTCCTCTTACCATACAGAGTACTTCTGGTATTTTGACTCATACTTGTAACCGATTCTTTGCGAACCGATCGATCTTTATCGATTTTCACCGGTTTGAAAGTATTTTATAGATACGTCATTTTTCTCTGATAAAACTTGTTGAGAGCAGCTTGCTAACTCTTATCAACAATAACCAAACAGTGTTGTGTCGAAAACTACCAGTTTTATTTACTTGTGCTCGTCTACACTGTTTTATGTCTTTGATCGAAGTATATTTCATTATTTTAGAAAACACAATCAAAACTATGTTAGTTGAGCTGAACTATTTTAATGACGATCAAAGTTAGGTTTGAGTTGTGGCTCGAAGAGAAATGATATCCTTGTATGAAAAACTTAAGTGAGAAAATTCAAGGATTTTGAATTTAGCAATCAGGTGATCGATAAATAACTCTTTTTCTCGTGCTATATACAGAAATATGACATATTCATCTTTGAGAAACCTAACAAATAAAAACGATTATAACATGATATTTCTTGCCGAAGATTTGCAAAGGCCTGAGTGTACAAAGGAAAATGAATGTTTTTTGAAGCCATTCCCATTAATCGACTAATGATAATCCAATAAACCCGTCAGTTTTTGCCAGTTTTTACCGATTTAAAAGATTTTGTGAACCGATCGGATCGCTTCACTTCAAAAAGTCTCGATCAGTTACAACTCTGCTGTGACTCTACCTTGCTCTGTGCTAACCATAACTATTCATGTTCTTGTACTATTATTTAATTCAAATAATCTTTGAATAATTTTTGTTGCATCTTATGCAAAAGAACACTGTTGTTATCTACTCATAAGATACACAAAACATACCAACATATCGGCGAAATGAACAACTTTTTTTGGAGGTTTATCCAATAAAGCCGACTTTCTATCTATTAAAGCAATACCCAATGAATTCGAACATGTACCAATAGCATGTGCTACTTTATCTTTTTCATGATCATCGCATCCATTATACACTGAAAAGCAATCTGGTGAACATAATGTATATGTTGAATCATGTAATAATGATGCACGTTGTTGTTGTTGCTGTTGTCTTATTTGCTTATCTGTTATTATATCATCATTATTAAATTCAACATTACCATTAAGAGTCGTTGAACTATAAGATTTACGAAGAAATCTTTCTAATTCATTATTGCGTTCATCTGAATTCGATTCACCAAAATCGAGTAACACTGCTGTATCTTAGAAGAAAAACAATAGAAAACAGACTTATTTTTTTAAAGTTTATTTACTACCACTATTCTTATTTGAGATTCGTTGATTCTCTCCTTCATATTGTTCATATTCATCATATTCATCGATTTCATCAAGATTAGCTATTTCAAAATCATCATTATCACTAATCTGATCAAAACCAAGGTTAAAATCAAGGTCTTCTGATGATGCTGATGTATCTACTTCATGTCCAACGTCAGAAGATGTACTACATATTCCGGATGAAGATGTATTTGAACTCAATATACTACAGTATCCACCGGGATCGGACAGACTGGAACCATAGCTGAAATCAAATCGTGATAATGTATCAACAGCAGATGGTCCTGGACTATTTTCTGAACAAGAACGCATACGCTGTTGATATTGATTATGATTATGATTATGATTATGATTGTGATTATGATTATTGTTCATAGATGTATCTTTTACATAGAATAAATCATGTGTTTGCGCAGATGTTTTATGTTGACCAAATAATAAATTATTATTGTTACAATTATTAGAATTATTATTAGAATTTGTTGAACAACGTGCTGAATTTTGTAAATATTGCATTACTTTATGATTACTTGATAAAAATGAAGCATCAACACCATTATTACTATTGCTTGCTAGTGTTTTACGAGACATTGATACAGTTTACAGGAACAATATTTTTTATGTTCTATATATCACAATCTAGAACAGAAATGTAAACGTGACTATCAATGAAAAAAATAATAAATAACCCGATGTGTTCTTAGAACGAAAGAGAGAAAAAAAAGAAGACTAAACATATTATACCCACAAACCTTGGAGGGTTTTTTGCGTACGCGTTGACCCTTGATAAATAAGTTGGCTGAGATAGCAACTGGTAATAGGAAGAAAGAAAAAGGTTAAAAGAATCTTGATCCTATTCATTCAAATAAATCTTTCCAAAAAGAAAAGTAAGAAACCAATTCAATAAACATCTATGACTCATTAATTATTGCTTTTTATTTACTGGTGGATTCTATTCGCCAACTGTCATTACGTCAGAGAGTAGTTTAATGCTTAATATCTATTTAGGCCCATGCTGTGTGTCTAGGAGGCGTAAAATATTTGTTCTTTTTAGTATTCGAAACGAAATATGGACATTTCATTGATGAATGCAGAATGACTATGATGAAAGAAAATGAAATTACATCAGAAAATAACAACAGAACAGGAATGAAAGAAAAAACACACATGTAAACATGTAATACGCATACTAAAATTTCCAACAGTTCTCAGCTAGTGGCAAAAAAAGTAATCTGACTACTAGATTGCTGTGTTTCATCCTTTTTTATTCATCTTTTATTTCTTTAAGGTTATCTGCCACCTAGAATAGTATATGTCAATAGATAAGAATATAAATATATATACATATATATATATTTATGATGAGAGGTAATCATAGTTTTTCGTTCTCTATACGAAAAAAAAATTATCTCTAGGTAATGCAACCATCAAGTACATTATTTTTTGTGACACAAACTCATTAAAATCTAATATTCATTCAAATATATTGTTTCCATTTTTCCAAACATCAAAGAGTAATTAAGATAAAAATGCACTATTGTAAATCATGTACCGTTAAAAACCAATCTTTGAATTTCTTCTATATATTGATTGGTAACAAATGAACTAAACACATTAAATATCTGAATTGCTTATTAAATTATATTTAGACTATATACCTTTATGAGCACCAAAGTCGATGAAACGGTATTCCTTTATTTTGCTTGGCATTACCCAAGCAGACAAAAATTTCAAAAAACGCGCTTAAGCGCACAATCGGGAACCGCGACNTAGGTCGGTTTTTGTTTTATAAACTGACATATCATCAGCATCCTGTTTCGTACCGGTAAGCTAGTTTTGCCCGGTAGACCGGTTCCATCTCTGCTATATAGCCCGCCTTCAGCTAAATGTAAATCATTTACCACTTACTTGGAAGTATTATCTACTCCTCAGTAGTTAATCTTAAGTTGTAATAGTAACTGGTAAGCGGTGCCACCTAACACTTACTAATGTCGGTGCCAAAAAAAGAAGGCATCTCTATATTTTTTGAATATCTCGCGAACGGAATTAGCTAGAAACCTGCGGTTTTCACGATTCGAAAGAGAAATGTTGGGGCTATCTGTTGATACTATAATCATTTTGTCGAGACTTGACTAGTGGTCAGTCAATGTTCGAACACATGTAGGTCAATAGCATCAAAAAATTTCCCATTATACTTTGATGCCTAACAACGGAATTATATATAGAACCCATGTCTCTTCCTATCCTATAAATTTCAAGGTTATATCGACTACCGTTCAAGAGATGAACAGTGGTCAAGATAACCTATATAATCACTAAAAATCATTAAAAAAGGATCTTTTTTCCATGAAATCAATCTCAAATTTCATTGCCATTTAGGTTTTCGACCACGACGAACCTAATGGCATCGTCCATTTGAAGAAAAATTTTTTTTTTATCATTTGGACCAGTGGTCACGTTGATATCTGTTATATCATCTAAATGACCAAATATCTAAGTAATTTCACTGATAAATGTTTATAGAATTTTTTCTGGTCGTTATTATGTCAGAAAAGGCTAAAATATACAGTAAACATTTAACAGTGAAATTACTGAGATATATGGTTATTTAGATGATGTAACAGATATCAACATGACCACTGGTTCGAATGATAAAAAAAAAATTTGTTTTCCCCAAATGGATGATACCATTAGATTCGTCGTGGTCGAAAACCTAAGTGGCAACGAAATTTGAGATTGATTTCATTAAAAAAAGACTCTTTTTTAATGATTTTTAGTGATTATATAGGTTGTCTTGACCACTGTCCGTCTCCTGAACGGTAGTAGATATAACCTTGAAATTTACAGGATAGGAAGAGACATAGGTGGTCTATAGAATTCTGTTGTCAGACTTTAAAGTGTAATGGGAAATTTTTGGATGCCATTGACCTAAAATATGTTCGGACATTGACTGATCACTAGTCAGGTCTCAACAAAATGACTTTAGTATCAGCAGATAGTCCCAACATTTCGCGTTAGAATGGTGAAAACCGCAGGTTTCTAGCTGCTTCTGCTCGCGAGATATTCAAAAAGTATAGAGGTGTCTTCTTTTTTGGTGCCGACATTAGTATTTTGAATGCAAATATTTCAGACTTGACAATGAAAAATATTTTAAGTACTCTTACTCATACACTTAATGAAGAAAGTGATAATATTCTAACTGAAGATGTAAATCAGACAATCATAAACACTTCTATAAGGTCTAACTCATGAAATTAAATCCATATGCAACATGTTTTAGTACATTAAATCATGAAAATATTACCATAAATAAAATACCACAAAAATATAATCCTTCAGACATTTATCAATTTAATTTTTATAGATATAAAAAGTTGATTAGAAAATAGTCTCTTTACGACTAGTATGACTAAATATCAAATTAAACTTGGTCAAAACATTATTGCAGAATGGTGTTGGAATACATCACGACAGCAAATATTTGAACAATGGATGGACTCATCTATTACCATCAATAAATTGAAAACCACATCGCTTACTGCCATTTATTATAACATTAGATATTTTTTACTAAATCAATTAGAACTGCTTCAAATGATCAAAGAATATCAATCTATGATAATATCATTAAATAAATTAAGATCACATACAGATATGAAAAGCATTGAGCAAGTATTGTTAGGTTATGAAATTATAAAAGCAGAAGATACAAATAAACATGGAGGTGCTATTTTAACAATAGATAAACGCATCCGATATGTACTAATAAACCTGCATAAACCTAATATTGCTGCTGAAACTATTAGTCTCAACGATTCTACATATACTATTACTTCCATCTATTCACCATCAAATACACCTTTACCATTAGAAACTATGTTATTGTTACTTACATATTCAAATTACACTATTCTTCTAGGTGATTTTAATGCTAAACATATAGACTGGGGATGCTCAACAATAAATTCAAAAGGTGATCAATTATCAAAATCGATTAATGATAACAACCTAACTGTACATAATACAAATATAAGAACTTCACTTCGTTCAACTGCTATCATTAATTTAGTTATTACAAATCAGTAACATGGCTCAATTGATTGTAAATTACTACCATATACTTGTAGTGATTATTTTTCTATTTTTATTGGATTTTCAAACATTTCATTTCCATGCAAATATGAACAATTTATACCAAAAACGTATTGGAATGTATTTAGAACGGTCTTGAGTGACATACATGAACTTTATAATAATATTCAAGCTGAATTTAGTATTTTCCTTCAATTTCAAAACCTTTTACAAGCATTAAAATCTAGACTAACGGTGTGAACTGTTAAAAACAACTAAGGTCACCATTACCACCGTCTATTCGAATACTTTTAATATATAAACATTATTTACAAAATCGTTATCGTAAAGCAAAACTAGAAAATGACCGTCTCGATTTAGCTTTATGATCAAAAATTACAAAACAATAGAAATACTTCATTATAAAACGAAACAGTGGAATTTATTTTTATCAAAATTGACATCACCTAATCCAACAACTTTTTGGAACAATGCCAAATTACTAAACAAGAAACCAAAGATAGGTTTTTTCGGTTTTACTGATGATGATAATATGAATATTCATAAAACGTCTATAAATCTATTTTGTCATATCTCCAACAACATTTCGAAAATCGTTTTGCAAGTCCTGATTCAAATCTGTCAAATAAAACAGGCAAAGAAACAACTATTTTGTGGGAACAATTAATTAATGCAAAAAATGATAATTCAATTAAAGCACACATAAAACAATCTAATTTAACATTCAATATTCAAGATCTTCATACTATCATTAAATCATTAGCGAACAAAAAAAAATCATCCAGTTTTGATCGAATATCAAGTCAAATAGTCAAACTCAGTCCAAATGAATATTACCCAATGCTAATAGATAAGTATAGTAAATTATTTGCATCAACTAGATGGAAACAGCAGTGGAAGTGTTCAAGATTATTATGTTTTAATAAAGCAAATAGTCCAGTGCCGAAAACATCATCATTAAGACCTATTAATTTATTGCCGGGATTTAGAAAAATCTATGAAAAATTATTTTTACTTAGATTCAATCAATGGCTGTATAAAGAAATATTCTTCCATTTCAACAATCAGGTTCACGAAAAAATCAATTAATAGTCCCAAGAGTTCAACATCTTTTACAGCAACATACTCAATCAATGATCTACAATACCATTTCGACTGTAGTATATATAGATTTTCTTCAAACTTATGGCAACAAGATTGACTGCTAAAACTTTCTTATCTCGAATGTCCATCAGCCTACATGCAATGGATTACTAATTACTTTTTAGACTGTACTTGTATAATTGATATAGACGAACATTTATCTCAACCTATTAATGTTAAATCGGGAGCACCTCAGGGCAGTTGTTTCGCAAGCACAGCTTTTATTGTTTATCATCACGATCTTCCGGATATTTTTGACCAACCTGAACACTGCTATCTTTTCGTCGATGTCTTAGCAGTAATATATATATACCTTCAATGTTTATCTCGTTTCAACAACAACTCATTAGCTTAGAAAGAAACATTAATAAAGAAATGAATTATCTTTTAAACTATATCAGACAATGACATCAGTCTGTTAATCCAAACAAATGTGAATTTGTAATCTATTATTCGTGTGTTAAAATACCCAGGATACATTTATCTCTCAATTCTATACAAATAGCGCAAGTCAAACAATTTAAATATCTAGGATATATAGTTGATTTTCGATTAAGTTTCAATGCTTTTATTAAACAACAACTAATGAAAATGAATAATACATGCAACATTCTTAAATACATCAACAAACAATATTCTACTTTTGTCTCATTGAAACATCGATTTTTCTCTACATTTATATGGCGTCATTTCACTTTAATCTCTGTCATCTATGTATTATGTTCCATTAAAACTCAAGAAAAATGTCACAAATTTTACAGAAAATGTCTACGAATTATCCATTGTCTACAATAGACGACTGATATTGAATTGCATAAGACGTGGTCTCTTTCCACGCTTGAAGATCGTTTTAAAAGAATTATACAAAAGCGTTTAAGTAATATTCAAAATCATGAAATGCAAATACTTAGTACTATTCATCAATATCAACACTTAAAAATAACTTTACAAAAACACTTTACTATACAAAAATGTATTCCTTATTTACTCATCGGTCGACCAAGAAAGAGAACTAAAAAAATTTATCAAAATACTAAACAAACACTATTTGATAAATTACTTGAGTTTTATAATGAGTGACTAATTATGATTAAACGTTTGTAAGAAATTTTTCGCGGTTCAGGACCTTATAGGTCAAATCCGCAAATAAAACTTGTCTTCATTCATGCATTCATTCAATGATTTCAAATGTCTCTGTTCTTGTTTACCAATAAATATATTATTGTATTAAGAAGTTACCTGGCATTTCGGTGATTTTCTTGAATATAAATAACAACATGCTATGAAAGATTTATTACTAACAGATTCAGTAAATTTCTTTCTCAAAACATTACTTGAACTCGTTATTTTGTATCGCGATGATCTCAAGATTGGAGAGTCGTATAATTTTCATTTAAACATTGTTGCAAAGTTCCATGTTCTTAAATGATCAAGTTTTCTCTTCAAAACTTCAGTATGAAGTTCTGCTCATTCTCAATTCGTCCACAAAATGACGATTTTGAAGTCAGAACTCTGTGTTTTTTCGACATAATGACAAAAATATGAGACTGGTGATCAATAGAGCTTGTCTGATTGATCTCGAACCTGGATTCGATCGGGTCTGGTTCTGAGAATTTTGAACCCAACGAACTCTAGTAACTAGAGATAACCTTCATCTCCCAAAAATTTTGTTTTTCTCTAGCGTTTTATTGTTTATTTGCTCATCAATTCTCAAAAATACGTTCAACTTTTCCTCAAAACTCAAACTCTACTAATGGCTCACTATATATATCTGCATTTCGATTTCTCTCAGTAATAGAGAATAACAACGAATTGAAGATTAAAAAAAATTAATAAAAATGAATGAAAACTAAGTCAAGAACTCTTGTTCATCAGAGTACTAGAAATTTCATGGGTTTTCGATACAATATTTATTGTGTTTCTCTTAGCATAAAATCTAGTTTGTTTCCTAATACGGATTTGTGGTGTCTATAATTAAACGTGCACTAGGCTCATCGTTCTACTTTGTGCAATATAGAAACATGTTTTTTGTTTTACTAAATTTGACGTTTCAAATAATTCGAAAGTTATATGCTCTCAGAACCGATAAGTTCAGTTTGAGAATGGACTTCGCATCACGTACTTAGCCTGTGTGCCATCTAATTGAATAAATGATTATATATTTTGATTAACAGCTTTGTCATTCACTATACAATTAAACTAATTAATCGACACATTTAATTTCTGTTATGATAGAAAAATATACTAAAACGGATCGTTTACAAATAGCATACATTAATCTATCTAATACGTTCAATTTAACTATCAATGAAAAATTCCTATTTATTCAAATAGTCGATAGATAAACCTATTTTTTATTTAGCTATTCGTACATGTACAAATACTACTTATCTCTTGTTCAAAATTGTTCTGATATTTCTTATTTCATTGTTATGTAAGTTAATTGATTCTGTCTTGTCAGTGATGTTGCTAAAGAGAATCAGCCCCTTTTCTCTAATCGAAGCATTTCTCCCACTGTCGATAACCTAATTTCTTGTTTTTCGTTCATCTTCTCAATCTGAACCATAAAACACAATCCATAGTTTCATATCAGCAAAACATATTAATTCAAGACTCTTATTTACAATATCTATTAAAGAGTTATTATTCTTTTCATAATTTCTAAAATGAAATGTTTTTTTTTTAATGAAAATAAACATTTTCTGATTATATAATATTTTTTTTACAAAAAAACCAAATTAAACACAAAATCTTTGTTAATCAAATCAAATATATCTCTAATATGATATTATACATTGAAAATAAAAATAAAAAGTAAAAAAGAACAACGAAAAATAATAGTTCATTTTTTTGTTTGAAACATGTCTTAAATGTGTTATCAGACTACTATTAAATCACATTATTTTGTCTTCTTCATACGAAGTAATTGTATATATGTCAAAATAAAAAATATAGTTGTCATTGAGCCTAATGCAACAAAATTTTTCCATAAATCCCATTGGTTTTCATATTCAACATGTGCAACATTATGTATAATATCTATACCATTAATTGGACAAATATTTGTATTATTTTTTAAACAAAATTGTAAACCACTAAATTCATTTATAGTAATTATATTCATTGAATATCGAAATAAACTAACCCATTTAATCCATGATAAATATTTAATAACTGATGATACTTCGACTAAAAATCCTCCAAAAACCATCATCAATACAAAACACATTGCAGCTAATAAATTTGCAATACCAAATACTTCTACACTAGCCGACAATAGAAAACAAATTGCAGCTCCACATGTTGTTGTTAAAAAAATAGCAAAATAAAAAATAAAAAATTTTTCTACTATTTTTTGAAAACCAATCATAAAATAAACGATAGCTGAAAAAATAATCGATGGAATTATACGTAATGGTATTAAATCACACATTAATTTCGCTATAAAATATGTTGAAACATGATAATATCCACTTGCATTTTCATGTATAAACAAAACACGTTCTTTAAGAAATAATTCAATAGCTGATAAATTTGCCATAACTTGATTTGTTACAATAAAAAATATTGCACCCATACGATTTCTAACTCCAGTATCTTCATCACGACTAACTTGTAAATAAATTAAACCAACTAATACTGCAAAAATAGTTGTTACAACTGTTTGCATTGTAACTAAAACTGGATTTCGATATACATTACGTAATGTACGTTGAGCAACATAAAGAATTTCTAATATACGTGATTTTGAAGCTAATTGTTCATAATTCATTTTTGTTGTTATTCTCTGATTATTTGCATTTGTTATTTCTTGTTGCATTGATGCATATATATCTGATTTTATATATAAATCATGTAAATGAAGAGCATTTTGTTCATGAGCTTTATTTGGATCGTGTTGATTGATATTTTCTTTTCGACTATCACCTTGTGTTACATCAAGAAGAAAATCAGCTGGATTATCATGTTCTTCACATACATAACCAACTGAAGAAAAATATGGAAGTACTGAATTTGCAGGACCATGATAAACACAATAGCCAGCAGCTACTATAAATAGTGTATCAAATAATTTAAAAATAGAATAACGTGGTTGATGAATTGAAAAAATTATTGTACCTTAATGAATATTAAAATAATGTTTATTGAAAAATTTTCTTTAGAATTACATACGTCCTCGTCTTGATAATTCATGAAGATATTCCATAACATTACGAGCTGTTGATGAATCAAGACCTAGTTTATTAATTAAAATATAATAACACACGATCTACAAAGAGTGTTGAATTGTAGATATAGTGGATTCATTCTCTTTCTATGTCGTGAGAGATATTACCATGGAAATATCATAGATTGTATTTCAATAACGTTTCTTTATAATACACAAACTAACCTATCTACTCCCCCCCCCACCCACTACAAGGCATCGATTCTTTTATTATGTCCCATTTAGTTTTTTTTTATAATTTTTAATCAAAACAATTTTTCAGAAAACCAATATGATTTTAATGAGTTGAGAAGATATTTTTAGGACTCTAAAAGTCTAGAAAATAATGCTGTCCTAAACCTTTTAAAATTTTCAGTTCCAAACTTTGAAAACTAGTCATGTTTTGATATAAATATCCTAATTAAAGTTTCAATTTTTTTGAGAAATTAATTAATTAAGGGAAATGATGAGTTACTTATTGCATTTCTGAATGATTAACTGAAAGGATGATGAGGATATGTGTCCCAAAAAAAAGATAGAGTAAAATAATTTTAATATGATTAGCAACAGTAGCTAAATCGTTTTTCACATTGTAATCATGCAAGAAATGCACTAATAGCTTTTTTAATAATGTTTGTTTTATCGGTTCTAATTTAATTAATTTGTCTAGCTAGAAATAGCATCAACCAGAAATGTACTATTAATTGATGGCTTCAATCAACGAAAATAACTTCCTCTTTTCATTTTTGATTTTGTTTGATGATAAGCAACTTTCACTTATGTATTCCTTGTTCATATGTTCATGCTATCGAAATCAATTTAAAAATATGTTAGAAGATTTCTCTTTAATGAAAATTAAACCTAATATAGATTTTACAGACTACGCTTTTTCGATGTTAATTTCAATAATTCCATATCTTCATGAATACAATATTCAAGAAAAAGAGACAAAAATCAGAATGAAAAAAAAATGAATTTCACATATCATTGTAAAAGACATCCTAGATTTTTTTTTGAACTATTAACATGTTCAAACAAGAATTATTTATTCAACATGAACGGAAAAATTTAGATAATTAAATTACCTGTTGTTGGTTCATCCAAAAAGAGTACAGATGGTGATAAAACTAATTCCATGCCAATATTTGTTCGTTTTCTTTCTCCACCAGATATTCCGCGTAGAAATTCTGTGCCTACTCTTGAATCAGCACATGTTTCTAAACCCAATTGTTCAATAACTTGTTCAACAATAGCTTCTTTAGTTTCACGTGAAAAATATTTTGATAATCGAAGATTAGCTGAAAATCTTAAATTTTCTCTAACTGTTAATGTTCCACTTAGAATATCATCTTGAACAACATAGCCAACATGATATTTAAAATCTGTTGTTTGAACTTGTCCATCCATTAATACTTGTCCATCGAGACCATGTCGATCTTTTCGATCAGCTAATATATCTAATAATGATGATTTTCCACTACCCGTTGGACCAAGAATAGCATTCATGCCTGGTTTAAATATTCCATTGATATCATAAAGAATTTGTTTATATGTCTTTTTAATAAATGGCAATGGACATGCATTACAACACTTTTGTGTATGTAATGTATAATTTATTGAATTAAAAGTAATTGTTGAGGCTTGAGAATTTGTTAATGTATTGTCATTATGTGTTACTAATTTTTGTAATGTTTGACCACTGTTTGTATTCATGACGTTTTTAGATTGATGAATAATAAATCTACAAAATTTGAAAATTAAATTTAATAATATATAAATTTTTTAGTAGATAGAATTTTCAAAATTACCCTATATTAATTACTGTTTTTTGCTATTGCTTCAGGGTATACTTGGGTTAAATTTTACGTAGTTATTATTTTGAATAAAACATCACGGGTACCTTTTATATTTTGGAATTTCTCGTTACATAACTCTCACTTATTTTTCATTTGCAAATAAAACTTATCAGACCTCGTTATTAAGTCATAAAAACAATCTAAAGTCTACAAAACATTGAAGGACAAGAACTGATAGATACCGTCAGATAAAGTAAAGGTATACATGCGTTTGCATAATCAAAAAGGCTCTTGTTCGGTGATATTTCAATTTAATAGCTAACGAGACTTTGAAGATAAAAGATGTTGTTCTTTATCAGAATAATTCTTAGTATAAAAGCTGGAAGATTGGACAATGACTCGTTCCGCCCCCGCGTCTCTACCAAATAGGGAAATTTTAATATTCCTAACTAAAATAGTTCATNCACCATAGACAACACATATTTTTAAAAAGTTAATTTAATAATAAGAACGTCCATCGAACCCGAATATAGTCAATATCCTTAATTTACAATCCATTGATGGAAGAGGAAAAAGAGTTAATGATTTCATCAGCATTAATTTTTCTCTTTTCTTTGTCATGGTTGGATAGAGTTTGATGAGCTACATAAGAAAAAACCCTATCACTCATATTCAAAAGCAATCTTGCGAAAAAAGTCCAAGTTTCCATTATTCGTAAAAAACACAAAATTCTAGTTGTTGTAAAATTGCTTTTGAATATGTATGATATTGTTTGTTTCTTACATAACTCGCCAAGTTCTATTCAACCATGACGAAAAAAGAAAAATTAGTGTTACTTGAATGTTGAAGTGTGTCCACGTGACATAGACTGTAGATTCATTTCAAGTCGAATATCATAGTTCGTGCCCACCATAGACAACACATATTTTTAAAAAGTTAATTTAATAATAAGAACGTCCATCGAACCCGAATATAGTCAATATCCTTAATTTACAATCCATTGATGGAAGAGGAAAAAGAGTTAATGATTTCGTATGGACTTGACTACAACTACAATGTATCAGTAATCGGGAATGATTAAAATTTTCTGTACAAAAGTTGAAATTTGTAATTCGTTTTTTTTAATCAAAACTATACTTCGATAGTTTTTTTTGTTGAATATACCTTTAAATTATGTGAATTTTTTTTGTTGCATATTTCCCAAATAAGAACGACTGTATCATAATTATTGGGATGCTACAGTTTCCTAGTTTTTTAATCATAAAAAAAGAAAAAATAATCATCTTCTTACTGTAAGTGATTGTATATATCAATATATGAGCATATCTCTCCCGTTCTAGACTAAGGCAACTGAATCTAGATTATTCTTCCTCTGTTATAATCCAACGCTGCTATGAAAATAGTTCCAAAAGACAAAAAAAAAAACCTTTATTCGATATTATATGATTTTCATGTTGCCTGCATCGAATTTGATATATGATTTGTTATTAAGAAAAACAACTAGAGGCCTATTGCAAGTAAATGAAAGGCTTAAATAAAGCAAAAGTATCAGTTTTTTGTAATTTCCTATAGATGAAGACGGACAGACCATAGAACAGCCATAAAGTTCTCAATTGACGACAATAACGAAGGATGAATCGAATTCTAGCTATACAAACATTGATAATGAATTGAAGAAATTCAAAAAGATCTGTTTTTCAAGAAAAAGAATGTATCCTTGATTAAATAACTTTTAATAAAACTTTACTGCTGATTATAATTCGTTCCCAATCGCGGCCGGAAAAATGAGTGAAATTTTATATATTTTTCAGTTTTTCTGGCTTTAGAAAAACGTTTAATCTACAAAAATAATACATTCAGAATCAGTGCATTAAACTGCGTTGAATGGTATACAACATAAAATAATTTTGAAGAAAAAAATTCTGTGAGAAAAATGAGAACAACAGTTTTTCTGATACACTTTTCGTCGAAAAAGTTTTTTTTTTTTTGCAAAAAATGTTTATTGAAAGTGCCTTTCTGCAACGTATGCAGCTATTTCTGAGTAAAGAAATCTGTTTCCGAGCAAGAAAGTGACATATTTGCCTGCCATGTCGAAAATGAGCACAATGAGGAGAAAATGAGAACTTCAAATCACCGAAGTCTTTAGTGGGATTGAACTCTGATAAGCGAACGTTGCGGCAAGGTTTAGCTGACATGGTTTCCATTATACAACATAGTTTAGACAACTAACGACAACTGTTGATAATTCTCTGTACCATAGCATATTAAATTGGTATAATATGGACCAATGTATTTAACTTAGACCAACTTGACACAATCTAATAAAACAACAGATATTGTCTGAAAGTTTAATCCGATACAAATTAATATGAAGCAATAAAATAATCTTTCTTTTAATATCATGAAGAAAAACATAATCGGTCTTTCTTTTTTCACAATCATTTAATACGTGGGCAAATTTTTTCGTTCTTGCTCTGCTTTGACTGGTGCGTTTTATGTCAGCGCGTTAGTTATCAATCATACTCCGAGTAATAGTTTCATACGGTTCACTTGAATAAACATATACTTACATGCGCAGAACAAGAAAATTTCGTATAAAATATGTAAAAAAATATAAATTTCTTTTTTAGATGCAATGTTGGTACTAAAATTCATATTATTGGTGCTTTTTTGCTTTTCTTTTCAAACTTTTTGTGATTCAACATCAAATGATAGTAATGATGAATTTTATTTAGAAGAGAAAAACAAGATTTTCAAATAAAATGTCTTTTTTTTATTATTTTAGTCGATGTTTGCTCAGTATGGTCTAGTGATTGGAAGCATTCTACTGAATTAAAAGAGCTTATTTATACAAGTGTTAAACCAATAGGTGATTCTGATGCCGGAAAATATTCCAAGTAGAAAACGAACAAGAAACAAATTTTTTTTCTTTAATTTATTGATTTTTATTTTTTAGAATCAAAGTAAATAGTTGGGTTGAATGTGTTGCTCAATGTTGTCTATTTAATCGATGTAATGTTGCTTATTGGATATCATCAACATGTCTTCATATTGAATGTTTATCGGATGAATTATGTAAACCAATAAATATTGTTAATGGTGATATTAATGACGATACATTATATTTGAAAGTTCGTTCTGTTCGTAAGTAAAATTTTTATATGATTTTGAAATTAAAAAAAGAGCGAATTGTTTTATAATCAAAAACAAAAGAATCAACAGCAGCTGCTATTGATTATGATGATCCAGGATTTGATGAGTGTAATGAAACAAAATTATGTCCTACTAATGAACAATGTGAACAAGTATCAATAAATGCTCAATTAAAACGAAATATATGTTTATGTGATGGTAATAATGATTATCGTCGTATTAAAGGTATAAATATAGAAGAAAAATATTATTTGTTTTCTACAGAATTTTTTTGTTTTCTTCATAGGTGTCTGTCGACAATATTTACCTCATACAAAACCTTGTGCAATATATGAAACAGATTATGAAAATAATGATGATGATGATGATGATGATAGAGGAAAATGTAAGAGAAATGAAGAATGTTTACCGCCAAGTGATCGTGCTAAACATGGATATTGCCAATGTAAATTAGGTTTTATAAGAAAAGATGCAAATAGAAAGTGTGTAATTGATAAACAAGAAAACTTATCAACAGTATCTTCAACAAAATCAACTTCAATTTCATCATTATATGATTTTGAAGTACAAGCTGGTGATGATCAAACAATAATATTACCTCACAATGAAGTTGATTTATCTGGACATGTTCTTTATAAATCAAATAAAAAAGAAGTTGATATATCAATATTAAAAAATCAAAAGTTTACATTATTTTGGTCACTTAAATCATCAACAAATGGAGCCACAGTTGATATTTCTCATCAAGAAGATCTAACATCACATATTCTTGTTAAACAATTACGTGAAGGAATATATGAATTTGAATTGAAATTAAATGATAAACAAGGAACAACATTAGCATCTGATATTGTTAAAATAGAAGTTCTTTCAAGTAAGAAAATTAAACGAAAAACTTCTTGTAAATAACCTTGAAAAAAAATTGTTTTAATCAATTTTTTAAATCTATTATCACTATAAAAACACATTCAAAGAAAATAATTACTTATATTCTGAAAGCATTCGGAGTTTTCTATTCTTCTCAGAGTTTCTGATTAGGATACTAGATTTCGAAATACCATTTACTTGTTTCTGGCAAAAAGTAACATCAAAATAATCAGACAATGTTGTTGCGAGGTGAATAAGATTTGGAAGGAATGGTCTAGCAGCAGATCGTCTGTTGTGCATTTCGTTCCTCTTCCGGTCATCACTTCTAGCACTCCGAAACTGATGAAAACACTTTCTGTTGGATTTTTATCGTTCTCTTCACCTCTAGAAAATATCTACAACTCTGTATACTTAGATTTTAACTTGCGATTCTCTCATGTCTTGCATTTAAGTTCTGTTGAATAATGTGAGTATTATGTAAAAACTGTTCTTTTTTTCATTATGAAATAGTTTTCTAAAAACGTAACTACATATGTTAGTGGCATTTGGAATTATCTATGATTCTAAACTTTTGAAATAAAATAAAAAGAAAGAGATAGCTAAAATATTCTGGCTTTTAGAGTTTGTGAACGAATATGCCTAAGTAATATCATCAGAATATAAATACAAGACGAGAGAGAAATATATAAAATGATAGAGAATTACAAGTTCTATCAGATTTCGAGGAATATTTCTGTAATGATGATAAATTTAAAAAGTCAATTGAGGAAACATTGACAAAATTCAGTTCGTGGGACTTTCATGCTGTGGATGTCTTTGTTGCAGTTGATTTATTTTTGCAGTCAGTAGGCGCAAGTTAAAACATGAATATGAAGAATGATAGAAAATTCTGAGTACTTTCAAAATGTGTCGTAATTAGTTTTTTTTAAATGTATTTTTATGATGACAATAGATCTAATAAGTCCTCTAAAACTATTTTTTCCAGGAATATATATGAAATTGACTTGTGTACTATTAATATATATAAATCTGTCAAGTAATATTAAATTTGAAAAGAATCGATTTTATCTTTGGTTTGTTTTTTATTAAAGTGTTTGAGATTGATATACTGCACACATAGAGGTTGTTATACTCTATTGATAGATAAAATGATCTAACAAAACACTATTAGAAGTGAGTTTGACAATATTCTATTTATATTGGATATTGATTTTGTAGATATTTTAATAACTATAACACTGTCTATAGTTTATTTCGATAAATGATTTTTAAAATTTTGTTATGCTATACATTCTGATAAAAATCTCTATATTGAATTGAATTGAATTGATTTCTTTTCTTTTCTTTTCATAGTATTCAACGATAGTACTGGCATGATAGTATTTTAACATTTTGGTAAACAGAAATTAGAGGATTTCAAAGAATTTCTTTGATGTCTTGAAATTAATTAGCTCTAACCTTTGAACTGTAATAATTTATACTAACGCACTCAAAAATATTAAAAAAAAATTCGTTTTTTTTTAATCATTCTGATTGAATCATCATTCCGCAGTGCTATTTTATTTTTTTTATTCGATTAGATGAAACCAAGATGTGATATAGAAATTTCAGAATATATAAGAAAGAATTTAGTTTATTACTTCGATCTCGACTTGAGTACATGACAACAAAGATATTTATTTTGATTTTCGATCACTAAAGTACATATGAATTTAGCAATTGTAGTCATGGCATGAGGTTGAGCGTCAGAGAAGAACCTCACACTCTTGTTCTCAACACAAATCAAATATTATTGACGGCAGTACGTATTATGCAAAAACTGTGAAATAATTAGATTAAATATAAGACCAACTTCTACGTATAGTTCCGTGCAGTACTCATGAAGGAATCTCTCGAGGTGTTAAAACGCTTTTCGATCAAGACAATGTTCATTTGATGAATAGTAGAAAAGTTTAGAATGGCTTGAGTTTCTAGACCTTCGTTCTCAACATATCGAAATTTTACTGAACTTTTCAACAAAAAACTATTTGTGCAAGTTTTAACTTTAATATTATTTCGTTTCTAGAAATGTAAATATCTAAGCAAAATTTGCATTTGTATACATATGAAAGAATTTTGAAAATTCAATATTTCAAGATAGGAGATATTAATAAAGTTACAACTTATCTAATGGATTAGTTTTATTAAGAACTTTGTTCGTATGAAGTTTGAAGTCGAAATTCGAAAGTTGATTTTTCACGTGATCTAAAGAGAATCACAGCGGCTTACTGAATGAAAATCTAGTCAATTTTTCGATATGCCAAGAATGAAGGTCCGAAACACCAAACTATTCTAGACATTTCTATACTGAAGAGGTTTCTTCATCAACTTGGTTTTGTTCTTTATTTTAAACTTGAATAGGTTTTAATATTGTGTTCACGATGCTAATAGAATGATTAAATTATGTCAGAATTCGATTATTCATTATTGATATTTTCAGCTACAACGGCACCATCACCTCTCGTTGTCAAAATATCTTCTTCAGTAATAGTTCGTTTACCACAACAAGTAACTAAACTTGAAGCCTCTGTCGAACCTTCTAATCGGCCAGTTACCTATAAGTGGACGTACAAAAACGATGGTCCTGTCACACCAATAATTGAAGTAAAATTTTATTCACAAAAAAAAGAAACAGATCATTTCAATTATATTAGTTTATTTATTTCCTTATAGAATATTAATACTTCTGATTTATTAATATCAAATCTTCGTCCTGGTAATTATTCGTTTCGATTAGATGTTACTGATAATATCGGTAATCAGCAAACAAAAACTATTCTATTAATTGCTATTGGTGGTAAGATAATAATTTAAACACAAAGAATGACAAGAAAAAAAAACCTTTTCTCTTTGAAATTTCATAGAACCAATTGAAGCTCGAGTAGTAAATCATCGTGAAATTGTATTTTGGCCATCAAATGATGTTATACTTGATGGTACACCAAGTATTATTGAACAACAAACACATATTTATTGGACATTAATATCAACTGATAATAAACAAGATGCAGATAAAATAAATATTCTAACACCAAATTCACTTAAAACTCGAATAACAAATCTTCGTTTTGGACAATATAAATTTCTTTTAACACTAGTAACAAATGATAAACAATATAAATCAAATGTCGAAGTTCTTGTTATTGTTTATTCACAAAATGGTCAGCCACCAAAAGTTTCTATTCATTTAGAAACAAATAATGTTAATATATTAAATAATCTTATCATACTTAATGCAACAACAACAATAGCTGATTATGGTATTGCAAAATGGCAATGGATTAAAAGTCCATTAAGTCCAGCTATTGGTTATTTTATAAATAATTCAAATTTATCACCTATTGCTTATATAACAAATTTAATTGAAGGACAATATATATTTATTCTTCAAGTATATGATGATCGACAACAAATGAGTGAAATGAATATAACAGTTAATGTTCATGGTATACCAGATGAAGAAGATTTAATTGAAATTATTTTCTTATCAAAACCATATTTATATCAGCAAACACTTGATAATCTTTTAGCACAAATACGAGTTTTTCTTATTGATTTATTACCAAATATAGATATTATTATGGTTGGAATGTTAAAAGAAGATGTTTTATTAATTAAAGGAAAAGATGTTAAAACGAATTTAATTATTTCACCAAAATTAATTGTTAATCATTTACAAAATAAAATTAAATCATTACGTTCAGCATCAAATATGAATATTTTATCAATTGATACTTATTTATGTTTATCAAATTGTTCAAATCATGGTAAATGTGATCAAAAAACAAAAAGTTGTATTTGTAATAAATATTATATGGAAAATTGGTTTAAATCTATTGTTTATAGGGAAAAAAATTGTGGTAAGAATAAAAGAAATTCTTTTTTTATATACATTCCTATAAGATCTAATATAAAACTTAATAGAACTGATTTAATTTTAGACAAGAAGTATTTAACAATTTAAAGTACCAGGAATTCAAAATTTTGGTAAATTTTTATTTTCAATTTATTTAGTGTCATTAGATAGAGGACATCGAGTTACCTATGGAAAACTACTTTTGCGTTTTTGGAAGCAAGTTTTTCTTAGAAATATTAGAAAAAAAAAAGCTAAGTTCTAAATATCGTATATTAGAAAGTCATTCATTATCATAAATATGTAAATGTTCTTTTTTTTTCACTTTATAGAACATTATAAAGTTTATTTTCTGATTCTGCAGACAAAAATTGATCGAAAGACCGTTACGTACATAAGATATCTTTAATCAATTTTATCTGCAGAATCAGGACACAACCCTTATAATGTTTCACCAAGTGAAAAACAAAAAATAGAATATTTATATATCAGTAATAGCAGCGAAATCAGAATTTTTGACGATGGGGGCTTCAACTGATCGGAATCTACGCCGGTGGTAGGACTCATAAAAGAGTTTAGCTGGCGCAGCTTGGTTCGGTAAAGAGCTCAGTCCCCATGGTCACCCCTTGGTTATGCCACTAATCAGTAATAATAAACGGCTCTAATCATGATATATTTTGAATTTGATCTTTTTTTCTTAATGTTTCCAGGAAAAATTTTTTCAAAAAATGGAAAAATAGTTTTTCATACGTAACTCGATGTATTCTGTCCAACGACACTAAATATCAATGAAAACAAAAATTTGCTAAAATTTTGAATTTCCGGCACCTTAAGTAAACTAATTCAGCATTGAGTAGAAGCTTTTTTTATTAGTACAAAATCAAGAAATTAAAAAGATTGCCTGCAAGATCAAGACTTAGAAAATTGTACAATGTTCTGATTTCTTAAATTAACGTAAAATACTTATTAAATTTTTATATTTATAAAATAATGAACTATGACGATCTAAACAAAGGTTAACGAGTATTAATTTTACTCTGTAAACAACTGTTGGATATTTTGTAACATTTAAGGATGGGTTGAAAGTTTCTAGAGAAAATATTTGACTTTTTGTTGCATATTTAAATGACTTAGCAGAGTGCTAGAATCAGAATTTTGTTCTCTTTCGGAAAATATGTTTAGAATTTTTCTGTAACACTTGATATTGATCGATAAATCTTGATAGGACTCAAAAAAATTTCTTTTCTAAAGATAAGCCTACACATCAAATAAGTTCTGTAAATATGTAGTACTTAAGAATGATCTGTATTAATAAACAATGATGCAAGAATAGAAAGTTTTGGCTGATACGCTAAAAATTTGCAGAGTTGTAATAGAGGATTATTTTGCTCTGAAAAGACGTAAATCGGAAAAATAGCCATTTTTCTTGGGATAGACGTTATAAAAGACTTAGCTGCACCTCGGCAGTTCTAAAAAAATTTATCGGTTTAGAGAGAATTATTTTTTGTCTCTTCCAATATATTCGATAAAAATGTATCACATATCTGGAAAAATTCTCATTTGAGATATTTTGCTCCAAAACAAATTTTTCAGTCTTCAAAATTTATAGAAAAATGCTAAGCGTATATTCCGAAAGGGCACAAAATGCTGATTGTAGTGCGCTACCAATGAATTTAAATTTTCATAAAATAGATATCAAAAAAGTTTCTCTACTGATTCGTAAAGCATATTATTCATCATGATGAACTTTATGAAACATTAAAATTTTGATTTAAAATAGATGACTTTTTCCTATGAACAAATTTTTCTATTTATGGACTTCTCTGGTAGATAGCTGTGTGTAAATTGAAATCGAGTTATTCATCCAGTTGTATTGATTTTGAATCTTATAAATCTTGTATTTTATTATGTTTTCTCCTAGATTTTATAATTCATTACTTCGTTCTAATCGCAAGTATTAGCTCAATATCGACAATAATATTTTGTTGGTTATGTTTATGTTGTTGTTTACGTTGGAGACGCCGTTGTAATTTATTAAAACGTCGTAAACGTATTCGTTATCAATTATTACAGGAAAATGATGATTCTGATGATCAAAGTTCAAAAAGTTCAAAAGAAAAAAGTAAAAATAAATTTCATTCAACAAAAAAAAGTACGTAAAAAAAATAAATAAAACAAATTTTATTTTATTAAGAAAAAAAACTATTCTTTTAGATAAAACAAAACTATCAAATATAGTTATATCGGAATCTGACAATGATCAATCTGATGAAAATGGTGAACAAACTCTATATGATAAACCACTTCTTACAGCTAAGTCACAAACGAACTCACCAAAAATAAAATCTCGTGGATTAAAAGTTGCTGTACAAGACAGTAATGGTAGTCCAATGTTAGGCAATAATCGTCAATCACCAATGACATCTGAACATAGTATTGCTTAATAATATAATTCAAGTGAATCTCTTCCGTTGTGATCAATTGACGACACAAAAAAACAAAACAAAAACGAATACTCATTTTTACTTTTTTTTTCTTTTTTATCTATATTCATTAACTATTTTCAACATTTATTCTGTTCATCTTTAGTATGACATTTAAAGAACTTATATTAACTGTGATTGTTTTCTTCATTTTCAGATTCTTTTCTTTCCAATAGTTATGTCACTTATTTGCTCTCGTAAGTGATTTTTCAGTTGCAAAGATGATTCTTTTTTATGTAATACGATCTAAAAGAAATGTTGAAGTATAGATGCAGAAATTTGATCTCTTCAGCCTAAAGTTGTAACCAATACGGCCGATCTTCACCAGTTGGAAGATATTGTATAGATATGCCATTTTTCTCTGATAAAACTTGTTGAGAGCAAGTTTACTTCTGGTCATCTACATCTTTTATTTCGTTCATCGAGAATATAGTTTAATTCTTTTTTAACAACACAATCAAAAATATGTTACTTGAGCTAAAAACGTTTTTGATAAAAGCCAAATTTAGGTTTGGATCGTCGTTTGAAAAGAAACGTTAAATTTTTCTGAAAAGATTAAATGAGAAAATTCACGGTTTGAAACTCAACAATTTGTTCATGGGTAGATTACTCTTGATTTTTTTGCGATCTACATAGAAATATGACATATTTATCTTTGAGAAATGTAACAGATAAAAAACGATTATAACATGATATTTCTTCCTGGAGATTTGTCAAAGTCTGACTACAAAAAGAAAAATGAATGGAAAAGATTTTTTTGAACTGATTGGACCAATTCAACAGCTCTTGACCAGTTACAACTCTCCTTCTACTGACTATGCCAGACGTTGTTGATATATGACCACAGACGATTTATCAATAACGTCTCGTTATATATAATATACGAAATAAATTAACGTATTGCATTTCTGAAGGATAAAGTGAAAGAATGGTGAAAAAATGTATCTCACAATAGATAGAATAAAACAATCCCACTATAATTAGCGACAGCAGCTACATCGTGTTTCGCATTCTAATCCCACAAAAATTGCTCTAATATTCTTTATGTTTATTTTACTTTAGTTTCAAATGAAGTTCCGGAACAACCGGTACTTTCACCAGTTTCTGGTTGTATTTATGAAAAACGTTTAATTATTAAATATTTACATGAATCACCAACTGATCCAATTAATGGACAACCATTAACTGAAGAAGAATTAATTGATGTTAAAGGTATTTTTATAATGAATAATTCAAAAGACATGACTCTTAGTTAAACAAAAAACAAACATTAACTTTTACTCTACAGAAGAAAATACTAATAAACTTTTTAATAACCTTTATGAGAATAACATACTATCAGAAATAGAATTGAACTGAATTCATAATAAATTACACATACTGAATTATATTGAATAGATGAAGTTTTAGAATTCTATGTTATATTAAAGCAAAAATATAAACAATTTTATTCATTAGTGAAATAACTTCGCAGAATTGCAATGCATATTTCTCTGGATTCTAGACCTGTCTAAACCTAGCCTTGATATGCCATATACGTGTTGAGTTGCTCTAGATATTCTGAAAAGCTTAGCTCTACAGTTCTTTGTTAAAATGAGTTATCAGTAACAACAATTAGCGTTAACAACACTCGAGTCAATGAAGAATATCAATTTTCATTGGGTACACTTCAATTAGAAAAAAAAATACGAATTGACGGTGCATTTTTCCAAACTAAACAGTACATTCTATAGGCGACAATCGATGCTATAGAACTTCGATCTAAACTTTTTCTTAAATAGGCTTAGACTTTTAAAAAAACTTGATTTTCTCTTTGTTAGAAAAGTAATAGACTACGAGTATACAAACGAGAAAATGTTCTTATAACTGAATAAAAAGTTTAAAACCAACTCAAAATGGTACAAAAACCTTCTTAAGAATCTTCAGCTGTTCACAAAACAAAAAATTTTTGTTTCAAGACATGATAGAACCTCTAGGCAACCGTTTCTTAGAAGTTTTTTTGAGAAAAATTTTATCATAGATGTAGTCCGTAGCATAGAGCCTATTCTAAATTTCTTGGATTTTTATTTTTAACGGTTAGAAAATTATTCACCAATGACTTTTAACTGATTAATTATAATCAAGTATCAACTGACAGAGCTAACATGTTTATTGATGTTGACGGTTAAAGAACATTGTCAGAAAAATTACCCTTGTCAAGAATTAATGTCAAATAGACGATGGATGTATGTCCCGTTTTTCTTGATATTGCCCACACATTATATCTATTGGTCTTGTAATCGAAGAAAAAGAAATCCATAACTTTTCTTTCGATTTAGTTACGCCACTTGGTAAACCAAAACCACCATCAGCAACAAGTATTCCAGCTATACTTAAAATGTTACAAGATGAATGGGATGCTTGCATGTTACATAGTTTTACACTTCGTCAACAATTACAAACAGCAAGACAAGGTTAATTTTTTCATAAAAGAAAAGTATATATGTAATCATAATAATTTCTAATTGTACAGAACTTTCACATGTCATGTATCAACATGATGCAGCTTGTCGTGTTATAGCTCGTTTAAATAAAGAAGTAACAGCTGCACGAGAAGCTTTAGCTACACTTAAACCTCAAGCTGGTATAACACACATAACACCAACAGTAAGTTATAAGAACTTATATTTGTTAAATAAGAATATTTCAATGGTTGAATTCATTTTTTCAAAAGATATTTTCAATTGAAATCAATAAATAATAAATTGATTTTCATGTATGATTGAATATGTTTATATTGATAAGATCTATATAAAACAAGAAAACAACAAAGAGAATGTTTAACATTAATAATTAAATATCTTTTTTAGCAATTTGTCAATGAACAATCAATGCAAACAGCATATCATGGAGCCGTGACTGATATTTCTCAAACATCAATAACAACTGCTGAAGGCATGACTGATGAAATAATACAAAAAGTAATTTTAATAAAATATTTATTCTACAAAATTAAATAAATAATTTATTTTTTTAGTTACAAGATAAAGCATCAGTTTTAACACAATTACGTAAACAACGTGGTAAACGTGTACCCGAAGGTTTAACAACTATTGATGAAATGAAAACTTTTCGTTGTTCAGCAACACATACAGTTCGTTAAATTTTTTTCATTGATGTTTATTTTTTATATTATTTTATTCTTTCTATAGGCATTACATAGTGCTAGTAGTCCAGGTATATTAGCACTTGATATATCGCCAAAAAATTCTAGTATAATTCTAACTGGTGGAAATGATCGTCAAGCTGTTGTATTTAATAAAGATAGTGAACAAGTTATTGCAACACTTAAAGGACATCAAAAAAAAGTTACACATGTTATTCATCATTTTGAAGAAGTATAAAATATGATTTTAGAAGAATTCATTTTTCAAAAACTTCTTTTGTATTGTTTATAGGATATTGCTATAACAGCAAGTTCTGATACAAGCATTCGTGTATGGCATATTCCATCAGCACAATGTTTAAAAGTTCTTAAAGCTCATGAAAGTCCTATAACAGGTCTTTCACTTCATCCAACTGGTGATTATGTTTTATCAAGTGCAAGTGATACATATTGGGCTTTGTCAGATCTACGAACTGGTAAACTAATAACAAAAATTCAAGATACAACTTCACAAAGAGGTATAAATATAACTTCATTGAATATTTAAAAAGTGTCGACGATTCGAAATGGAAGAAAACTTTTTATGTCATGATTGAATAGAGCATGTCGATTTACCTCTAACAGATATTGTATTTGAATATTTGAACAATGGTTTTTAGTCTCAGCTGCCTCGATATTGATCCGAATTAGGTTTTTGATTTTACTCGTCATATGGTTAGGAAAATCATTACGCATAATTTTTGAAAAATAATGTTTTATTGCTGAGAACAATCGATTTTTGCCATAAATACAAACAGAGATTTTGACCATCAGAATTTCAATTCGAAATAAGACGGAAAAATCTGCATAGAATTTTAAACTCAATGCTAAAAGCAAGTATTCGTCAAAGTTCGATTTTAAACGAATCACATATCAAATTATTCGAATATAACAGTGATGAGGCGTAAGAATCAAAATTTGACGAAAAACCGTTTTAAATATTCAGGATTTTATTCGATGCAGATTTTGCTGGTGATTCTAAATATGATGTTCATTTCATTTCGAACTGAAGTTCTGATGGTCAAAACCTTCTCACCATGTGACGAATAAAATCAAAAATCAATTCAGATAAATATTCAGGCTACCAAAACTTGATGGTTTTTAGCATATTGCAATTTTTATCGGCTTTTCTGTTTTCTTTTTTTATCTTATTTTCTTCAGTTTCACTTTAAAAAATTGTTCAAATATATCAAAAACAACATTAGTGAGAGGTAACTTGACGATCTCTATCCAATCATGACAAGAAAACGCTAAAAAAGAATTTTGTTCGAATTTTGAAATATTTGATCTCTTAGGATTGACATGTGCACAATTTCATCCGGATGGTATTATATTTGGAATTGGTACACAAGAAAGTGTTATTAAAATTTGGGATTTGAAAGAATGTAATAATGTTGCTGATTTTCCTGGTCATGCTGGAGGTATTAATACAATTGCATTTTCTGAAAATGGTAAAAAAGATGTTCTTAGTTCTACAACAAAGAAAAACTCCAATTCTCTCTCTGTCTATTTATTAAAGGATATTATTTAGCAACAGCTGCTGAAGATGCATCAATTAAATTATGGGATTTACGTAAATTGAAAAACTTTAAAACTATTTCACTTGAAGATCGTTATGAAGTAAGATTTACTTATTCATAAATCGACTACATACATTATTTTTTCTTTATTTAAATAAGATACGTGATCTAGTTTTTGATCAAAGTGGAATGTATCTCGGTGTAGCTGGTACTGATGTTCGGTAAGTTTATTGAAATTAAATTTGTATTAGTCTATTCGATGTTTGTATTTTTTTTTTCATATAGAGTTTATCAAGCAAAACAATGGGATTTACTTAAAGTATTTAATGATCATACAGCTATAGCAACTGGTATTCGATTTGGTTCAAATGCTAATTATGTAGCAAGTTCAAGCATGGATCGTTCATTAAAATTCTATCAACAATTAACACAAGAATAGTTTGTTGATATAATAGGATATAAACAATTGATTTATAAGAATTTTTTCTTGTATCTGTGTCTTTTGAAAAGATGTTATTATTATTGTTGTTGTTGTTGTTGTTTTTCTGTACTTATTCGAATAAAAAGACATGATGTGAATATATGCAGAAAGTATACAAATAATAATTATTAAATTAATGAGATGGATGAAATAAATAATGAGAAAAGAAAAGTTAGAATCCATCATTGTTGGAATTTTGATTACAAATAGGAAATGAATAACAAATATCCGGAAAACATATATATATATAATAAAACATTTTTCTCGTCATCTTTTTGGTCTTCTTTTACTCATATTAAATAATATTTGTTGTGTTTTCTTTAACACAATAAATTTATATTGTTAAGGATTCTCTTCTCCTCCCATAGCTCAGCATATCATTTATCAAACAAGTCGACACCGGTCTATCATTATACTAGATTCTATTAGCTGCTATCATTTCATATCTATCTATCTATCTTATGGGTCTAATAAGATTGTTGTCTTTTATTAGGATTTTTTTCTTGACGTCTTTTTGTTAGTTGAGACGACATACTAGCAATGTGTTGATCTCGATATATGTATATTCATCATCTTGCGCTTGGTTAATCATCATTTATTGATGTGTGTGGATCGCACGAGAAGAGAAGAACTAATGCAGGCAGTCAAACATCGATAACATGTGTAATATATCTTTCAGCTATAAAAGTGTCGTCGTAGTGAGAATCATAAGAAGAAGGACATTTATACCAGGAGATGCGATACTGTCACTGATTACGCTTCTCAAAGTGTTCTCGGATAAACTTGACATAAATTCAGTCTTGTGAAAAGTTTATGCTCTTCCTCTTCCGGTATGTATGTAATCTATATCACTATTATTGGCTTCATCTAAGTTCATCGATGCAATAATGTCACGCAAATAATTGAATAGATCGTTTTGTTCTTTTTTGTTTTCTTCGTGACTTCCTATTTATTTTGATGTTTGAAATCTACTATCAAAATGAATACGATAATCTTACTTTATATTCATACTATTCTTGATTATTCCCTAGTTGACTGTGATAGATAATTATTGTTTATCATATATATTATGTTAGTAAGAAAAAATAACATAGAAAAAAATCATCATGATAATTATAAATAGTAGCCTTGCTTAGTCAATATAATAGTATTTGTTTCTATGATAATCTCTAGTGACATATTCTAGAAAATATGTAGTGATGATGATTCTGTTTAAATCCTTCCGGACAATACAAGCTGCTTTTTCTCTCCTCATATTTCTTCTCTCTTTCTTTTTTTTGTTCCGTGCCTTTCATCATCTTCACTGCTTGGCTGATTAGAGACAAAGATTATGCATCTATGCTTTTGCACGACTACACACATATACTCTTTCTTTCTCTCTCTCTCTCTCTCTCAAGAGAGAGAGAGAAAGAGCCTACACGCCCTGTAGGATTTTTCAACATTACATCCGAACGTTTCATTCATATTTGATTCATTTTTTTAGTCAAATAACAATCATTTGTTTCCTACGTTTATTTATCAGATATAATGTTTGGCTCTCGAGCATTTACATCAACACAATCTGGTCATAGATGTACATCATCTGCAAAATTTACAAGCACAAGACAAATTGAAAATGATATAGGAGGTTATTTTAAATACTATTGATTTATATTACAGTTTCTTTTTTTTTTATAATTCTATTGAATATCTAGATCGATATCGAATAGATGAAGTAGAAGACGAAACACATCCCAAACGAAGTTTAGCTTGTTCTCTTATTTCATCAGTATGTTGTCCCATTCTGGGTGAGTTATTTCTTGAACATTAAACAAAAAAATCATTCAACTGAATAGCACATATTATATGAAGTTATTTTGTATTCAGGAATTATTGCTATTGTTTATGCAGTTCGTGCCGTACGAGCACATAGTCAAGGATTCTATGCTGAAGCAACAATATTTTATAAAAAAGCTATCCGATGGTCACTTATTACATTTATTATTGGTCTTGTACTCGGTTCAATAATTGCATTTGTTTTCTTCGTCAAAACTGTTCTTTTTGTCTAAAATAATCAAATTTATTTTTAATTCTTTTATTTTTTTTCTTGTGATCATCATCTTCAATCATCTTACATTTGCTGTTGGTGATTGATTGCTATTTATTATTATCTACATACATATATACATATATACATATATACAAATATTAAACGATTCTATTGAAGAATTGAAAAACAAAGAAATACTATTTGTTTTTTATTTATTCTTTTAGTATGATACTAAACGAACAACAATTGTGTAAAAAAAAAGATTTTTATTTTTGGATAAATATATACATTGGCATTGAATAAACTTGTCGAATCTGATCTGATCCGACTCTTGCATGAATTCGGGTTAAACTTTAAAATATAAAAATTTCGTTCATTTTTTCTAATGCAGTTTCCCACTTTCTATTTATTCTTTTCTACGATTGATTTAAAAAGCTATTGGTTCATATAATGTACATATATATATATACACCATAACGATGATTCCAAGACTGATGAAATCATTTTTACAACTTAATATCGTTCTCTACAATATGAACAAATCCATTGAAATCTAGATAGATCATTTTACCAATATATTACAAAATATTTGTAAAATTTCAGATGACATTACTTCAAATAATATTAAAAATACAACAACAAAAAAATGATCTTATTCTTTCATCTCATTTTTCGAAAATGTTAACCTATGACATTCGATCCGATAGTGATAAGATAACTTTGTATTTTATTGCCTTTCAAGTAGAGACGCTGTGACATGAACATAGAAAATAATTTTCATTATAGCACACTCTATTAAGAGAATATTGGTGTTAACAATTATTTTACCACGTATTTTTGTTTAAGAACAACACCTATCAATAAGACACAAGGATCAATATGCATACTATCACTTTAAAATCGTGTGTTAATGGTTCATACTTTTAATAGCTTTTATTAAAAAAAAGAATGACAATGTCATCATAACTCCATACTACAATTCGACGCATAATATTCATATGTAAGCGCAATACTCATGAGATCGTCCAGATACTATTTCAATGTGCATTCAATATCACTATAGAAAACACTATATTTCTCTGGAGTAAACATATTCAAAGAAAATAGCTAAAATAAATGAATAAAATTTTCGGATTCAAGCTTCACTGTACTGGATCTGGTCGGGCTGGGCTTCAAACAATCGAATCCAAAAAGAACACTAACAAAGAATTCTCAATTATAAATTATAAATTATGTTTCTTTTTTTTCAGTTTAGTATTTACATATTAGAATTCTCCATGGAAATAAACCTCTACTTTATTATATGAATACTAAATAGAAGAACTAAAATTCAATCAAGCTTTTAGAAGAGAATCAAGAAGATTTTTCGAAAATAAAACTTTATCTTCAATGAGTTATTTTAAGATAAAAATAAATTCGTGTAGGTTAGTCACGATTTAACCGATATGATAAATGAAAGATTAAGATTATTATGTATTGCCCACATAAAATTTCAAATGACATCAATTGAATTTTTCAAAGTCATGCTTTTTCTTTTGCATTCGTTTAATAAGATCTAATGACCTTTATCGCATGCAAATAAACATCAGTATGCGTCGCTCCTCATTGTGACAATAAGAACAATGCTAATATCTGTCATCGATTTCATACGAAAGCTGATCTACTTTCTTTTTTTCTTCGCTTGTCTTCTTTTTTGTTATACGATTTAGAATGATAAAAAAGAAGCGTAGGAGAATAGATCATGACATTTACATACAGATTGATAATACTAGTATAATATAAAGGCCAAAATTCACTACTATCTCTTGACATTATATCTTATAGTGATCATCGTATACATACCACAAAAATGTTTTATTTTATTATAATTGTGTTATTATCATCTGTCAAAGCACAATATTATCAACAACAACAACAACAACAACAACAGCAACAACAATATTCATACAATAATTATAATTTGAGACCATTTTATCCACAAAATAATGAGTTTGGAACTCAAGGTATGCAACAAAGTAAGTCAATATGAAAGGTTATTTCTTCTTGATCTATCATATTAAACTAACTTATTAGATCAACAACGTGTTCGTGGTAACCTAATTAGTGATGATACATCCATGTTACCATTTGGTTCACAAATAGTTGTAGTATTAGTGGATGTTTCTCTTCAAGATGTAGCATCTCGACCTTTAAATACTCTCGTGTTATATGGATCTTATCGTTTTCCAATACCTTTTGAAATTCCATATTCAATGGCACAAGTACAAATATATAGTAATAGTATTCAACAATATGCTATTCAAGCTCGAATTGAAAAAGATGGTCAATTACTTTATATCAATGATCAATATACTCCAGTACAATTAATACCAGCACCAATCAATCCTATTAATGTATATATGAAAAAAATTAGTACATCAACTATTCCAGGTCAGTGTATATTCATTTGTAATCAAATTATTTCTAAAATTTATTTTAATCTATTCAGGAAATGTTGGAATCTATACAACAAGACCACCTATAATAAGTAACACGTATATTTGTTTACAAAAGCCAGAGATTGGTCCTTGTAAAGCAAGTATTCAGCAATATTTTTTTAATACTCAATTAGGTTCATGTCAAATATTCATATGGGGTGGTTGTGGTGGTAATCAAAATCGCTTTAATTCTCGTATTGAATGTGAACGTACATGTTCATTTTATCGACGACGAATGATTAACAATAATGCTAAACAAAAATGGATATAACGAAACATTGATTTTTTTTCTTTTAAAATATACAGTATTTACATTTTATTTTTATTAACTAATTTATGATCAAATTACGTGTCTGGTAAGAAAACAAAACAAAACGTGAATTTAAAGACTGATATAGTCTTATGTATAATGAAGTTTTTATGAAGTATGAATTTTCAGTGATTATTTGTGTTGTTGTTTTTAAATCTGTCTTTCATTGAAAAATAAATTTCGTAAATACATATATATATATATTGAAATTGAATAGAAATACACATGACAAGAATTAGTTTAGTCAATTTGTATAATTTGAATCAAGTTTACAACTTTTCCAAAACATGTATAATATAATATTGGATTTATTATTTATGTTTGGGTAATTCTAATATAAATTATACTATTCATGGATATATTCAATCGAAACGAATATTTTTAGTATCTAAAACATCGTTCTCTTTTTTATATTTAGGACATGCAGAAAATACTGATATTTTAAAGAATACAAATTCGAGAAAAAAGCAAACTAACTGTTTATTTCATGAATTGTTCGAATTAGTGATCCTGATTATTTATATACTGTTTCATTCGTTCAATCTATTTATCAAAAGCTTTTTTTTATAATCATCTTTACTAAATCAATTCATTGTCCTGGTTACAACGTGATGTAGCCATTCAGAATTGTTTTAACTGATCAAGTCGAATAGACAGAAATATCATGGCGCCAAGTCTAGAGAATCAAGTGGTTGTGACATAATTGTGATGCCTTTTAATTTGAGATACGTAGATATATCTTCATAAACTTATGACTTCGAATTATCATGGTGAAGTTTGAACATGTGTGTACCAAATGATGGTCTTTGCTTTTTGATTTTGTTGACAAGAAGTTGTAAGCAATTATTATTATTAATAGTAACATATCGACAGATTATCCTTGTTTCACAAAATGAATTGAAATAGAACCGATGATCTTAAAAAATATAGACTGTAATGTTTTTGGAGTGACGCCGCTTCACCGAACCAGAGTTGGTGGAGTCTCTCTGCTGATTGTTCAGAAAGCATATAATGTTGTTTGACGAATTCATTTATGATAAAAGCATCACTCATCATCAATCACTACGTCACATAATCGTCATCTTTCTTATTTAAATTTCATTAAATATTCTTCACGTATATGGATTTGTTCAACTCGTTGAACATCATCTCAGTTGACTGGGAATCCAGGGAGTGGTAATCTTTTTGTAGCTTTAAGTGATCAGAAATGATTTGCTCTATGATGTCGTAACTAAAACTAATTTATTTTTTTATTTCATCAAGTGTAAGATAAGCATCATCATCGATGACATCTCGAACTTTTTCAATATTTTTCTGATTTTGTTTCGATTACAGGTCGACCAAGTCATCGTTTATTTTCAACTTGTTCTCGATCTTGACGAAGCCATTTTGATCATCTTATGACTGTACTGTGAGATAGAGTCTGGTCGTCGAAAACAATATACAATTCGTCCTGAATAACTTTTGGTTCAATATGAAGTGCCCTAAGCACTTTTATGTGCAAACGAAAATTTTCTTTATTCATCTAAAATACAAGTATCTAATTGTCATTGAAATTTTTCATATAACTATGGCAGCTGAATATGATGACATATTGGAGAAATATAAAACACTGTTGACATTACAAGTACGTATAAAAAGAAATTTTCGTTGAGCTATCCATAAAGTAATATAATTCTGAAATCAATGCTTTTGATATGTCCTAAATATTTTGAAGAAACTAATTATCAATGTTAAACTATAGAATTATTCATGACTGCATTTAAAAATTAAAGCAAATAAATTATTGATCAAGTTTTGTCTGACACATTTTCTATTCATAAGAGTGTTGTTTTTTTTTTCAAAAATTTATACAAAATGAAGTAGCTTATAAGATTTATACTAATCTTAATACCTGTATTACATGAAAGAGTATAGGTCTCAGTTATCTCATGAAAAATAATGATACATTAATATTGCATCTTGCTACTATTATATCGACTGATAATATCATAGTTTTTACTAAATATTTATTGTTAATTGTACGTTCATTAATTCGAAAAAATTAAAATCCAATTTTTCACATTATTCATAATTCTAATATTATTGAAAATTGAAAAACATTGACTAACTACTATTTTGAGAAGTGATTAAAAAAAACTATAAAAATAAAACATAATACTAAGAAATGTTTAGTTCATTGCAAGACTAACAAACTTTTTTTTTTCTATTGTTTTCTACACTAACAAGCATTTAACTCAAGTCTAAATAGTGGTTTGAATAGTCAATCAAATCAAGTTCTCTATCGAATGCATTCAATACCAATTTTTCATAGATGAACTATGAGAAGAAGATTTCTGAAAACCAAACACCGTTGTTTTCAGATTTCAGAAGACTGTTAGAAATATCATCTTGAAGAGCACAGTTCTGAATAAGATGAGTGTTTGTCACATTTTCTATGGCTTTTTCTTAAAACTAAGTATAAATATTACGAAAAACAATAATATGTGTGTGTTTTAGCAATGCTATGATAAATCTTGGTTTTTTTATTTGTTGTGATGCTTATAATATTTTAAAAAAAGTTTGTAGAAATCATGGCAATCCTTCATGCTATTCAGGATTTTGTGCTCTATATAATGACACTCTAAACAATTTTATGGAACCTAAAAACTACCATGTTTAGTTTTTCAGAAACTTTCCTCTCATAGTACATCTATAGAATTTCGGTACCGAATGCATTTGATAGAAAGAACTTGATTGACTATTCAAATCACTATTTGGATTTGGGGTAAATGCTTGGTATTGTAGAAAAAATATCAAAAATACAGTGGTCTTATGCTTTTGACCAATGCTGTAATCAGATGAAATTTTAATCTAATTTTTTGTCCTTTAATTCTAAGATTTCATGCATCCAGAGAGCAGTTAATATACAATAAATTGAAAATATTGACTTTGCTAAGCAAAAAACTAAATTTACCAGCCATCATCTACTAGATACTATTGTCAATTTAATTTTGCTATATATGAATTGAATGACTTATCTAACCTTCCCCTCTCACAACAGAAGACATTTTGAAGAAACGATGTGCCAGACGTAATAACTATCTACCACCATCCTTTATTAATTAATTTCTCAAAAAATTGGAATTTTAAGTGAAATATATAGATCAAAATATGTCTAGTTTTTAAGATGTTGAGCTAAAAATCTTAAAAGACTGAGCTCAGCATTATTTTCTGGTCTTCTAAAGCTCTAAAAATATATTTTCAGATCGTCAAAATCTTATTGGTCTTCTGAAAAACTCTATTAACTAACAATTATGAAAACAAATGGAACATAAAAAACTGTCCAGGGTCGTCTATTGCGCAGGAGGGAGGCAGTTTATATCTTAAATAAATAAGTTTCGTTTTACAATAAGTCATTTTACTAAAGTATTTAGTAACCTCTTTGGCATGTACAAAATAATTAATACTTCTATTTATTTTCTTAATAATTCACAAAATCCAATGAAAAAATTTCTTTTTTTTAGTTTTTTTTTCTTTTTTGCCGTTCTACACAAGAGTGATGCAATCTATGTAATTTGTCTGTACGATAGCTGTCACGTACTCAAGAGGAAAAGCAAGACAGAGGCAACCTTGAATAATGCCTCGTAAGCTGTCAACATGTTATTTCATATCCAAATCAAATGATATTATCGTCAATATCACATGAAACTTACTCATTCAAAAATCATATTAAGTATAATTCTGTTCTTTGCAATCAACAAAATAACTCTTCATAGCGATAGAAATAGAGAGCGAATGTCTAATGTATTCATCCATCCTATTCTAGAGTCTTATCGCAAAATAGAAAAATGAATGGTTAACAAATTCTATTGAATAATATGCTTTGACGGTCAGTAGCTACATTTATGTTTAGAACAATGAAATACAAAACAATATTTTCCTTTATACTTTAAGCATGTAATATAAAAATTTGCAACCTCCAACTTACAAAAGATAATTCAATCTTTTGGTTTATCATCGCTAAGTCAACGTAAACAAATATTCGATAATTAATAAGACAAGTTCTAAAAATAAAACTGTTATCTTCATTGAATATCTTATTGCATTGAATATATTCATTAATATTCATCTAAAATGGTTATCACTTTTGAAAATGATTTACCCAATTTTTAATTTGTCAAAAAATTCATATTGTAAAATGTCACTCTAAACAAAAGATCTCATCAAATAATGATATGAAATCGAACAAAATCTTTCTCTTACGATCCTAACAATTATTATTACTATAACGATGAACTAAATATGCATATTAAATTGCATTCATCACTGAATATGATTTCATAGTCAAATACTTTGTATTCTTCAATAATTTTCATTGATTACTTTTAAACTTAAATCAATAACCTCTAAATTCTACAAATGTTAGCCGATTGGCTATCACACAAAGTCAACTTTTTCTTCATTTATTTATTTTTTTTTTGTCACACGAGAAAAAAAAACAGCAAACAAAACAAAAACGGTTAGTTTTCTTCAAGAGACTAGCAAAACACAACATAACAGCAACAATGACAATAAAGAAGATTATGTTCTTCTCGATTTTCTGTTTTGAGCAAGACGAACTTTGTATATGAAACAGACAATGACAAGTTCGTTGACAGAATAACACAGAGACAAACAATAAAAAATAAACAGAAAAAACAAAGAACTAATCTAATAACACCCATCCAAACTGCTTTGTGTATAGAACAAAAAATAAGCACACCGGAGGAAAAAAAAAAACAAAAGAAGATGAACCAACGAAAAAAAAAAAAGGACTGTTCTGTATCCAAAGGACATGAAGATAATGTAAGAAGGAAAAAAAAACACGGTAGTGATATCAGTTTATATTTCTGCTATCTGTTGTTCCGTACATTATTTTCCATTATCATACAACCAACGAAACGAAGATCACATATCCATTGAAAATTGATCATCACCTTCTACAAAAGGAAAAATTTTGCTTTGTATAAACGAGATAATTTATTTATTATTTTACCTTTCTTAGCCGATGTTGATTGTTGTTGTACAGTTGTTGACAAATTCGACTTATCAACCGATGATGCTGGTTTTTCTTTTTTGTCTGTCTTAACACCATTTTCAACAACGTCATGCTTTTCCGGTTCCGGAATTAATGTAACTAAGTACAAACAAAACAAAAAAAATACTATGATCTATTCAAGGATTTTCATTTGTTTAATATCTTTCGTCTTGCGCATATCTAATTACATCTACGCTCCTTTTTTTAGTTTTATCCTTGAACATATTCTTATCTTTGAATAAAAATAATATACTTACCTTCAGGAATATAGGGTAAATGAGGTGGTGAACGTGTCATGGGTGAATCACGACGAGACAGTAAAAAAGCTCGATCATAATAAATACGAGTGCCTAAACAATTAATATCTATTAAAAACTTTTACTAAAAGAAAAACAAAATCTTACCCCCTGGAGTTGTTGAAAAAATACTGCCACCAGGTGTTTCGCCATAATGAAGTGGCATATCTTTTGGATCATGTACAACAAGTCGGCGTATTGGAATACCTTCAGTACTGCTCATCGTTGAAGCTTTTTAATCTTAAACTAATCTAAAATTATGTTTTTTTTTCTTCTTCAATATTTCAGATAGAATAAAAACCATATGTTAGATATAGATAAAAAAAACAATACATATATATATAAAGTAAGCTGCCTTTTATCGGGTGGGTACTAAATAAATATGCACCCGAAAGCACGTGCGCATCGACTTCGTCGTTTCATATGATTGGTAAGAAATCTTTCGCCAATAAAAATCATTTTCTAGAGTTCGCTGTTCATCATGCCTATCTATATATATGTATATAAATATATATATGTATAATATATGTTAATTTACTAGTAACAAAAAAAAGAACAATAGAGGCAAAAAAAAAACTCCAGATACGAAATATATATAATCAAAGATAACATATGATACATGAACAAAAAAAAGGAAAGAAAAAGGAAAAACAATATGTATAGATATACAAATCACAGTACACTCACTTAAGTTTTCTTGCTTCCATTTGATGGATTCCAAACAATTTTTTTTTGAAAAAATTCTATTAGTTCACGTGGTATATAATTATGAGCAATATCTGATGGTACATATTCACGTAATACTGGTGAACCTTGTACATAATCAACAGCATATAATACTGATGAATCCTTTTGTTTAGCTGCTCCAATAACTGCTCGTACACGCCAACCTTTTTCTACACCAAACACTTTTCGGGATGTTTCATTTGTTGTTTTTGTTTTCACTGTTGATGGTGTTGAAGGAATACTACTTGAAGTTTTTCTTTTCTTCTTGGCTGGTGGTGATTCTGTACGAGTTGATGATGGTGTATGTGATTTAACTGGTGGATCTTCACCTAATGTTGAATAAACTGGATTTGATGCATCCAATTCAACTTGGTGTCGTTCAAACTCAGCAATTAAGTCAGGATGAATATCATGTTGAAGTTCCCAAGTATTATCTTCATCACCAACTAAAAGAAAAAAAATGTCTTTTTGTGTCAAGCAAACCAAACTGCATCCTTTCGGATGTCCAAAAATCGTTAGAATTGAGGAGGTGGTAAAGTTTTTTTTTTCTTTTTTTTTCTTCTGAGAATTGGTAAGCAAGAAAACAATAAAATGCTGGAACTCTATTGGAGAAAAACGAAAAGTTTTCAAGACTGATGGTCTCTGATGTTCATCTTAGAAATTATTCAAAAAATTTATCATTAACATCTTTGTTTTTGTTTACTGATCACGTTAAACTTTCAGTTATTATGTTAACATTAGTCATCATCATCATTGTAGTAATGAGGTCAGAAATATTTATAAAGAGTAGGAAATGTACTCAAGAAAATTATGTAATAAATAAGTGAGCCTGACATTTATACTCAATAAAAACAAAATATCATAATCTCTTTGTACTAGATTTTTTTAACAAATACACATGTTTTAAGTTCATTAGAATATTGTTCCTATATGAATTATGACATTGGAAAAATCAATTTTTCCTTTGGAAACTATTGAAAAAATAATGAAGAAAGTATTACTTATTAATAAAAAAAAATCATTTAATAAATTTATAATGATTTGAATGTTAAATTAACATAAGCAGAATATACAATGAAAAAAAAACCTATAACCTGTAAAATTCTATACTCCTTCAATATATTAATGTTAATACTTCTAATCAACAAATGATAAGATTTTAAAAATATCATACTTCTCGAACTGAATTCTGCAATGGAAAGAAAAAGAAGTTTTGATGTTATAACAAAGTAATAATTGTATGTTTCATGCATATCAATTTTTTATTTACTTTATCATTTCTCTTTAATAATGGAATGTATATATGAATATCACAAAATTTTTCACCTCTGTCGACATAATTTATTATTTTGGAAATATATCGTTAAAATATTAGAAAAATGAAACAAAACTTACATCCAGCCCATTTAAGTAAATATTCCCATTTTCCTTTTCGATTTCGTCGTTTAGCAAGTACTTTTTCGACTACATATTGGGCATCGGCTCTAGCTTCTTCTGGTAAGTCAAAATAATCATTTGGCCTTGTGGTTGATGGTGGTGAAGAAGACGATGATGAAGATGAAGAAGAAATTGACATTGAGTTTTTCGTCTAAAAAGAAAAATATATATATAATATATAAATGAAATTAATATCATTTTCTTTGTTCATAGTAATAAACTAACAACAGCAGAAAGATAATAGAAATAAACAAACTATCATAGTGATTGTTTTTCTTTCGTCCTGACGGACACAGTTATTACTACTGATCATTATTCATTACAAACGAATGATGACAGACAGACCAAATGTTAGCGATCAGAATTGAGAGAAAAAAGCAAAGAAGAAAATAAAGGCTCAATAGAGGAACGAAGAAGTCGAATGTGCATGTGCATAACTAAGCTGTTCGATAAGTGCTTTTTGAATCACTCTCTTTCTTTTATGTCCGCTAGTTCGTATCTTGTATATTCTGCACAAGTTAATCCAAAATACAAGCACGTGATAATATATGTTGCTTAGAATAAATTTGTGTTTATAGAAAAGAATTATAACATTCTTAAGAAATTTCATGATGCACTAAATGTAAATGTATAACATATATTGTTTAAAGGAAGAAAAGGTACTCCCAAGATTTGTTTCATTAAGCAAATGAAGGATGATCTTGTTCGGTATATCAGTATATTTACACGATTACAGATCAAAAGAATACATTAAGAATAAAAAATGATCAACATACAGAATGATCTTTCATCTACAATCAAATGATCCACATGAGAATATTCATTCATCATTCTCGCAAAAATCATTAGAAATATAAAAAGAAACTTCTTTTTTGTTGCACTTATTATATTCAATATCTAAAGATACGAATCTTTTTGATTGAGCAATTGTGTCTTCAATGATCAAACATATTTTTATCGAAATCATTATACTAATAAATCGGATAATTGTTTACAATAAATAATATAACGAAGCTATATAGATTATTCAAAAAAAATTTAAGTATAATTTATATAGAAAAACCATACTAATGAAGACATGAAAAAAAAACAATTATTTTTCTTATCAATCATAGTTCAAATATTAAAAAACATATATTCGAAGAGATGACTGTCATTTAAATAGAATCAATTTATTTCCAACTATGATTCAGAGTATGGCATCAGTCAATCATCTGTGTCATTATTATTCGTAAAAGATACTCGGCTAACTTTTATTGATAACTTCCACACAAAAAATATTTCTACAAATACGACTTTTTTTTCACTTGCTGTCAATCTATTTATATTTTGTTCATTAATTTATAAATTTTAACATAAAAAATTAATTTGATATTTATTGAGATTGAATTCTTCTTTTTATAGTTAGATTTTATGTGGGATGTAAAAAAAAATCTATTTTTATTTTATAAAATAGGTGTTAAGTTTATTAGATCCTAAAAAAAAAGAATTTTTAATTTTCATTTACTAAAAAAAAAAGTCAATTAATCTTATATATTTAGTTCAATAGGTGTATTTAACAAGATTGTATTAGATGAATTATCACGAGATGACTTGCGCAACATGTCATATTTGTTTTGGAAAGGAAGATAAAAACACTTGAATTACTCTATTAACGGTTACAAGGACATTTACATATAAAGATAAAGACTTGTTTTGAGTACGTTGATAAGAAGAGTGTAGAGAATTTTGTATGGATACTTAAAAACCTTGAGACTTATATTTGTATTCAATGTATATAGTATAGCATAATATGAAAAAGCTCGTATTGCCAATTCTATTTTTAATCAAAAAAAAAAGTGCATGCCAAGATATTTATATATATCATTAAACAATTTTACGCTTGTACATCAATACGACACGTAACATATGTTTAACATTTAACTAAGTTTTATTGATTTAAAATCTTGTGATCTACATTACAACAAAAAAAACGGTACAACATATAAATAAATAAAATAAAATGAACTTATATAATAATGAGAAATTGTTTTTTCTGTAAATTTGACTATGTTAGTTAATGTCAATATGATTGACAATGATAATTTTTCTTATGTGAATTAATAAAGAATATCACTGGATTATTTTTTGAAAATACCATTATTTATCTGCCCGTTGTTCCAATCTAATTGGTACTTGTTTCGGTGATATTGTCACCAGTTCAACTAGATCTAAATTATCATCATTCATTGATGCTGGTAATACTGTATAGTTTTGTAAAAGACGTATTATTGCAATTTTTATTTCAGCAAGAGCAAACCGCATGCCTACACAATTGCGAGGACCAATACCAAATGCTACCCATGCTATTGGATGTCGTTTAGTTGCAAATCTTTCTGGATAAAATTTTTTCGTATCTACTGGTCCCCACAAATCATTATTATAATGTAAACTGTACATATCAAGTGTAACCTTAGTACCTGGAAAAACACGACCCAAACCAGGTAAATCAATTTGTTCTGAACATTCTCGATTAATAATAATTGGTGTTATTGGATACATACGTAAAGTTTCTCGAATAAACCAATCGAGATATTCCATTTTATTAATAATATCATAATCAAGAATATCATCAACATTTAAAAAAGAATCAATATGATTTTGTAATTTTTTTTGTTCTTCCAAATGCGTGGCTAATACATGAGTAACATAAGCAAGAGCTGTACTTGCAGTTTCATAGCCAGCCATCATGAATAAATAAATATTTTGTTTTACTTCATTTAATGATAAAATTTGTTCAGTAGTATTATGCTAAAATAATTAAAGAAAAGAAAAAATATATGTAAAGATGTTGTGAATATGAGAGTGAAAAAACAGAAAAATTATTTATCTTTTAAATTATTCATCTTTTTGTCTGAATCAAAGAAATTTTTGGAACTTCTATTAAAATTTGTACCTTATTACTATCAATTGAATTTTTTTCTGTTGCATCAAGCATTAAATGAATTAAATCAGATGATTTAGTAATGTTCGCATTATAATTATTATCATTATTTTGATAAATTTGTGCTTTCTGAATAAAATAATTAACATTATCTTTTAACCATTCACTCGGATCATCTTCAATTAATTTTTCACCCATTGGCAATAAACGACGTAATGTAGCCTTAATACAATTTATCCAACAATGACTTGCTATCCAAATTGGTTGTAATTCTGGTATAAATATACCTAATAATGTAGCCAAATATGTGCAATTTTCTCTGGAAAATACTTCTTTAGATCTTTTTAAATATGGATCATTTGGATCACTTTGCATATTAGTTTTAATACCAAAACAACATCTCCAAATAAGATCCATTGTAAGAGATTTATATAGATTATAAATATCGAAACCGTCAGATGATGTTTTCATACATTCTTCTAATTTCAGTAATAAAGTTGTTATACAATCATCGATTACTGGTAACATTCGTTTCATTTTTAGTGGTGAAAATGTTGGATTGATAATAGCTCGTTGTCGTCGCCATTGATTACCGGTTGCACTAAATAAATGAACACCTTTTGTTGTACGACGATCTTCTAATGGAAACTGACGGCGTGAATGAAATTTTGAAAAATGTTTTATAAATATTTCATGTAAAATATTCGGATCCGAGACGACAAGTATTGGTGTATGACCTTCAAAATAACCATAAATTTGACCAAATTGACTTGTCCAATTTTGAATACACATTGATATACGTTTTGTACGAACAAAATCGGGTAAGTTACCAAGTATAAACATTGGTTGTGGTCCATTAATACCACGCTGTTTAAAAAATAAATAGCATCGACGAATATGAACTAGATAAAGAGTCAATAAACATATGAAGATAAATATAAGTAAGATAAATGTGAACATTGTATTTTGTTTTAGTTTTATTCTTCTATGTTGATAATTCTTAAGTTAAATAAAAGAAAGAAATCAATTTTCAAGTGAAAGAATGACACGAAGACAAAAAATAATTAAAAGGACGAATACAAAAGCCGGTTTATTTTCTGATGAATTTAAACTACACAGCTGTCTCCCAAGTTGAAAAATAAAGTATGGTAATGCTTAAGTTTTTGCTTGTGTACTTCGTCACTGTCTCGCCGGAAGGAAGGTAGATAAATAGTAACATTTTCCCATTCTTCTGAGACATTATTATGAAGAACGCATTTTAAATTAACAATATGGCTGCTTTTCTCAATTTCCAAGAAAAGTCATGCTACAATGATGGATACTTTTCAATTCCATAATAGATGTATGTTTTGTTAGTCTGCCCCCTCCCACCTTCTATTTTTTTCTTGTTTTATCTTGACTAAATAGTTAAAAAAATATGTGTAGGTAGGCAATAGAAAATGAATATTATAAAGTAGTATAATTCCGTTCTAATCGAGAGACGTATTTTTAGGTAAGACACGACTATAGACAGAGAGTGAGAAAAAATATAGCAGTTATGACAATATGATTGTACTATTTCAGAACAAAATCATATGATTCATGATGACATGCATTTTTTTGATATTATTGTCATTGAGAATGACTAAACATTTTGTTTATCATTATTATTTTCAATGTTCAATGATTATTACCAATGCCAACTCATTCATAGTACATCATTTTAATAATCATCTTTGACATGAATATTTTTACTGAGTATATTTCTTTGACAATCATTTGCGCTCAATAGGTAGTATTTTTTTTTTCAATAGACATCATAGCAATTCAATTGAAGGAAAAATAAACAACATTGTTTATACTGATTTATTACAAGCAATGTTCTCAAACTATAATAAACACAATGTTTTTTTCCTTATGTAATTCCATGGGTTAGTCTAAAGTACTATTGATGTGCATCAGCTTTTCTTTTATTTATGAAAGTATATAAAAAAAAAGTCATCATGTTCTGTCTGGGAATATTATAGTTAAGAACATCATTTACTTAGTCTGCTTCAATTGAGATGTGAGCATCAATATAATTAATTTTCACTTCTTATGTATTTTCATTCATGTACTTTCTTTTTTGGGCACATCGACTTAAACAAAACCTTTTCCATATTATTTAATGTTTGCTTTAATTGTGAATACTGTCTGCAGGGTTTTTTTTCTCAAGATAGATGCACATCTCAGGTACTTGTAAACATTGATTTATTGTCTAGGTTAAATCAACAGAAACACGGTGACATTGATAAGGCAAATAAACATTAATGTTAATCAATGTTCCATGAGAAAGAAATGAAAAGAAAAAAAAAACTTGTCTATGTTTCTTCAACAATGAATAGATTACTCGACAGAAAAAAGTTTATGGAAAAAAAATAGAATATAATATACTACATAACGCGACAATGTTTGTCACTATGTTGTTGTTGATGAAGTCGTCTTCTTGCTTGCTGTGCAGCTTGTTTAGCAACAGTATCTTCAACAGTTTCTAACATTCGACAAACTTCTTTAAATAATAAAACTAAATGCCAATGATATTTAGCTGAACATTGTATTGTATTAGCTTTAAAATTTTTTTTTACATATTGTTGTATATCACGTGAGTTTGTTAATGTTATATTTGAAAAACGTAAATCAATTGATATTAAATCAACTTTATTAGCAACAACAATAACAGGTACATATGTTGTTGATCTTGTTGTTATTTGATCATCATCATCATTTGTAAGATCGGCTATAATTTCTGATTGATGATGAGAATGAGAATGAGAATGATGATGATGGTGATGATGATGATATTGATGTTGCTGATGTTGTTGGTGATTATTATTGTTATAACCTAGACGTACACGAACTATTTCACGGTAAATATGTTTTATATAATTAAGTGTTTCTTCACGATTTATGTCAAATACTAATAAAAAAAGATGTGCACGACGAAAACAATACATTCGTACCCATTCTTGTTGAGGATCAGTATTATTTGTATCATCAAAACGTGGTGTATCAATAATACGTATATGAAATAAACGTTGACCATTAAATAACGATGTAAAATGATAGGTTGCTAAATTTGTTTCATAATATAGCGTTGAAAAATCATTGTATAACCATTGACGAACAATAGCTGTTTTTCCAACAGCTTTATCGCCTAAAACAGCTATCTGTATTGGTTGATCACACATTATTTTTTATCTGAAAAAATATCTATTCGGAACAAACAATAATTATTTTCATAAATTATTGCTTAGTAAATATATATATATAGAGTATCACTTATTATTATTTTTGATTATCATTAAGAGATGAAAATATTCTAGTTCAGCATATTACATTGTACAAATATAAGTGGTTATGCCCGTGAGGCATCACAAAAAAAATTTATACGATTATGCTTAAGCAATCGATCAATGTTTTTTTTTTAAATAAACAGCATATTGTAAAAGGAAGAAGCACAGAAAAAAAAATCTTCACAAGGAAGTATTATGAAAAGGAAACCTTTCTAATTCTTACCATTAGAAAAAGTCACAACCAATTTTTTTCTCTCTTCGCTATTTCTTATGCTTCTTTTCCATTTGTGTTAGTTTCCGAGAGTTGGAGGGTATCCTCCATAAAATAAGCACTAGCTTTAAAACTACGTATGCATGTATTCACCGCGAGAAATGTTCAGTTACAATGAATAATCTGGCATTGTTAGACCGCATCAAATACAGAACGATGAAAACAAAAAAAAAGAACGAGAAGAGGGAAGAGGAAGGAATTGAATGAAAATGAGCGATGAAGAAAGTCATGTTATTGAGTGTGTCGTCGTTGTTGTTGTTATGTTTTTATCGGATATATGTGTTGTTTTTCCTCATGATGGTTTTTTCTTTTTTTTTCTAGCTTAACATTCGTCAAATAATTGTCTTTTAGTCTATCCAGATTTTTTTTGTTTCCTATTCTGTATAACTCTAATAGACATCGTAATAGCTCTCAAGTTGAATGGCTCGTTTTGATCGGTTCTTATCATGTTCAAATGCCTATATGTCATTTTAACATTTATTCTAGCAACCAATTCTTCTATGTCTTTATAGCCTGAAGGCTTCTTTCTCATGGGAAATTGGAATATAGACATGAAATACATATAAACAAGCATTCTATTGACTATGGCGAGCTCGATTTCATTTAGACGAGGAAGAAAAACAGATAATGATGAAGACGAAGAAAATCCTATTTTCTTTTTTTATTGACACTTACAATTCTTAGACATTCTATTATGAATCTATTATATAAAGATCTTTGCATAAAACATCGAAGTGATCATTTGTCTCAATTGAATTTTTCTATGACGAAATATCTTTTTTTCTTTTCATTGTTTTCCCCTAACAGATCTTTTATTCAGGAAAATAAAAAGTAAATTATACGCTCTTCATTGTTTAAAAGAACAAAAAGAAGAGATTTATGAATGTACCTTGCGTTATAAAGATTTAATTATATTGATATGCATATAAATATTTCTCATAAATTTGTTTCCATCGACTGACTAATCTCATTTTCTATGGAACAAAGAACAAAACGAAGACGAAGAAGAAAAAGAAGAACGCAAAAACAAATATTACTAGTTGGAAACAAATCTTATGAAGAATAACACGCAAAAATCTCTACTATTACTATTATTAGAATTAGATCAAATATGCAAATCTTTTGTGAAATCAACAGCAAAAAGATAGATCAAAGGAAAAATGATGAAAACTTGCTGTCACGTAAAATAAAAATCACTCAGATCGCATAATTATAATATCATTATATTGACTTGAGCCAATAACTTAAAGTGAATATAAGGAAATGAATTAATTCGACAAATAAAATCTATTTAATTTATGTCTTAGTTTTGAAAATATATAAATTTAATTCTCGAATCTGTTTTATGTTTACAGTTAAGTTCTTTAATAGAAGGATAATTTTTAATATGATAGTCTTATTGACCAAACATTTAGTTTTATCGAATGAAACATGATTTATAATGAAATCGAATCGATTGAGTTTATTTTTATTTTTATTAATTAGGCACAAAAATATGAATAAGGCAAAGAATAAAAAGAAAAAAAGATTTGAAAAGAAAAGTTCAGTCTGTTTATATTTATAAATGTTTATTTCGCAGTACGTAAGGGTACAATTTGATAACCTTCCCCCAAAAGTCGTACAACAGCTGCAAGAGCAATGCAACTAATCACAGCTAAACATGCCGTCATAATAGTTACAAAACCTTGTCGTTGAATACGTTCAAATTTATGTCGAGCAAAAACAGCATAACATCCAATAGTATTATAACGACTTAATGGAATTGTATTATTTCCAAACTTATCAATACATTGATTATCTTCTGAAAGATAATTTTCATTACAACAACTAATTGGTAATTGTGAAGATAATCCAACTGTTGCTGTATTTCGTTGTGTAGCAGAAGTTCTTCCTTTACTAGGACTACTTCCACTTGATGATGAAGGATTCAATGATCCAAACATAGATGGTTGTCGACTTCGATAATCTTCAATAGGATCACCAAGACCACAACAATGATGTTGTTTTTCTAATCTTGCCATATTATCCGTATTTTCAATAATAATATCATTTCCAGTAGAAACTCTATATTGAGTTTTATCTAATTCGTTAACAATAGCACTATTAATTGATGCTGGTAATTGACCACTTGTTATAGTTAAAAATGACCAAATACTAACTGCAATAAGACCAAGTGAACAAATACCTAATAAAACAGCTGCTACAATAACAAATATTTTATTCACTTTAAGTAATCCAATTGTTAATATAATAAATATTGATAATGAAAAAAGGCCAAAAATAAGTAATAATACAGATATTGATTGATAAGGATGTAAACCAATATCAATAAAATTTTGAAGATGACTAAGTGCTAATGCACCATGTAAAATTAATATTGTACTTACAGCTATTGTACCAACCATAGCAACAGTTAATGCTATACGAAATAATGTTCGTTTAGCTGGTGTTGAAGTACCATTAGTAGTAGCTACTATTACCGGTCGAGACTTCATTTTAATGTGTGTAAAAACAAAACGTAATAAAATCAAATGAATGAATGCATTGATGTAAGTCTAGTTATCGATTCTTTTTTTTTTAACCTTGAATTAAAATGAATGAATGATCAAATATTTCTTACCTAATGAATAACAGAACCTTTTCATCTCGTATTACAATGTATAGAACAAATGTGAATTTTTAGATTTATTTAACGAAATGAAAAAAAAAAAAAATTATATGGTCATATCAAATTCTAAGTGCTATCTGATCAGAATAAATATAACGAATAATATGTCGTTTTTTTGTTTCATTTTGATACATTCTATCAAAATAATGATAAATTTCTGGTACAGTTATTGCAATAATCACAAGACCAATTATTGAACAAATAGACATTAATATTCGTGAATAAGTATGTGTCGGATATAAATCACCATAACCAAGACTTGTTACTGTTAATGCAGTAAGCCAATAACCATCTTAAAAAAAAACAAAACAATATTTCATATATTGTTTTTGTTGAAAAATTTTCTTAATACCAGTTACTGTTTGAATTGATGAATCACTTGTCCATTCTTCTATTAAATAAATAAATTCACCAAAAAAAAGTATCATACTTATAAGAATAATAAATAAATGAAATAATTGTCGAATACTATGTATTAATGAATAAAGAAATATTTTTAAAATAATTATTTGTCTTGTAAAACGAAATATACGTAATGATCGTAGAATAGAAATAAATGTTAAACAAGAATAGAAATAAATTTTTTTATATTTTTGAATTTCAATAATGATATACATAAACAAATTTGATAATACTGAAGAAAGTTCAAACCAAAAACATATATCTGAATATATTTGATAAAATGTTGGAGCTAAATAAATACGTAGACAGAGTTCTGTAAAAAAGATTATTGTACATAATAATTCAATAATCATCTACATTAAAAGAACAAAATATGAATAATGAATGATGTATTAAGAATGATTTTAATATTATTTTACAAATGATTTCTTATTTAAATCTTTGCAAATTCTATAGATTTAAGAGATTTTATTTACTAAGTTTTTCAATTGTCAATCAAGGAAATGTAATTATCTTCGAAAATTTTGTATTTTCAGCATGCCAAAATACTAAACTTAAATGTTTGAATGATTCAATAAGTCATTGGACAATTGCATGTTAAACAAGGATAGTTTTCAAAAGTAGCTTTATTATTCAATCAGTATCGTCTCTACATTCATGAACAATTTGAATTAAAAGAATTACGAAGCATATTTTCTCAGAGGACATAATATACTTCTATTCATAATAATCGTGTCACTAAGAAAGTATTTTTTTTTTCATCATGGAACGATACAAACTAAAGTCAAAAGAAATCTTGTCAAACTTTTGTATTCTTCTCTTACCCCATCAAAAATCGAAATTTTTATCAAAAAATTCGATTTTGAGATTTTGACATGGCTGAATATTCCTCAATATCTACTTTCAAAAATAAATACGATTTACAGAATTTATTATGATTTTTCACTATTGTGCAAAGATTTTACTAATAGGATAAGAGTCAGAAAAAGTGTATTGTTTGAACATAGAAGTCGACTAGCTCCCAGTTCAAAGTTTTGTTCAAATAAGCAAAAGAATTGTTCGAACAGATCAAGTCATATTATAAAATCTGTTCAAACATTTTCCTTTGATAGGAATTGATCGGTTCTAAATGTTGAGTTTCTAGAACTGAATTGTCCAATAATTTTTTTTCTGTTTTTGGAAACAGTATGTCAGTAACAGAACAAAGGTTTATTATGTCCGGAAGCATTATTCCTTAAACAGAACCAAATTTTATCATATCCGGAAGCACCATTCCCGAAACAGAACAAAAGATTTTTAATATCCTGAAGCGTCATTCCCAAAACAGAACAGAGATTTATTATACCCGGAAGTAACATTCTTAAACAGCACAAAAGATTGTTCTTTTCCGAAGTACCCTTTTAAAATGGGGAATAAAACTTGCTTGGACAGATCAATTCCTATCAAAGAATTGTTTGAACAGATCAGTTTATATCATAGAACGTTTTCAATTTTTCCTAAAAAGCCGAACTAAAACTAAACTTGTCGATTTTTATTTAAAAAATTTGATTGTTGATACCGCTCGAATTGTTTTGTATAGGTTTCCAATGGCGGTAAATCTACCTAAATTTAGTCAAATAATACACACTGTAAGCCTTTGAAGGATTGAACACGTTTCCTCTATTTTTTTGGCCATCAATGCTCATGTGATCATTTTGGCAGATATATACACATGATTCTTCTTCTACGCTAATATTTTTTCTAATGTACATATTAGAAGTGAGAAAGTATGACTAAATACTCTTTTTTTAAAATAAACATTTGAAAAGTTAGACTATATATTGTAATGTTCAATCCATGATCTTTTCCACATTCGACTAGTAGTAGTTTGTCGATACACTATCATGTGGGTGTAATGATAACATACACCCACATGAACTCAACCAGAATTTACCCATCTGCCCACTCTATAAGTATGAAAATAGAAGTTGTTTTTCTTCGATCAGCTCTCATCCTCTTTGTTCTCTGCTTGATTTTTTACTGCACTTTGACAAAGTAATGTTTTTTTTTGTCGTTTCTAACTTTGGGTTGTTTGAATAGGACTAACCTATTAAAATATTCTATTTACGTCGAAGCTATAATTTCAACGGACATGAGCTTTAAATTTAAATGAAGTGCTGCAATTCTTCCAAGAATAGATGTTTTTTTGTTAGAACAAATGGCATGCCTATGGGACAAAAAAATTGCTACACAAGGTCGTATAAGAATTCATTCAATTCGTCATAATCGATAACCCATGGCAAACAACTATCGATTTGTTTTCTAAACTGTTCTATTAAGAAAGAAGCGTGGGTTTCTACGCTAAAATTCGTTTCCTTTTTTTCTCTAAGTAGATTTTACTACTTTTTCCTGTTCTTGTGTTAAATATTTCTCGGCTATTTTACTTGCCAGAAAGCTCGGAAACGCTTTAAATTGAAGAGAAAATTGCGCTCTACAACTTAACAGAATTGAATTTTTCATTTTCGACTTAATTCATGAACAAAAGAATGAACGTTACTTCGTAGAAACACTCGAATATTGTCGATTTTTAGAGAAAAACTTCATTAGAAATAAAGAAACAAAATTTTCAAAAAAAATTGATTGTGTTTAATTGTAACGACAGTTCTTGACTACATTTAAAAATTAATGCAAACTCTGTATCATTAGGTTTAGAAGAGAAATTCTATTCACACTAAGATCTCCTTTTTGCTCTTTAATATTATGATAACTTATGAAATTCTGTGATAAAAATAGGTTTCTGACAATGGAGTTGGATCTTGAACTATTATGAGCATTAAAAAATGATGATTATATAATAAAGTCAAAGTTTTTAAAAAAATTAAAAAATATAAAGGTAAAACTTTAATGATACATTAATTACATACATTATACATATGTAAATGAAAAAGCATATAAATTGGTCGAAAAACTTGTCCATTAGATTCTTCAATCCAATAGATTATTTGTGACATTCGATGATCACTAAGACAATCTCTTGCAAAGGTCCAAAGAGCAATTAAATTAAGTATAAAATCAATGATTCGCATTAATTGACTGTACCAATCTTGTGTTGAATAATTTATTACTAACCATAAATAACGTTTATATTTATTTTTTGGTATGATTTTTATGTCAATCATTGACGCTATTTCTTGATCATAATATGATGTAAGTATAGAAGATTTCATACGAAAAAATTTTAATTCTTCATAAAACATTTCTGTTGGCATCCAATCTGGTTTTGATAATGAATTTCCATCAGATAGATAAAATGTTATTATTGATTCAAATGCTTGTGGATGACGATCAAAGATAAATTCATCTTTTAAATAATCATAATAATTTGCACGTAATTTTGGTTCACCAAGTAATGTATTTGGATAATTATTTAATATTGATACAGGAATTTCATAATGATGACCAAGAACATTAAAATTAAGACGAACAGATTCATCGACATCTTGATAAAGAGCTTTATTTAATCGATAAAGAAATTTTAATTCTTTTTTAAGAATTGATTTATTTATATTGGATTTAGGTACTTTGAACATTGATTTAAATTTTAATTGATATTTTTAAGGCGCGAATTTATTTTGTTATGAATGAACATAAATTAACTATCGATGTTGATCTTAACATGTATTAATTATTTTTAAATAGTTTTATGATTTAAATTTCGTGCATTTTCAATACAGATCAATATTAGACTATTGTCTAGTATATTTGAATAAATTAGATGATGTTCAATTTCGAAAAAAAAATAGATTTAGATCTATAATATTTTTCTAGATGAATAACTTTCGATTAAGAATATCTGTAAAATTTCAAATTGGGCATTTATTTGATTTTCGGTCAAGATTTAATTTTGAAAAAGAGCTAAAGTATATCCATTCCTTTTATAAATAATTTTCATTTCCGTTAAAAGAATGTAACACATACTTGGTATTTTTAAGTAGACAAGAGTATTCATTTTTCACTAATTCGTATTCTAATATATGTACGAATTTCTTCTTCTGTGTTGACGTCAGAGAATGATGTTCGAACATATTTTTATGAACAAGCATATCAACATATTTATTTTTTGAGTATCAAATTCTTAGAGAAGACATTTATTATTCTACCACAAAGAATATATTAACTAAAAAGTTCTTCATTGTTTTTGGTTGTAACATAAGTTAATAAAACCTAACAACATAATATATCTGGTGACATGATAGATGAGCCTTCATCCATTAGTTAAACGAGACACATCATTAATATCAAGTCGCTTAGTTGAATGTGAAAAAAATACATATGAACATGCAAAATCTTCAGATATTGATGATTTGCTAGTATTTACTTTCATGACAAAGAGAATCATCTTTACAAAGATGAATAAGTGTTTAATTAATTATATTTCATTTGTTTATCCAATCTTCATCAGTGTTTGCTTCATTGTATTTTTGTTATCCAATGTCAATTGTAACGTTTCCAAAAGAAATAAGGATCAAATTTGCGCTCTACAATTTTCATTATCAACGCGTCAATAAATCTCAATTGATTTAGTGTTGCTATAAAAGTAATTATGATGGTCATGCGTTCTTTTTTATAATACACAATATATTAAAGTAGCAGATCATATTCATGCATTAAGCATGATAGAAACAATTTCAATGCAATTCGAATCAAAGATTTTTTTCAATTTCTTCTATATGTCAGGCTCATCTGTCGGTGTATCACTACTCGAATAAATATGCGTCTAACGATCGTTTCTTTTCTTTTGATCAGAGCATAGCTCAGCTCAGACAAAGTAGATTTCAATTGAATATACTCGCGAACTATACAACTTCTTAGATCCAACTAAATTTCATTTAGATCTAAATGTGACGCAATATAAATATATAGAAGAGAAATTCAATCTTCTGCAAGCTCTATTCGATTTCCATAGTTTTGTCCACTTATTCTGGTCTTTGAAATGAGATCCATCTGATTAATATTAACTTCTTTTAGGCCAAATCAATAGAAAATGTAATTAAATCAGATTCATTGAGTTGATGGAGATAATCAGACAAAACTATGACAATTGAATGAAACCTGAAAAATATCGAACCTCTCTCTTACAGTCATAGACAAGCAGTAAGATATATTTTGTACGCTTTTGAACAAATTACTGCGCCCAAAGACTGATCATATGTTGCATTTTTGACTCGTTTTACCTATTATATGTAGCAGTGATGGTCCGACTGTGAGATGTGATAATATCCCTTCATTGGCGAAAGTTCAATTTTTTTTCCCAGCAAAACTGAAGCTATTTTTTTTTCATTCTGTTAAGTTAAAAGAAAGATATTCTTCCTTTCCAAAAAGTTGTGATATCCTCCTCTAATTTAGGCTGCTTTGGGCTACTATTGATATGTGGTATAAGCATGAAATCTAACTAACTAACCAGGTACAAAGAAGAAGTCGCAAAAAACTTCTATTTCCTTACTTTGAAGCCACCTTGTATAAAATTATTCTTTGTTCTCATCTTTTTCGTTTTTAAATCTTTTAAAAAATCTGTTTAATTTTGCCAAAATCTCAACTTTATCTGATGTATATATATACATATATTGAATTGAGAAAGAAATAGAATACTTTTTAAAATTTTCTAAGTGGTAACAGATCATATTGTCAAAATAACAAAACAAATTAATGAATTGTACTTTACTATCTCAGTTAACAAAAATTTGTGTACTAATCTTCTCCTTTTCTGGTTAAAATAGTTTAATGTTTTTGGATATAATTAGTATGTAAGTTAACTTTGATATTTTCAGAGCGTCAGTATTAATGAACTTAGTAAAAGTAAATTGAAATCGTATTTTTCTTTCTAGAAGTCATGTTCAATATGTCTTAGCATAAGACAAGATCTTATATAGTCTGAGATGAATCTCGAACTCTATATGTCATCATATACCTACTTTTTTTTCTAAATTTCATCATCTTCATTGATTTATATACAGCAAGGAGTTGCTTTGCATACAAAAAAAAAGTATTCACCTCTCATAGATGTCGTCATTAAGCGATTATTACTTATGACTCAATACTTTCTCCTGTACGTAAAATAAAATAATACATGGATTTTCTTGGAAAAGAGCATCGATTATACGTAGTACAATAGCAAATATAAAAATATATTATTTGTGAGCATTAAATTTTAAAGCTAGAATTTATTACATCAACTATTTTTCTTGTAGGAGATATATTTATTCTTGACGTTAGAAATTTTCATAAATAATGTATCGCGTACTTACTTCATCAAATCGAGCTGTTGCCCAACGTGTTATTCGTTCGACATTAACTTTTGCTCGGTAAAAAAAGGAAAGCATTTTTTCAATTTTTCTGAATTTATTTTGCAATATTTCAGTGCTGAATCAACTACTGATCCGGAAGCTGGTTCCGTTGCGTATGTATAGAACAGTATATAAATGTGTTCCTATTTTTCAATATTATCTTATATTAGTTCTGGTCAAGATGCATTCAGTTCGAAAGAAAAAGCTGAAGAAACACGTTGGGCTCGTCGTTATGTAAGAATATTAAACCAATAGAAATAAAACATAATTTATCTTAATAAATTAGGAAGCTGAACAAGCAGCAAAACATCAAGCAAAATCTGGTCAAAGTGGTGGAAAGTCAAAACAAGATTCTCAAAATGTTGGTCAGCAACAATCGGGTACCAAAAGTTCAAGAGGTTCATCTCAACAACGACTTGCTACTCTTGAAGCTGAAAAACAAAGAATTGAACAAGAAATCGCTGAACTTAAACGTCAATAATATTAAAATCTACATTCATCATGAATTTCTCTCGTTACCATTTTAAAGACAAACGTTTTCTACTTAATTTCGCTATGTAATTAGATTTCACATAAATATTTATTCATGCTTTTTTTTAAACTTAACTCAGCACAAAAATGATTAATTCTTAGTCTTCATTTTCGCTTTAGATGCAATCATTACCATTAACATCTAATACATATACTGATTGTTATTTACAGATTCGTCGTGCTAAACAAACTATCTTTACTGATGTTGCTGAAACAACAACTCTTTATGAATTAAAACGAATTATTGCAAATATACTTCGAATAGATCCTGACATAATAAGTTTGATTGTAAAAGGTCAAATACTTGATATTGATAGTAAACAGCTACTTGAATATGGTATAACAACAAAAGAAGCTCGATCACAAAATCCATTTCAATTAGAATTTACTCTTAAATTAGATGATGGTTCTTATGAAAATGTTGAAATAGTTCCCTATTCAATGCAAAATGATGCTTCAAATGATGAATAACAATAACCGATGAATTGTCGAACGAATACAAGTTAACGATAAATTTCTTTTTAAGGTGTTCTTTCTTATTATATTTTTACTTTGTTTTAATAAAAGAAAAACAAAAAGTAATAATGATTGTTCTTGTAAAACAAGAGATTATTAATCATATGAAATTACATTCGGTCTAATGATTGAATGCCTAAAATTTCAAAGCACTGTTTCAATACATTTGCTGTTGCTTCACATAAAAGTATTCGTCGATAATTAAGTCGAACTTCGCCAGTTGTTCTATCTTTCTCAACACAATAACATCGATCATAAAAATCAGTAAATGCTGTTGCTAATTGATACATAAATTCACATAAACCATGCATTAATAATTCATCAAGTACTCGCGTAAATACATCAGCATATTTAATAATACATTTAGCTAATTTTAATTCACGTTCTTCGATTTCAAAATTAAGTTCAACATCACGTGCCATTGCTTTTAATACAGCATGATCAACACCAGCTGTTCGAGCAATCGATCTATTTTATATTTAAATAAATAAGAAAACAAAAAAAAAACTTCTATTACCGAATTCGAGTATAAGCATAAAGTAAATAAGCAGCTGTATTTCCTCGATCATCAAGCATCTATTAATAAGATTTAAAAACAAAATCATTTTATTTTAAATTTCTTCTATTTTTCTTACTCGATCAAATGAAAATATATAATCAGAATTTCGATTATGAGATAAATCAGCATATTTAATACAACCATATGCAACTGATTTTTGAGCTTTTTCAAGTTCTTCAGGTGTTAATACCTACAAAAATAAAAGAAGATTTCAAAATAATTCATGAATACAAAAGAAAATTTTACATTATGTCGATCTTTTTCTTTTAATTTAGCCATTGATCGTCCAAGACCTTCATCAAGTAAATCTCGTAAACGAATTGATTCACCAGATCGACTTTTTAATTTTTTACTATGAAGATAAAAAACAAGATTAATCAATATTTCTTAAAATTTATTCTCCTACCTATCTTCACCAAGTACAACACCAAAACCAACATGATCTATTCGAACATTATTTCTCTCAGTCCATCCAACTAATTTCGCACCAGCAAATATTGATTGCATATGAAGAGCCTATTATTTAATGATTAAATTTAAAGAAATTCTTTATTATTAAAATAACTTACTTGACCCGAATCAATAACATAAATAATCCAATCAGCATTTTCTTCTTCTAAACGTTGTTTTATTGTTGCCATATCACTTGTATCATATGTAAAACTTCCATCAGTTTTGACAATTGTTAATGGAACATCAATGTCAGGTAGAAACATAACTTTACGACCTTCTTCTAATTTTAATAAATCTATTTTTGAAAAAAAAAAAAAAACAAAATCAGAATTGTTTTTCTTTTGTGTAAATATTAATTATCGTTTTACTTTTCGATTCAAGTTCTTTAACAACATCCAACATTCGACTTTGATAAAATGATTCACCTCGATCAACTATTTTAATATCAAGTTCTTTATAAATATATTCGAAATCTAAATTAAATATTTAAAATTCATTAATAGAAAAAAAAAAGAAAATTTTATTGTGATAAAACCTTGTCGAGATACATCACAAATAAGTTTCCATGCATGAATTATATCTGGATCCAATGCTTGAAGTTTAACTACACATTCATAAGCTCGTTCTTTAAAATTAGGATCATTATCAAAACGTTGTTTTGATGCCTAATTATATTTCATTTTAGAAGAAAATTAAATAATAAAATTTATTTTTACCCGATAAAACGATAGAAGATCACTAATTGGTGGTGATTTCGTTTTATATTCAGGATAAATATCTTGTAAGTGAGCAATAAGCATACCAAATTGTGTGCCCCAATCACCAAGATGATTTAATCGAAGTACATCATAACCAACATATTCAAGAAGACGAGCAAGACTATCACCAATTATAGTTGATCTATAATATATACATATACAGATAAGTAAACCATAGATATTTAATTTTAATATTCGATCAAAATATTCTTAAAAAAGTGAAACCATTCATCTGAAATTCTTTCAACTGATAGACAATTCTTGTTACTTTACTTTTTCAAAAGTCGTTATAATCTTTTTTCTATGTTAACTACCTCAAGTTAGCGCCGATAATCCGTAATAAATATAAATAGAATGATGTGAAATGAAATGAAAATAACTTTGATTCGACAGAGTAATGATAAATGAAGTTGACAAGAGTAGATTTCCGATCGTTACTCTCGAAACAATCATTCAAATTGATACCCGTTACTGTTTGAGCTTATATTAGACATCGGAAGGGTTAGAAGTCTAAAAGGGTTCGTCTCTATGAGCATTTTCAACCGATTTCGTGAATTTTCAATTCACCTACACATACACATGGAAAAGTCAAAAACGAAAAGAATTTCGACGTGAAATTTTGTCTACGAATAGGTCGAATAATCCATAGAATATTCCTTTGACGAGATATCAAATTTTCAGAAAAAATAATGTTTTGCTACACGCATGAAACAAAAGTCGAACTTAACTCTTCTGCTGAGACCCTTAGCATGCTTTACTAACTATTAGACCTATCTCTGGGCCAAGTTTGACATAAAAAATTCAGTACAACGGTCCTAATGGTACTCGAAAGGGTCATAGAGACAAATCCTTTTATACTTTTTTCTAGTTCTACCGAGATCTCCTTGTGAGCGAAATACGAGCTCCAACGGCGAATCTCATTTCGAGTGAAATTCTCGTAAGTGTTAGAGAAATACGGCGAAACATTAACAAAAGTCCGCACATCTTCTATGGACAAGAAAATGATGAAAGATATCATTCACAACAATTCGAGACTGTTGACGAAGATACTTTAACTTTTCCGAAAGATTTTTACATTATATACTACATCTTTAATCTGTTCACTTCAATAAATTTACCGTAAATGTCCAACATGCATTTCTTTAGCAATATTTGGTGACGAAAAGTCAATAACAACTTTCGGCTTTTTAATTTCACCTTGACTTTCATGATGGCCAACTAAGTTTAAAACATTGGGTGGTAAAACACCTTTCAATAAAATATTTCGAATTTGTCCAGAAACAAGTTCTGCGGAAATAGTAACATTAATAAAACCTGGTCCAGAATATTCAATCTAAAACAACATGAAAAATCTTTATTTTGCTAATCATTAAATCATAACGAACTTTTCCAATTATTCCATGTTCAGGAAGATTTGCAACAATGATTTTAGCAACTTCTGTTGGTACCATTTTTTTTCCAGCAGCAGTTAATTTCTATAAAAAAAAACACCGCTAAGATTTATTTATTTATCATAATTTTTTCTAACCTGAGCAATAGGCATAGCTGAATTACATTGATAATCGGTTTGTCGTCCTGGTACAACAAGAACTGGTAAATTTGTATCATCGGGAAAAGCTTTTCGAATAGCTTGTTCAAAAAGGCCAATTAATGTATCCAATATTCGATAAGAATGTTGGCTATCACCTTGTGCACCAGATGTAAAATGAGATTTACTTGATGTTGTTGCTGATTTTTTATTTTTATTATCATTGTGATTTGATTCGGATGGTTTCACTTGTGATTGTTGTTTGCTATTGTTGGAATCGTCTTGTTTTTTTTCAGTTGATTTTGTTTGTTTTGGATGTTTTTTGTCTTGATGATCACCTTGTTTCTTTTCCGTTGATTTTGTTTGTGATGATTGTTGTTTGTCTTTATTATCATCTTGTTTAGCTTCTGATGGATTTGCTTGCGGTCGTTGTTTTTTTAATTCTTCAATACTCTAAATTAAGAATAATATCTTGTCAATAAATTCTTCTGTCATTGGGTTTTTTTTTCATATTTATTTTACTTACACGAATAAGAATATTTGCTCGATAATTTAGTTTTTCATTTTCAGCTCGTAATTCTTCAAGTTTACGATTATCTTTGAATTCAGGTCGACTAAATAATTGTGTTTCAAGTTCTTTAACTTCGTCTTCCTTGAAAAACAAAAATCAACAATAACAATTTTACATCAACAAAAGTAAGCAAACCTGTTGTTTTAGTCGTGTTACAAGTTGATCCATTTTCTTGGATTATGCGATTTGTTTTTTTTTCTTTTTTATATAAATCTAGAATACCAAAAACGAAAAATTCTACATATATATATATTTTTTTTCTTTTGAAAGATGATGCAAGCGTCATATAACCGTCATTTTTTATTGCATCACCGCAAAATGACTGAGAACAATTGTGCACAGAAAACACCGGGTTGATATTCTTGTTAATCTATCTTGGATGTTAGCCTCTTTATTTATTTCTTCTATATACAGAAAGTTGGTTGGAAACTAGGTTAAATGGTGACTCAATCCAATTGTGTGAAAATTTAATAATGATAAGAACTTTGCGACATCTTTCGAGTTTGGTTTGTTGCTCTCACAAGTGTTCAAGATTTCCAAAAACGGAAAATTTCTCTCGTAAATTGTTACGTTGTAGAAAACTACTACCATAAAAAAAACTATTTTGAGAAAATACAAAAATCTACTGGAAACTTCTGCTATTTATCAAGATATAAAAGGAAATTTCCATGTAATTTTGACAACTGTTAAGGCATAAGAAAGTAATTTCTAGACAAGTTCGCTTATCATTCTCCGTCGAGTAGAGATTTGTAGTTAGTTTTAGAAATTAATAACATCTCCAACAAAAAGATTATTATGAAGTTACTGAGAAATGATGAAAAATACTAAATGTCAAACAACGAATATCAGAGACAAAATGATAATTACCACAAGATCAAAATTAATTTTTGACGCAATTTAGAGAGTAATAAAAGCTGAAAAGAAATTTCAAGCTAATTTTTGAAAAATTTTCGGTAATTACCGAAGTTTTTGCAAATTTTTTTAGCTTTTGGCATACAGTTCTATAGATCAATAGATTTATTTCTTAATATTTATGCTTAAAAAGTAAAGAAAATATGAAAATCGCTTTTAACCTTTTAGTATGCTACGAAATTAAGTGAAAAATTCGTTGTGACGTGGTGGTAACTACTTTTATACTCTTAAAATAACAACGGGTTGGGCAGAGAAAATGATGTCACTTAGCAATTCATCATTTAGGTAGTCTAACCAACTTTAAAGACTTCGTTAGACGTTTGAAAAATTCTGAATTTTTTCTAGTTTCAAGTGCTATCTTCAGATCAAGATCTGCTATAATTATCTTTAGCATGTATTCAAATTACCAGATGTGTAAAAAGTTCCAACTACTCGCCACCGCACTGGCAAATAATTGATTAATATCTTGATATTCATTTTTCTTGATGTAATCCAAACAAGGTACTAAAAATCATGCAAACTACAGAAAAATATTCATTTTGCAGAACGTAAAACTTTGCATATTCTGATATAACAACAATGACTTTTCAAAATTAAAGCTTGAAGAAAACCTTTAAAATAAGATATCACCTCACTAGTCATAAATGCATTTGAATATCCATATATGTATGAAAATAAAGACTTAATGAGCATGATGCATTTCGTAGTCTTTCGCGATAGAAATATTAAGGAACTTGACAGTGAGCCAATGACTCGCCGTACATTGGTACATCGATGGAGACTGGCTGGATGTGGGTGAAGAACGGACCCGCATGAAGAGCAAAACCCTCTATCCCTTACAGCCACGACCCACACACTCATACCCACACACGCGAGCAAGTGTTCTTGTGAGAAGATGTCGTGTCAAGAAAATGTTTTCACAAAAAATTGCACTAGCGAGCCACTGTTCGACTCCCTTCTCTTCAATGGCGATAACTATGCCTAAATCCATAAAATAATTTCGCATTTAATGAACCGAAAGTTTGTTTTCTACTAGCATTCGTTAGATAGCATATTCCACTCTTTACACTACGTAATCAACTATGAAATACTTAAATTGTTTTCATATCAAAGATTGACCTTAAGCACTTTTCTGTGACATATGTGCGCCATAGTGTATCTATGAGAATATAGAATTGAAGATATTGTTTGTTAGACTAATCAAATCCAATCTGTATGTTATTCTATTGAAAATGACAAATATTTATTGAAACACCTGACAAGAGTAAGACAGATGTTTTCTACAAAGATAAATAATTATTTTAAATGCAAATAATTGTAGATTCGAAAATATGTCGACGGATATGGCATCATCTTTTTAGTTGATGGTTTATTGATTGTTCAATATTCGATCAACGATGTCGAAACACATAATTCAAAGCAACTTCTTTCACTTGCTTATTCAATAGAAATAGAGCAATCATCATGAATGCTGTAAAAATTGTTATTAAATTTAAAGCCAATAAATAGAATGATTCAGGTGGAGACTGCTTTTGTGTGGCATGCCAAATAACAAGAATCAAATAAAGTATTCCTCCACATGAGATAATGGTTGACTGAATCATCAGATTTTTCACGAGTTTTAACTCGCGTTTTCGATAAAATCTAACAACTGGAACTGGAGCTGGAGCTGCATTTTCGGTCACGTTTGATGCAATTGCTGCTATTCGACGGCTCGACTTACGAACATAATAAACAATTACACCACCAAAAACTGTTACAACATTCAACGGAATAATAAATATAATTAGCAGTGTATACATAGATAGTGATACAATTTTAGGAGTAACAACACAACTTCGAGATTCTATTTCAAGTTCAAAACCATGTTGATAGAAAAGCGGTTTGATTGATATAATAACACTTACTATCCAATTGACAATAATCATGATCAAATGAGAACGCCACGTAACAAGATATTTATGTTTATAGAATACAACAAAAAATAATCGACTAGTTGCTTGAATAGAGTATGAATAACAAAGAATAGCACATAACGCAAGTGAACAATATGCTCGAAAAATACAAGCTGGTTGATGAGATTGCCAATCTTGACGAAGACCATAGATGGATGCAACAATTCGAAAGATGAAATATAAAGCAACAGCCGTACATGTATTACAAGAGAGTATATTAGTAAGATTACGGCATCGTCGATGTGTGATAATGATGGTAATGGTTATCAAACATAGAGTTAAGCCAACGATTGAAGACACAATAGTTAACGAATAATTGACAGTGAAAAACTGATCAGATAGCATATCTTCTTTTCAAGAAACAAGTTACAAAATGTTATCTAAATGAAATTTATATAAGATGATTTTACATAATGAGTCAATGGTTTAATATTCTGCCTCATTCATATGTCCAATATTGGAACTTATCAAGTAAATCTTGAAAAAATACAGCAGTACTTCATTAATGTATATTCAGAGGATTATTATTTTTTCTTTTCATTATTGAGGTCTCTGACTGTAAAGCGTCCTTCTCGAACTAAAGAACACTACAACTCGATGATTTTATTCATTATTTTTGCTAAAGCATTCAAAGAAAAGTGAAAAGAATCATTATCAAATGATTATGAAATTTATTAGATAAATATAAACAAGACTTAAGGAAGCAATCGTGAGATCATCAAGTAAACGAGACACTCAGCAAAAAAATGCTTTTCCTTTTCTTTTTGTGTACTCAATGCATTGATGTCTGAATCTACTAAACCTAACATTTTAGTTTATATAATCGCATGCCTTTGAAATGTTACCTTCATTTCAACGAATTATTGAAATTTCTAATAAATTATACTGAAAGATAGAGAATTACAAACTGAACAAAATGAGCTGTTTTAATATAATATAATGTCGACCAACTCATGCTCTATAAAGTCAAAATGAATGAAAAATAGTTCTCTTGATAAGTCTAAGATGTCTACTTTATAACAATCTATCTATTGTCAAAATTTAATATAGTAGAGTGCCAAATTGAGTTTTATTTTTGTTATGGAAATTTTCGTTCTCTACAAAAAATGATGAACCTTTCGTTACTATTCTCATTTTGGAACTTCATTACTGTTGTAGGGTCTGCCTGAACTCACCCATAGAAAATTGCAAAAACTTGATACTTATGATTCATCCAAGCGATTCATTTATGTACTATAGACTTCTAAATACCCTTGTTATATAGATTGGCATGCCAGTTTTCATGGCGACAATATGAGAGTATACAATATCGAACAAAATGTTGACTGGAACTATGTTGATAATAGCATTGAAGTATAATTGAACAAATAATAGATTTCATCAATTAGTCTAGAAGGGTAGAAATACGCTCATATATATTAACATACACAGTTGTCTGTAGATAGGAAGGGAAAATTTTTTCTTTTTCTTTACATTGATCTTTATTTTCATCTTCTTTGCTTTTTTCATGATTAGAAAACTATAAAATCGTACTTTCTCTGTCACAATGCTGAAGTTGTTCTTATTTCAGTTTGTTTGCCTTCATTTCATAAACCCTAATCTTTTTGAGATCTTTTTTTTGACATGTCTGACAAGTTGTCACCGTAACATTGCTCGAATGACAAACGCAGATATTTTGTCTACAATTATGACAATTTTGTCGAACTTTTCGTCCAGGTTTTGATCGACACGAATTAGATCTTCCTTCTTCTCGGTTCAAATAAGTATTTACATTAAGTTCTGGCATACTTTTCGAAGGAGCATGATAACCGAGACCCAGTAAACCAAGCTTTACTTTTGGCGGCTTCAGCAAAACGAAAATCCTACCAATAACAGAATAGCTGTTGTGAAGTCCTTGTGGATCCGCAGCTGTGTTTTTTCCCTGTTAGACCTATTCACAATTTCTAGTAAGGATATTAAACAATAACAAGAGACTAGAGATTAGAGAAAACAAATAATTCGAAAGAACAAATGTTAATGTAGTACTACGCAAAAAACTGTAAAGTGGGTCCACTTGGACACCACAACAGCAGCGAAAGGTTTTAAAAAATTCAAAGATAAATGGTATGGTCAGGGCGAAACGAGGTTGACGTCTCTCATCAATATAGTGATTTTCATTGACATGATACAGCTGTATGGCAAAATGAATGCAACATTCGGAATCAGCGTTGAAAAGTATGTCGAATCAAATATACTTTAGTGAAACTTTTTGTCTTTGAGAAACTGACGTCTGGGGAATCACGGGGCGAAATTTTAAAAAGTACAGCCGTGGTGAACCACAGGTGATTTTTTCACAGGAGAGAAGTTTTTCTAAAATGCATTTGATTCAATGTATTTTTTAACGCTAATTTCGAATATCTCATGACAATGAAAACCACTATAAGCGTTTTTTCTCTTTAGAAAAATCATCAAAAATCACTATATAGGACACACGTGAACCCTGTTACGTCCCGAATATAAAATTTATTTTTCGATATCTTTTTTATCATTTTGTAGAAAATAAAAAGTTGCGTAACATATATAAAATCCAACTTGACACTCTCTTATATTGAATCCCGGCAGGAGATAGATTGTTATAAAATAGACATCTTATATTCATCAAAAGAATCATTTTTCATTCATACTGACCTGATAAAACATGAGTCAGTTGACATTAAATTATATTAAAATAGTTCATTTTGTAATTCTCTATCTTTTTTACACCATATACGGATGACAAACGAAAAACGTGGAGAGAAATTTTAATGAAGAAAAATCCAAATTATTACGAAGCAGAAAAATACGATTGTCAAAAACGATTAGTCGAAGGCAATGTCTTACTGATTTAATATTATTCTGCATTTCATAACATAAAGATTAGGGTGGCGATATGAATCAAAAACCAACGGCAATTATGACTTACACACATGTGTCTAATTCACAGAATGAAAAATAGACTCCTTCATTACTAAATATGTAAATATTATTAACAACCTATTATATTATACATAATTAAAGAGACAGAGAATATAAAATAAAACCAAAACAATGAGAAAAGGTACGATCCATTTTAAATATTGATTATTGCATGAGTAGTGAACGATCAAAGGTTGTCGGTTCACTGAAATGAGTGCCCTAAAAAAATTACATTGAAAAAATACAAGTAACAATAAAAATTTGAAAGATTTCAATGAATGTCATTCAGTGGTAATACCTATCTATATCTTACTCGATAATATGTATAACGATTGAAATAAAATTTTAAAAAAGTATTATTATAACTACACGAAACTCTAAAAATTAAATAAATGCATTTGCAATAATAATGATCATTTCAACTGCATTCAATTGAATGTATGAGAAACAGAATAATAGACAAAATTCACATAAAACAGAAAACCTTTTGTGAAATATTTTTTAATAACAGTTCATGAACATTTGTTCTTTTTATCTCGTTTGAATATGCTGCACAGTGAGAACAATTATAAATATTCTACACAGAATAAGAAATATGACTATGATGTTACAAATAATTTTCCTTTGGCTAGCTTGAACGCATTCTAAAGAAGATAAAACAGTAAAATGAAATAAGAAAAAAATATACATACGAACGTCATCATATATAAATGCTATCTTATCAATTATCTTCAATTTAACAAAATGAATATACCGTAAGAGTACAACAGTATTAAAATAAAATAAAAAGTGTTGAATTGCGCTTTTATGCAAACTTTAATCATTATCTAATTTGATTTTAAGCTCATTGAATCAGGCACTAAAATTCAAAAGAAAAACTAACTCTCAAGAAAGTACTGATGCAATTGCGTTCTTAGAATATATTTCTATTTTACATCTATGTTGTAGACGATGGCAACTTTTTTTCTTAAATAATGAATTTTCTCATAAAGATTAATGTACTTGTTAATCTCTACCAAGATGTTGCAATTTTCTAAAGCTCAACATCATATATGATAATCAAACGATAAGAAATCCTTCTTTCAATCTATATAAGACTTATTTAAACTGAAATATGACTTACAAGGAAACATTCCCAGGTGTTGGAATGCTTTTCAGTCGGGAGTTGACGCATTTTGTAGACCTTAGTGAGTGATGTCTATCCTTAAAAAAGTTCGTGCCCTTGGCTTGTTTTCGAGAAGATCGAGCTTTTTTACTTTTATAGATATTAGGGTTTTCTTATATGAAAACCATTATCTCAGCTAATATAAGTTCAGATCAATTGAGATTTTTCTCACATTAAAATGTTGTTAAATTGATCACTGTGTTTTCGACATTGTTTGATGTCATACTTTCACATTATCTTACATATAAACTACAACTATATGTGAGAAAAATCTCAATTTGTCTGAACTTATATTAGCTGAGATAATGATTTTCGTATAAGAAAACTCTAATATATATAAAAGTAAAAACGCTCGATCTTCTCGAAAACAAACCAAGAGCACGAACTTTTTTAAGGATAGACATCACTCACTAAGGTCTACAAAATGCGTCAACTCGCGACTGAAAAGCGTTTCGACACCTGGGAATGTTCCCTTGCTAGATATAGTAATAGAGTTAATATCGTCAAGAGAATGAAATGTAGATGATGAGTCTTCATAATAGTAAGTTTTCAAGACTAAACACATCAGAGATCCATGAAGCAGAGTTGAAACCGCTTGAGAAATAGTACACCGGTTCGATCCGGTCAGACAGGTGAAATTCCGGCGAAAACAGGTTATAAACCGACAAAAAAATGTGGATTTTTTTTTCAAAACCGATTTCTAGAACAAATGGCTTCAAATATGAAATACTTTAGAGGCGGATGTAAAAGACACTCATCATAATGAATCTTTTTAAAGAGAATCTCAGAAAAAAAGATTAATATAACATATGTTTTAAGCACTTTTTTTACGCATTCTGATAGAAAAAAAAATGTGACATCTTAGTTTTTATGGCCAAAAACAGAGTTAACAAAGAAGATTTTTCCAAACTTTCAACCGGTAAAATTCCAGTATCTATCGATCCGGTTGACTTCCTGAACCGAACCGATTCCAACCCTCCCGTGACGTAGCAGAAAAATCATTTCAACACAGCCTTGCCTCGCTTTGCCATAGACATAGCATATACACGGATGTTTTCTTTTATACACTTTTTCAACTACACGTAACAATTACTATTTCTTTCATTTCATAAGATTAAATAAAGTACATTTAATACACATGAATAGATTCAAATAACAAAATACGAACAAATATAATGAGATCAAAATAAATAACTATCATCTATTTTTCTACTCAATGTATAAACAAGACGTTGTTTAGTTCTTGTGGATGTAACTGAGTACGTCGACAGTCTACCATTCATGTAAAAAACAAGGTTATAAGAAAAGATTAAAAATCGGACATGATGGTACTATTATAATCTGATTTCAATCAGATTTCATTTGTTTTAATGTTTTTTAATCGATTAAAACACTTCAATCAATTATAATGGACTTAATTTTAATAATCGATTAAAAAAGATTAAATCAAATGAAATCTGTTTTATAAGGCTGAAAAATCTGATTAAAATCAGATTATAATAGAGTCAGTATAATTGATTTTTAATCGTTGTTTTTTTACATGGCCATCAAATCACCATCACGAAACTGTTGTTCGACATTAGCTGTAGTTATTGAAATTGAATAAAGTGATTGAGCAAGTTTCTATAGGACAGAATAAATGAATCGTAAAAAGACGGGACGAATCGTCAAATCTCATACCGGCTCGTACTGGCCTTGCTGTCAACAACTTTTGTCTCGTCTCGCATCAAGGCGAAGCAGTATAACTCAGCAGTTTGCTGATCGCTGGCACATACATGTATATCTACAAAATCAATTGTTTATTTTTTGATGTAAATGATTTGTATTCAGAATTATGAAACTTATTTCATAAAAAAAGGAACTTATCCATTTGACATCTTTCGTTTAGGTTCGTATTTTATTTACTGATACTACTCATAGCATAGATAAAAACTCGACAATGATTCATACCACGAAGTCTTTCTTTTCGAGTTATGTTCACTTTATTAAATTGTATCATTATCTACTGTCCCTTTAAATACAAAATAAAAGTAATATATTAATGCACTAAGGTTCTTTATACTACTAGTGATTTATCAATATTGTGGCAACACAAATATTCTCGACAATGATTTCAGTTGATAAATAAAATTCGCGAAGTTGACCGAAGTATTCTGAAACCTTTGGATCGTTTATCTTGACTTTACGATATACCAGAACATGAAAGCTATATAAAACATAAGATTAGTATTGATATAATTCTAATTTGAACATGCACAGAGTTCTGATGTACTTTGTATACTTAATAATAACTTGACTAACACAATGCAAATAGTATCAAAAGTCTTCAAACCTGAAAATTGAAATTTGGATGATGCTAGTAATGAAGAAACATCTGAAAAACTTTAATTATAAGTTAATAGCTTCTTATGAATATTATTTGTCATATAATGTGGGTCATCTATTTCAACTAATTAATTATTAGGACATATAAATGTGTATATAGTTTCAGATTGGGTACTTTTAAAATTCATATTTTCTTCTTCCATTGTGAATAGATATTAAAAGAAAAAAGTTTCTTATAATTTTAAAAAACTTGACATTATTTAATGTCTTTTTCTATGTTCTTAAGTAGAAAACAAAAACACGATGAAAACATCTAAAGCAGAAAGTAAAGAAATTCTCCTAGAAATTTCTTTTTGAACGAGAAGACTTTCTTTCTGTTTTGCTTTGATAGGTATGCGTTTTTTGTTCTTCCGTGTGATTCAACTAATAAAGATTATCTAAAAGATAATAAAAAGAATGCATTTCAAAAACTCATTTTTATTCGTTCCAAATGTGGAACTTTCTCTTAAAAAAAAATAATTGGATCACCTGTGCATCTACATCTATTCTTTTTTCGATTTTTCATATTTCTATTTTTGATTTGCACACATCTTCTCATTTATCATTGTAATTGGTTTTACAATAGCTCAAAGAAGACCAAAATTATACTAAACTGGTGTTAAACGCAGGTTGAAAAATTTATGATCACGTAGAAGCCACAGCTTTCTACAATTAGCTCTATTGTAAACAGCGGCAGATATCAACAAACAGAAATCATTACTCATTTTCTTGTTTAAATATATACTCTTCACATGTAAGTATAGGACAACTTTTTCTATCTTGTCTTTCCGTCTTAATCCGTCCTTGCAGGCAGCAGGACAAGACAGTAGAAATCCTTATTTTAACTTTTGATCATCAAAGTATGCATTAATTTATTAATTATCTTGCAGCTAACTTATTTCCAACGATTTTCAATCACAAAAACTAAAGTCTTCAATAATGGCTAATATTATAAATACAAAAAATATAGAAATATTTTTAGTTATTGTATGAATGATGTGATCATCATAGAGAATAAATATAAAACATATGAACTTGTCTAGTTTTATCATCATTATGTTAACAATAGCTGATGCTATCAATAAAGCTAATAGAATAATGATAAAGTATCTGATGACAACAACAACACAAAGAAAAAGAAAAGAAAATGCAAAACCAACAAAAACAAATGCTTTTATAAATTATTTTTGCATTGATCTAATCACTAATATGCTATCCAGCTGTTCGGGCTTAAAACTAACTCTTCTTTTTTTTTGTATAATTAAGCCGATTCCAGAGAACTATCTCTCCACACTAGCTAATGTAGCATGTATTGAATAAATAGAATGAGCATATCAAAGCAAACGAAAGAATTCGTCTTGGTACTCCTTCCAAAATGGCAAAGAATTAGATCCTAGTTTTGATTTTACCAAGTTCTAAATTAAGATAGCAATTCAAGTTCGTTGGCATTTTTACCATGAGATGACACTACTTCAATATCTTCTTGAACACCAAATCTGCTTGTTTTCAAGTCAACTATTTAAATTTTTTTTTAATTTCTGGTGTAACGATCGTTCACACTAGTGATGATATTTAGCATGACGACTATTAAGTAAGATGATCACAAAAAGAAGTACACTTACACTTAATATGGGATGCAAAAATCTTTATAAAACTGCCAAACTCTGTTATATTATATTGTCGACTTCTAAATCAAGAAAAGTTGTTTTTTTTTGGAACGAACAATATCTGAACTACAAATTTTGTATCAGACACATTTTTCCAGAATGAACTGACGAAGAGGAAAAGCCCAAAACCAAATACCTCTAAAAAAAAGTTCTTGCAATATTTTCCCCTTATTTGAAACGTCTATATTTCTGAATTATTTTGAACTAGATGAATAGATCGAGCTTGAATAAAAATAGGTCAACATGTCTTTGTAAAATACAGTGTTCTCTGAGAAATATCAATTTGCAATGGCATCGGTCACTATTTTCTGGAATCGCGTATGAACTAAGTTCTTTTTGCATTATTTATTCGAAATATTTCCGGTTATGGAAACTTAGTAGAGAAAATAATTCAAAAACCATTCACTTTTTACCATGGCAAAACAACTAGGTAGTAAGAACGACCAACTTACTCAATCTTTTGTTTTGAGAAAAAGCTACATTTTGGTATAAAAAGCAAGAGTAAATTTAAATTCCGATATATAATCGAAAAGAGCACTCTTTACGCTACAAGAATCAGCATAAAATCCTGATTTAAAAAGAAAATTAAAAAAATGCTGTTACTTGATAGTGAATTTGTAAGAAATTTTCGTGAAGGTGATTGGTTTTGAGCATTTCTTCTTCGCCACATTCATTCTAATATATATATCTGATACAAAATTTGCAGTTCAGACATTTCTTTTTCTCACCAAAAAAAATTCATAATGTAGAAGCCAGCAATAGGATATGACAGACTTTGACATTTTTGCAAAGGCTTTTGTAATGCATATTAATAGAAAGCACTTAGAAAGATTCAGAAAGTGATAGAACTGATAGTTTTATTTAAATTTGTTTGATCCCTTCTTTATGATGGTATCCTGGACGGATACAATTTTTCTCACTCAGTACCCGATCAGAGCTGATTGATATTCGACAGATACCTTCAAAGTCATAGTACAGTTTTCAAACATTTATTTTATATGAAAAAGTATACTGTTTACTTTCTTCTATAATCAATAACAAAAAGAAGACATCGTCTCACATGTCACAAACAAAAATAAGTGGTTCAGAATTCACTTAATATCTTTCAACTTCTAAAATCTGATCAATTTCGCTAAGTTTATGTTTGCTTTTTGCTGATAATGCTAGACTGTAACTTAGTGTTAATATCAAAATGTCATAATTTTGAATACAAACATGAATGCGTTCTCCAATACGATAATAGGTGTTCATCTTTTTGATTTATATATATAACCGTTTGAAAAAATAAAATTATTTTCAAACGTTGAGATCTCATATATTTCCGAGTATGATTGCAAATCGAAATCTAACCCGATTGCAAGACAAAACTTTATGAACAACTTATTATACTGAACGATTTTCGTCACTCCCAACAATATTCACAAATGTAGAAATTTTACTGTATATAAATTTGATAAGGCTAGGTCACAATGAATTGCACACATATTTTCTTTCAGTGTTTTCATAAACCTAGTTGCATGATTTGCTACTAGTAATATTATACCATTATATAGTCTATCATGTCTTCTAGCAAATATCCAAGTATGATGGTAAAATAATAAAAATTTATTTCAGAAGAAATGATTAAACAAATTATTCGTCAATCAGAATTTGAGATTAAAGAACTATTGTTTCTATTTCTTAGAGCAAAAATAAAAATATACCAAAAAGTTTACAGCCTGTTTAAGTTAAGCATTTATTTTTTCTGTGTAAAATATTCTCTAAGATTATTCTTTTGATAGTCTTTTAAGATTTTTTTATATTGTTGTTTGATATACATTAATATCATGATAATGTTTATTTTGAATAAACAATACAGATTAACTGAAGACCGCTATTCAAATAAACATAAAAAAACAAACAACAACAGAAAATAAGACATAATATATATTATTTTTTTTGTTTTTCCATTGATTTTTTAGCTTTAAGTTCCATATAAAGTTTTTCAATATCTTCAGCTTCATGATCAATAATAAAAGATCTATTTTTCTTTGTTGATGATGAAGATTCTTGTTGTAATTTATTTGTTGAAGATGATGATATGTTAGTTGATGGTAATGTTTTTCGTTGTTCAAATGATTGTTTTTCTTTTGATGAATGATCATTGGTATGTAATCGACTTATGTTTGAAATAATACTTTCACGTGTAAGACTAACTTAAGTAATAAAGAAAAAAGAATATTTTATATACTGACCTATTTCCATTCTTATTGGTTTCATTTATAGAAGATTTTTGTTCTATTGAATGCATTTTTTCATATGAAACAGGTTTAGTACTTGACAGAAGAAAAAAAATTAAAAAAATGACATCGCTTGATTTGAAAATAAACTAACAACACACCTTGTTCGAGTAGTAGTCGATTTATCACTAAAATAAAACGTGAATTTAATTAATAAAAAAAGAAAAAAACTTGAAATTTATACCTTTCAGTAATATCAATAACAGGTATTGCTGTTGGTTTTTTTATTTCAATTATGTCAGATAATGGTGATGATGAAATTGTTGATAAAGAATGACTTGGTGTAGAACTACTTGATGAAGATGACGATGATGATGATGATGATGATGAGTTTGATCGACTACTACTGCTGCCACTACTACTAGTAGAACTTGATCGTTTTCGTTTTGGTCGATTATCATTTGACGATGAACTCAAAAGAATGTCGATGGGATGCCAAGAAGAATTTATTATTTGCCAATATTCTCACCCTTTCACCAATGATTTTCGTCTCTTTGTCGATCTCGCATGTCGTTTATCTTTCGAAGATCTATTCAACAAAAAAACGAAATATTTCAATTAAATTCTTTCATTTAAAAGACAAAAAACATACGATTGTAAATCCGATGGTAAACTTGGTCCATATTCCAATTTTCTTGTTGCTTCTTTTTGCTAATTATTCTCGTAAAAAATAGTTTTTGTTCTTTAAATGAAAATTCAGATTTTATCTTACCTTTGCACGTAATATATCTAATTTTCGTTTGGTTTCATTATCATCTGGTTTATATTTTAAAGCTTTTTCAAGATAATATATGGCATTTTCATAATCATCAGTACTAAATAAATACTCTTTTTTTTATTGGACTTACATTATGGCTTTTAAAGAAAAATATAGTTAGTGTAAGTTTCAATTCGAGGTTTCCCTACTACTCCACATAAAAGCTGAGGGTGCGGTACAGTGTGTATTTTTCATATGGCAAGCAGACATGTGACTTTATCACTCAGAAATGATTGAATATGATGTAGAAAAACATTTTTTAGGAAAAAAATTTTCGACAAAAAAATGCCTCAGGTACACCTTGCCCTCATTTTTTTGAGAAAATCTTTTTCTTTAAAAATTTTTTTATACCATTGTAGCGCTTAAGGCAGCACAAGAAATTCAAAAATAAGTCTTGTTGAATAATTTTAGTATCCACTGTATAATAATATGTCGAGACTTGCTGTAAATATAATGTTAATTTAAGTAAAATAAAATGCGAAAGGGAAAAACAACAACGCAAATTTACAACACGACAGTAAAAAATTTCTGTTCGAAATAAATAAGATAGATCATTTCATTGTCGATCGATTATTCTTGAAAATCAATTATAATCTCCTAGAAATTTTTCACATTAAATATAATAAGACTAAGAAACACATGTGAGTTCTGCATTTGCATCAACAAGCTGTTTCCGTAGTGATAAACCTAATAAATTTAACTTACTCATTGGCCATATTATTTAATACATCATGTAAATATTTTGATGCATTTATATGTTTATGATCAATTTTTAAAGCATCTTCAAAATCTTGCATTGCACGTTTATAATGACCTTGATTTGCTGTCAAAGCGCCACGTGCAACAAGTGCATCAACACATTTTGGATCTCTACTTAGAGCTTTATTAAAATGAAGTATAGCTGAATTAGAATCATTGTCTTTCATTAATCGTACTCCTTCCGCAACACTTAAAATTACAGAAAAAAAAAATACTTCATAATCTGATTTTAAATTATATTTATTTTACCTTTCGATTGCCCATTCATGATCTTGTTTTTGACGTAATTTATCAAAATATTCATCTGATGAAATTTTTTTTCTATTTACAGAATTAAAAATATATATTGCTTTTATGAGTTTTAAAGAAAAGAATTTACTTTTTAAATGAATTAATTAATGTCATGTGTAATATATCATTAGATGATTCAATATTATTATTATCAGAATGAAAATATTCAAATCGTTTTTTTAATCGTTGATAAAGTGTTTGAACACAAGCTCGATTATTAAGTGCCTTTGATGTTTGTAGAATATCTTCATAAGATTGAGGTTGTTCTTCTTGTCGACGTAACAAACTAAAGAGTAAAAATTAAAAAAAACATTCGCAAGATCAATTATTCTAAAATTTTTGCAACATAATTCATTTTGCATATATAAATTATAAAATCTTCAGTTTTTTTTTATAAAAGATGCACCATTGAATTTTTTTCTAAATAATCTTGTATGATCATATAAATCACATACGAACAAAGATTTACTTTTGAAAACACAACTCAATATGACATATCTATTTAAAGCTATTGTTAATTGTGTATATGTACGGAGTTTTTTGTTGCTCCCTCAACAGTATTTTTCGTAGAGTACATTTTACAGTTTGTTAATATTTTCTTTCTTCTCAGAAGCAAAAGAAAACATATCCTAGAAATCTTATTTGTGATCAAAGCGAATTCATTTTTTAAAATCATATTTATCTTTCTATTCAAAGCTTAAACAATATTCTTTATTCAATAATACAGCTGCAACAAAAATCTGAATACTCTTAAAAGGCTTATTTTCGCTGTAGCAGCTCATGACGAAAATCGTCCAACCGATAAATCGAGACTATGTGTATCATATTAACTCAAATGAGTTATGTATACAAGGAAAAAAACTCATGCCTTTACTTTCTTGCTGTGAAGACACTGCACTTTTCGGTATTTTTTTAAATTACTATTCTGATCCTATCAGAAAGAGTGACTTTCGAATTTTGACTTGCAACGTTGCATAGAGACAGTCCTTAACAAGAGTAGTTTCAGGTCTTTTGATTTTCTTCTATCCTGAAACAAGAACATCAAATCTATTTATTTATGTGAGCCATATAAAAGACAAACTATGACCATAGTTGCATCTGAGAATAGAAACAACGACAAGATCTAAAACATGCACAAGAAACTATTCTTGTTAAGTATTGTCTCTATACAAAGTTGCAAGTCAAAATTCGAAAATTAATTTTTCTGTTACCATGGTATTCATTAAAAAAAACAATATAAAAGTGCACTATCTCCGCAGAAATAAGCTAAGGACATGAACTCTTTTCATGATATTCTCACCTCATTTGACTCTACATAATGCACAAAATCTCGATTTATCAATTGAAGGATTTCTATCGTGAGAGAAACTACTTCCATTCAATAGAAAAATGTTCAGTTCTATTCTTTCAAATTAAAATTCATCGGAGTTTGTAAAGAACTGGACGGCATATCTTCTAAAGAAAAATTCAAGATTTTAAGGTATGTTCATGCATAGATATATGCGAAATAAACCATGTTGCAAACGTTTTGGAACACTCATTATATGAAAAAAGTGTTTATCAATTACACATAATGTTTTGGAAAATCATCTTCATTAATAAGGCCCTAAATAAAAAATCAAATAATACTTTGAATAAAAGATTTATATTTAAATTATTTACGAGTTTTTTAGAAGACTGATGATACTCTAAAATAGAACAGAGTTAGAAAAGTAAAAAAAAAACTAATTATGAAAATATACGATTCAAAGATGGATCAATTGTTAATTGAATTTCTTCTTTATGTATATCAACATGGTTTACACAGGCTAAATACATAATGATAAACAACATTAAAACTTTAAAAAAATATATAACAACTAATTTACCTCGTATCAAATCTCCACTTTGATATTCTCCATCATCTTTATCTTCATCACTAATTTCTTGTACATCTCGATCATATTTATTTCTTTTACGATAATTATTATTGTTCTTACTACTTGATGTATTCAATAGACAAGTTGCCTAAATATGAATCATAATTATTTTTCTCTATTAACTATTGACATAAAATTGTACGTACAGTAAGTTTAAGATCATGTAACGATCGTCGATGTCCATCATCAAAACATAAAATACGTACAAGCATATCACGTGAACTAGCCGTGATTACATGACAAATAAGAATGTGACCAGGACAAATTAACTATAAGAGCAAGTTGTTCAGTAATAAAAAAAAAGCAATGAAAGAATACTTTGAAGAATTGTTCACGACATAGACGAGATGAAACATGAAGAAAATATTCAATCGGTGGAGTAATAACAAACAGATCTATATGTATATATAATAAATATTATTTTGTCTATAATACAAAATAACAACAAACTTGGATCTTCATCTTCAATATCAACGAATGACGAGGAAATCGAATTAAATCTATTTAATCGAGGATGACGAATATCTATTGTATTATCTGATGGAAACAGTGCTGATGAATGATGATCAATAAATTCTTGAACACAATTATTAAGCGACTTCATTGTGCACAATAGTCGTTGAGCAAATTTATTTTAATATAGAAAACACAAGAAACATCGATGGCTAAAAACAATAGATATATATTATATATATCTATTGATTACAATTTAGTCGCTTTTAATGGACAGATCAATGGATCCAATGAAATAATCAAATGATTATTCATAACAGTACTTAGCGACATCTGAGTATTGATATGAAATGAAATGGATTATATTATTAAAGTCGTGAGAATAATTACAATTAAAGATAAAGAAAAAAGTTAATATAATGAAATCGATTATAAGATTATGAATTTATTGTAAATTAGAAGTTTTAGAATTAAATAGAAAAAGTTCTCAACTGATCCACACCATTATTGCTGATATTTTGCGTGCATGTGGGGAACTTCAATATAGAAAAGCCTAGGAGGCTAAAGACTAATGCAGCTACTCTCAATCGATGTGAATATATTCATTGTTTGATAAAGACAGGCATCATTTTAATGAACCTCTCATGCCATCAAAATCGCGCAAAAATCAGAGATTTTATCGTGATTTCTTAGATCATTAATTGCCTAAATTGACGATTTTTTTTCGATTCCTAGAGAAAATTATGATCATCTAAATTATACTTACGGTTGAAATTTGTTGGAACATCGCCGATTAATCGTGATTTACTGTAATAGCCGACAAAAGCACTGATTAATCGCGATTAATTGCCAAAAGTAATACGATTTTTGATGATATGGATTCGTGTAACTCATATGAGAATCGCTGTAACTTTTCATAAGTTACGATTCTATATCGTGAGTAGATAGTTGAGTGATTTGAATATCTAGCTAGTATAAATGGATTTCGATAACATTAAATATTCATTATATTAAGTTTTTTAATGAGTGAACAGGAATTTATCTTTATAAAAAAAATATTTTATTTAATCGACTGTCGAATCTATAGGATAAATAGATTTAAAATGTTCTTATTGCTTATAGTCGTCATAGTGAGAAAAAATTCTTAATCATATTATCGTTGTATTGACATGTCTCGAAAAAATTAGAAAAAAATGTTGTGTAATGATGTTACTCTTCAGCTAAATTAGAGCATTTCGTGCATATTTTTCAATTACTTTTTTAGATAGAATTAAGAGTTGATTCGCATGGTTTTTAATATTTCTTTTCGATAAAAACACTGAAAAACAGCACATAATATTCAAAATTATCAGATAGTTTTTTTACCTTTGTTTGAACGTTGACCCCAAAAACTATATTTAGAAAGTATTTAGAGAAAGCCCAAATATATAGTTTCGCAGAGAAAAATTTGCTCTATCTTTTGACATATTATTCAATTCAATTCGATTGGTTCTTAATAAAAAGAAATAATCTCATAATAGGACGAGGAATAATCAAAAGAAATATTATACTTATTTTTAGAGCTTCATCGACGGATATTCAATGTTTCTTTCATATTTATTCAGGAATCAATCAGAGAAACCTAAAATTTTGAATTTATAGGTTTTCTTACACGCTCTTTTATTTACGATGATGAAAAAAACATACTTCAAAATTTTTCATATGACATAATTTCTCGATTGAGACATGAATCGTCTCTTATGTATTTACCTTGGCTAAAGTTCAAGCAATCTCAATCAATGGAACTTGATTAGTTTCTGGTATCAATGCAATTAGATAAGAAAAACGAACATTTTAATGTGTTTCGAAAAGCATAAAAATATCCGTTTTTTAATACTAATTTTTTTTATTGTTTATCTGATTGAGTAATTATCATATGTTACACATTATGTGTATTCATATATATTCGAGTTGTTCTTTTAAATGTTTCCGAAAATGATACAATAGCCTGATTTTTCATGATAAAAATTTGAAATCAGTTAAGTCAATTTAAGATTGATTAGACTAATTTATTCAAATTTCTTTCAATTAATATAAAATAATAAAATAAATGTACTGCAACTCTCATGTTTATGGCATAAGTTTAATCTAAATATGAAGATCTTTTTGTTGAAAACAGTATTTAAATTAAATAATATTAAGATATTTTTAGTTTAATAGAATAAACTAGTCTCAAGACGCAGAAGATGATTTCTATAACTAAGCTCATTATTAATATTTTCTGATGTTCATATTAGATGTTCAAGCAGCTTGACTTCTTGAAAATATGTCACGGTTCTTGTCTATGTTTTACATTCTTGTATTATGTTGACAATTATATGCGAACAGGCAACCATATTCATGCAAAAAAAAAAAAATAAAGAAGTCATATGAATTTAAATTAGATATTTTTTTTGTTAATTTTCGTGGCTAATTAACCGTTTCGCTTGGAACCGTTTACAACTTTGTATTTTTTAGGCTTGGTAAACAAATGAAAAAGAAACAAAATGCTTAATATTTCTGTAGAGGTAGCATGACAGAGAATCAGCAAGAAAATTGCAAACATGAGAATTAAACTAAAAACGATCGTTCAAATTGAATAAATCTACTACTTTTTAATGAAAAATTTCAAGATAAATGAATAATAATCAAGCAATAATATCTGTATGGCCTAGCTCTAGAAAAAAAGGCTTTTTCTTCGAAAAAATTAAAAGAAGTTAATGAAGCATAGAATTATATCTTGATGACAGTCACATATTTCTTTATCTTAGATCTCACTTTTTTTTTATAAATAAGAGTCGCATCGTATACTGCGCATCATTCATTTGTTTTTTTTTCTTCTTCTTAAACAATAAAAATGACAACGTCTGTATCTTATTTGTCATATGTTCAACAAATATTAACACGATATGGTATGAGTACATATGTCGCATTTGGAAATCTTGGTAATTTATTAGCTAGTGCTGTTTTTTGTCAATCTGAACAACGTAAAAGTGCTTGTTCACTTTATTTACTATTGATGTCAATATGCAATTTACTTTGTCTTGATATTGCAATAATTCCAATAATATATTCATTAGATCATATTGATATAACTAGTGCATCTCTAATTGGTTGTCGAACACAATTTTATTTTCGACATGCTTTTTTTCAAATGATGCGTACATATAAAACTCTAGCATGTGTTGATCGTTATGCTATTTGTAGTACTAATGTTCGATATCGTTTATTTAGTCAACGTAGAGTGGCTATATATATAATTATAGGTTCTGCTTTATTTTGGTTACTAGCAGTGATATTTTTTGCTTGGGCACGAACAATTCAACATGGTTCATGTAACATATATAATGAAACTTATTTAATGATTTATACAATTTATTATATGATATTTACTGGAATTCTTCCTCCATTATTGATGATCATATTTTCTGTATTAGTAATGAAAACTTTACGAAAACTGCGAAGTCGTGTTCAACCAAAAAGAGGTAATCGAGGAAATAGTCAATCTATTAATGTTATTCGAAAACGTGATCGAGATTTAATGAAAATGATTTTTACTGAAGTTATGTTTTATGTTATAACTACAATGCCATATTCGATATATCTTATTTATAAAGTGATAACAGATTCTTTAATAAAAAGTCAACAACAAAAACAAATTGAAACATTTATTAATTATATGGTACAATCGTTTATGTTGTATTTTAATACAGCTGCATCGTTCTATATTTATATTGCAACATCACCTGCATTCAGACGAGAATTGAAAAAAGTTTTTATTAAATTTTATGCCTTTATTATGAGAAAACAAATTAGAGATGAACAAGATACAATTGCTCAAACTATAACTGCACGTGCTTAAGTTTTGACTGCTTATATTTTATTTATTAATTTTCAATTCTTACGAATAAATTTTTCAGTACCTATAGCTCATCAACTTCTTCATATATATATATATATATAAGTTGAATCATACGAAAACGAGCGTTGATTTATATTTAATTAAAGAGAAATTAAACTCTTAAATAGAAGTTTTATTATATTTTGTATTGAATAAGACTTTGACCCTCTATTCTTCTCCAGGTATGTTCATAGAACAAGTTCAACTGGATAGCAGTTTTCAACTTAATCTCAAAGTATCTTTAACTCAACCAACTTTAATGTATGCAGACATTTACTCATCAACAAGTAATTCGAACAGTAAAAGAAATAATTCTTCTCAATAAATTTGTTGACTATTGAATATAAGGATTTCATATTTCTGTCATTTAAACATAGTTAAATAAGCAACAAATAAATCATGGCATCCAACACGATTAGTCTCAATTTTCTACACTATTTATCAGATGTGTAGTCTGAAATGTCTTGGATACACGTTAGAACTGTTTTTTTTTGTTAGAGGAATGTTCCTCCATCACGTCGTGGCTAGCCAAAAAACGAGACAAACGGTAGATTCAAATATATTATCCGATTGCATTCAACATGGAACAGATCTTCAAATGAAAAACTACGATTAGACGATATACGAATGTCAGTTTAGACAATGTAAATAGTTGAGTAGCCATTTTGCATTCTATATGCAATTAAAACTAACCTAAGAAAAGTAAATTGACTAGTCTGAAAACCTTCAATGACAATGCGGAGTACTCTGATTTGTCATCGATGCCGATCTTGATTAGTCTAATATCTTAAAACGGATATTCTTTTGGACTAAATTATTAGGACAATTGGTTTGGATAGGTTCGTATAGGCACGAAAAAAAACAATTAGCGATGGTTGTCGATGTGGTTGTGCTAGTAAAGAGAACTATTTGATCCATACTCATATTCATTTCTCTATTTCTAAAATCCGAGTATGTCTTATTTTATATCTTACCGTTTTGCCTTTCGCAATTCGCACAAAAGTTCTTTTGCTATCGCCATTTAGTCGTAGAAAAAACTTTCGCTGATTTGCAACAATATGACATAGTACTGTTGATAGATTGAAATGTATTTTTACGCAACGTATACATTCTATTTCAAAATTGTTGTGCTGAAATTCTTCTGCTTTCTGTGTTATATTTTGTAGTTGTTTTATTGATTAGTTTAATTTTTATTTATATTAATAACATGTTGGTTATTATTCTTTTTAGAA